TGGAACAGATTGGTGAACGTCCAATCAAGCCAGGACGCACGGGTGTCAACCCGTTCCTGCTCTTCACCAAGGACTTTTGGTACATCTGCAAGCAGGAGTGCGATGAGGCTCACAAAGCTAGGACAGGCAATCCTGAAGCCAAAGCACCGAAGCAGGAGATCCGCAATGCTGTGGGTTTACGGTGGCGCACGGCAGAGCAAGAAGTCAAGCAGCCCTACCTCGACCAAGCCAGCAACGCACGAGACGATGCGACGGCGAGTACAGCAGACTTCAAAGAGCGCGTAGATACGTGGGACAAAGAAGCCGCACGCATACGGCGCGAGTACATCCAGGCCAACCCGCCAGAGGGTGGAAACGAGGAGCTTATTCTTAACAGTCGTACAGCCATCGAGCTAGGAGCTGGCAAGCGACTGCGGAGACTATAAGTCTTGTTTTGTTGTATCATTCATGTGTTATAATTGTGTTCCCAGGGCTATTAGCATTTCGAGGAGTTTGTGCTTCTACTAGTCACGTAGGAGTTGAGATGGAGTTCGGGTAAAAGGGTGGCTGAGATTCTCGCGTGGCTATTTTCAACGGCAGGCGCACAACAATGCATACCCGCCTTGGGCATTTTCGTGAGGCGACTGTATTTAGTACGTGTATACTTTGTGTAATTCGTTGTCCACACCGACAGAGGTAGAGATGTAGTGAGTAATACGGGACTAACATGAACGCATGACTGCCGCACACCCATTCGGACCCACCATGGATACCCTGTCTTCGAAGCTGATATGCGGGGGATGTGAGCCGTGCTGCATAAGACGGGAGGGTGCCCGCCTGCTATTGAATCATGTGCATGGCCCCAGCAATATGTTGAGATGGGTGTCGGTGTTGGACTTTGAGTGTAGTTGACAGCGACTTGGCGCGGTTGAAATTCTGGACTGTCAGGCCTGGTGTCGTCATGCTCTGGACTTTTACAGTGCATGTCACAACCACAGTATGGGAAGACGCTAGAAGCAGTTCCCTCGTCCCCCAATGACGATCGCTCGAGGGCAGCCGACAAGCGCCACGGTTGCTTGCCAGTCTTGTTCTAGAAGCGCGGCGCATGACTGGTGGGAGTTTAGCCTCGATGCAGGCGGTTGAGCGTCTTGTCCATCAGGCACACCGTCGGCGGGCTGGGCACCGTGCCGTCGAGGGCCAGCGTGTCGTGATGGGGGAATCAGCATCAGATGTTCTATGCATGTTCTTCGGTATCGTGCCCCACCGCGTGGGTGATGCAATTCGCTGGTCGGGACAGCATTGGATGGAACGGCTGGCTTCAGCGCGTTAGTCCGAGGCGGTTCCTCGTTGGCGGGGTCGCGTGTGCCAGGTCGTGGGGATCTCTCGGCATCGGCCTCTCTCAGGGCGCTTCTAGTCGCGTTAGCTATCCCAAAGAGCCATGCCTCGCCTCGCCTTGGTCCGTCTTCCGGCTCTGCTTCCCCAACGTGCCAGCCTTCCAAGCCGCTGTCCGTGAATTGCATCCTTCACTCCTCGTACCTCTGCCGACCTCCATGTTGCCCTTCGCTCCTTCCACAACCCTGGGCCCGCACCCAGCAGCACCTTCCCCAACCCGTTCCCACCACGACCGTGCCCCCATCGCCTGAAGTGCTGTCGCATTAGCCCTCGTCCGCCTGCACCCCACCCTTTCCCTGCGCACGATACCCCAGCCATGAGTTCCTTTTTCAGTCGCATCAAGTCGGGTGCTGTGAGTCCTCCGCGCCCTCTACCGTCGCGCGTCCATCGGCAATGGCTGGCCTTGACTGACATATCATAGCCGCCGTTGAGCCCAGCGACCGGCAGCATACCCGTCAGGAAAGACCCCAACGCGCCCGAGGTGACGCCGCTCGAGAAGCTGCTGCTCAACGCTGGCCCTCTGCGCGGCGACGGCAGCGACAAGTTCTTCGGCTTTGAGAATGTGAGTCTGCCTACGTAACGGCCCTTCGCGAGCCGCCTGCTGACCACGCTATGCTCTAGTTTGGAAGCACATGGTATGTACACGTCTCATTCCCTCCCGCCCCGACACATACTGACTGCCCGCCAGCTACTGCAACTCGATAGTCCAGTGTCTATACTACTCAGTGCCCTTTCGAGAACAGGTCATCAACTTCCCCGCGCGCTCGCCCCCAGAAGCCCTCGAGAGGCCCACGTCAGGCCCTCTTAAACTCAACACAAACCTCCCAAATGGCCAGAGTACAGCCCTCTCGCCCACGGGGCGCACCTCACTCTCCAGCCCAAATGCCAAAAGTCCCGCAAAACCAGCAACCACGCCAGGCGCGACGAACCAGCCCCCAGGCACCAAGCCCGAGGATAACAAAGACTCGCCAGAGTACAAGAAGAAGCAGGCTCTGGCGGCCGGTCCGGTATTGCAGATGGACTACGAGAACGCAAATGCATACGGCATGAACGAATCGCTATTCTCATCGCTAAAAGATATATTCGAGGCCGTCATAGCACACAGATCACGCATAGGCGTCGTCAGTCCACACAAGCTGCTCGAGATATTGCGACGAGACAACGAGATGTTCCGGACACCCATGCACCAGGACGCACACGAGTTTCTGAACTTACTGCTGAACGAGGTCGTAGAGAATGTCGAGCATTACTCCAAGTCTCGCCCTGCTCAAGTGGAAGAGATAAACGAGGACGGTGAGACTGTAACTGATGGCCAAGTAGTGACCGCGCGAAACTCGGTGGCCTCTGCCAAGTCAAACTCTGGGTGGGTGCACGAGCTGTTTGAGGGCACATTAACGTCCGAAACAAGATGTCTCACATGCGAAAACACATCACAGCGAGACGAGGCATTCCTGGATCTGTCTGTCGATCTAGAGCAACACTCATCAGTGACAAGCTGTTTGCGCAAGTTCTCAGAAGAGGAGATGTTATGTGAAAGGAACAAATTTCACTGTGACAACTGTGGAGGTCTGCAAGAGGCGGAAAAGAGGATGAAGATCAAGCGGTTACCCAAGATCCTTGCCTTGCATCTCAAGCGTTTTAAGTATACCGAGGATCTCCAACGACTGCAGAAGCTCTTCCACCGTGTCGTATATCCCTTCTACCTCCGGCTGTTCAACACCACCGATGAAGCAGAAGATCCAGATAGACTATACGAGCTGTATGCAGTTGTGGTGCACATAGGAGGTGGACCCTATCATGGTCACTACGTATCCATCATCAAGACGCAAGATCGAGGCTGGCTGTTATTTGACGACGAAATGGTTGAGCCGGTAGACAAGGCCTATGTAAGGAACTTTTTCGGTGGAGAAAATGTGCTAGCCTGCGCATATGTCCTGTTCTACCAGGAGACAACAGAAGAGGCCATGATGAAGGAACAGGAAGCCGACGCCCTGGCAGAAGCAGAGCAAGCTGCCAAGATGGCCCAGGAAGAAGTCACGACACCGAAAGCGAACGGGGTCAATGGTCAGTCATACCATACCTTCCATAACGCGACAACACCCACGCTTGAAGAGGGCGACAAATTCGCGAGCCTAGATCATGCAGCTACAGCCCCACCGCTTGCACAGGTTCAGACGAACACCGACCATCACCCTGTCGAACACACTACAACCCAAGTTCCCGCGCTAGCCGCGCGCAAAAGCAATCTTGGGCTCTTCGGTAAGAGCAAAGAAGAGAAGGAACAAAAGGCTCAACAGAAGGAGCTTGAGAAGCAAGCGAGGGAAAAGCGCAAAGAGATGGAAATCCAACGGCGCGAAAACTACCGCAAACAAGAAGATGATCTCCGCGCAGCACTCGAAGCCAGCAAAGCGTCAGCAGCTGAAGAGGAGAAGAAACGTGTCGCGAGTGGGGAGGTGGCACCACCACCTCCAACTGCGGGTGGCGAGAAAGACAAGGCTGCAAATGGCTTTGGCAGCGTCAAGGGCATGAGCGGATTGAGTCGTTTTAGGCATACATCAATGAGTCTCAAAGCCAAACCCAAGTTCTGGTCCGGAGGCAAGGATAAGCACGACGGTACGCCAGACGAACACAACCCGCCAGATACGCCCACAACAGACACCGACAAGGACGGCAAGAACCGCTTCAGTCTAGGGCGGAAGAAGAGCACGTTCAAGTTCTAGGAGGCTTGGAATGCCGGGTCATAGACGAGTGTCATTGTTGCATTGTTAGCTTGGGATCCAACAAGTTTACCTGTTGGAGTCTCACCTTCCGAGCGGATGAAGGCTAGAGAAAGGGTCTCTCTTTACCAAAGCGTCGGCGGAGCGTTGCATAGTATCTTTTTCCCTCTCGCAGTCTCTCTCTATATCTTGTTAACCTGACGATGGCGTTGTAATTACCACCCCCATGGATTAGGCGGGTGTATTGTGCATATTCAATCTTCGGAATACCGTTGTAGCGTACTCGTTTGAGCAAAACTGCGAGTCCATGGCGACAACAAGAATAGCGAATTATACTGTTTCTCGGGCTGTTATGACTCTTCGTTGCTATCGTTTCGACATCTGTTACGAGTCTATTGGGTTGGACTGTGCACGGTGAGGCTGTTCACTTCGTACCTCGACAGTGCTCTGCTTGGCCGGGGATATCAAAATGACTTTGTATGTGGTTTATCATTTGACAGGGGGGGTTTTCGAGACTTCCATTCCTCGTGATTTCCAGAGATCATCTACTCTTACGACGCGGAGGAGATACTCTGGAGTCTCGAAAGGGTTGTTGTAGCTCAACAGGCTGGAAGCAAGGAAAGAAAGACGGCTCAAATCGCATTAATATATGAGAGCTTGCGTACAGCAAGAGAGAGGACGACATGAACACGGGGCCTCGATTCCGAACAACATTTGTGCTCGTTCCAAAGTTACTCATACTGGCGACTTATATATGGGTCGTTATTCGTGGAGCAAATCTATGCTTAACAGCAGCTTAAGTCAGTCTTCCGGGAAGTAGATGGCTTGGTCTTTACGTTGAGTCTGAGCAGCCTTTAGAAAACCCATGGATATGGCAAACACATGTTGGAGAAGAGTGTGGAGAAGCGATGGTTGTGAAAGAATTGTGTCCAAATTATATTCGATGAAGTAACCATATCCATCAGTGCCGAAAGAAGAGAAGTTTGCATCTGCAATTTTTTGTCCGCAGATTAGACTAGAAGGTCAAAACGCAGACACTCTTCCGCAATGGACCGACGCCCTCGATGCCACCTTTATAAACGCCCGCTACTCAATGTTTGCCGCAACCCGCTATACTGATACACCACGCACGCGTGCATTCTGCACCACGCGTAAACACCATCGACCGCCGTCTATGAAAACTTCCACCGGTTACCACAGTTCATGCACTCGCAGAAGGTTGTCATAGGTTCATCAGCGGACCTAGTCTGCGCTTGACTGTAGCTAACCATCTTCTGCTTGCACTTTCCGCACTGGAACTCCTTGGAAATGGCCTTTTCGACCTGTGCAACCATGGCTTGGTTCATGTTGAGCTTCTCCAACTCCTCGTCCTCTTTTTTCCGCGCATCCGATTTCATTTCATCGTGTGTCATGACGACAAACTGCTTCGCAGGTATGTCGCCGCTGAATACGCGCTTGCGGAGTTGAGGGTTCGATTTGTTCTTGAGGTTCTGGAAGAGAGAGCGCATCTTTTCCTTGTAGGCGTTGTTTACGCTACCGGCGTTACTGTAGGCGGCGGCTTCGACCTGCTTTGCGACACCGAGGATCTCGTCAGGCACTACGCATGTCAGTCAAGTACAAGTTAAACGATATGCTCGAACTTACTCGCTTCACTCATAAAGGCCAGGCCATCGTACATCAGCCTTACGCAGTTGTCGCGTGCCTCGTCCCCAGTGACCTGGTATTTGACCTTGTCGGTCTTGTGATTACGCTTGTCGGCGGCGATATCGTGCTTCTTCTTGGCCAGGCTTGGGGCCGGTGACGCAGTCCCTGAAGGTGGAGGAGCTGGTGAAGATGCAGCGCCTCCATTCGCGGCTGCTTTTGCTGGACCATCCTTCTTGGGTGGCTGCTTCTTCTTGACCTCGTCCCTCCACTTCGCTACCAGTTCTGTCGCCAGCTTTTGTACAGCGGGGTCCTTGTGCGATCGCAGACGGTTGATGGTGACACCAATGCGGGTTGAGCGCAAGAGATCCTCGGTCGCTTGCACACCCGTCTTCAAGTCGTTGAGCAACTTGAGCACAGAAGCGCTTGGCTCGCCCTCCGCTACGGCCTTTCCGATGGCTTTGCCACGGAGCTCAATCTCTTTGGCGTCCATTGCCATAGTCCAGGCAGTGATCCTCGAGGTGCAGTCTAGACTGGGCGCAAGATTGCTGGTGCCTTGTTGAAAGCGTCGACGTTGTTTATGAAGTCGCAAACACAATAGAATGAGCCTGCTGCTTGGGCGCTTGGGAGAGGTTCTGTCGCTGTCACGCGGGCAAGGTCTCTCTGGTTTGTTGTTGCGACTGAGAAGGTCGGAGGTTCGGCGCGGGGTCCTTGAGCGCGTCTGGAGCAGGTATACGCGACGTTCGTAAGCGGAAGTTGTCAGCGACTGTACAGGCGATAGATGGCAGCTAGGCGGGAAGACGGAAGCAGGTGTGGTGCGATGGCATCGTTGCTTGAGATCTAGAAGTTGCGTTTGCTAAAGAGGCCCGAGCTCAGCAACGCTAGCCTCCGCGTTCACCCAAGGGAAACCGCGACCGTTTACTTGGGATCTACCGGACTAGGGACCGACGACAACTGCTGCAGCCGTAACCTTCTACCTTCGGAACTACCAAAAAACCCAAACCATCGCCATGTCCGAAAACGCGGCCCCAGGAAGCGCAAACAATACGGGCGCAGACAGCTCGCGCGGAATGCCTTACTACGAGAGACTGCGACGCGACTTGCGCGAATCGCTCAACAAGAAGCGCTTGATCGACAACAGTCTTGTCAGTATACGAAATAACGCGTTGTGAATTTCCGTGTTGACTCTTATGGCAGCTACAACTAGAGGACAACATCCTCCGAGTCGAGACGCAGTACCTCGAAGAGACGAGCGCCGGAAACATCATCAAGGGCTTCGACAACTACATCAAGGGAGCGGCGACTACCACAACAGCAGGAGGAGCCGGCACCGCGACCAGACGGAAAGCGCCCATCAGTGATGCAGACCGGATATTCAGTCGGAGCTCTACAAGCTTCTTGAGGGTATGTGGAGAGACATTGGGCTTGCTCGTGGACCGCCAGCAAAGCGATACTAACTGCTCTCTAGGAATCGTCAACACCGGGCTCTGCGACGCCATCGCACGCTCCTACACCAACTTCGTCCTTCCCTACGCGCGAATCGAGCCAACCCACAAACGGTGCGAGGCCAGGAGGAAGCAAAAAGAAGAAGGCAGCGGACGACGAAGACGAAGACGGCAACAAGACGAAGCGACAAAAGATTTCCTACGGACGCGAGTGAGCACCCGATCCAAGACGCCGACATCGCCCGCTTCGAAAGCGGTGGGATACAAGAGCCCTGAAATTACAAAAGAGTACCAAAGTTTCTCCTAGCGAGCAATTTGTTCGAGGACGATTGCGCGTCCTATGGGTCCCGCGACACAGAATCTAACAGACCTACCAACAAGATAGGAAGGTACAAAAGCATCGGTTAGGCAGCCGGAGCTGCGCGTGTTCAGCTGGTGGATACCTTACAACAGGCGGGAGGGATGAAACCGTCGTAGATCAGACTTGGGAACGCGGGGTTGGTTCAATCTCGATATGAGACCCACTTTTTGGAGGATAACGTACTACACCACCAGCGGACGACAACGCATCTGTGCTGACTAGCTGGCGTCGTGGTGGAGATTGCTTGATGCTTGAATCTGGTGCTTGCTTCGAGTGGTCGGAGGAGTGGCGGGTGGAGTACGGCTTGGCATTCCCTTACGCGCAAGCCGTGTTTGTAGTCACCGCTGGCGGCTTCATCTCAGCGAAGCGGATTTCATGCTTGACGAGGGTTAGCATAGTGGATCACAAAGTACAATGCAAAATGCAAGTTCCGCTTGTCGCATCTAAAGGATCGCGAAGGATTCAGAGTAATCTGGGAATAATGGTAGCGAAGAAGCCTGTCAAACCTGCTCCCCACAGTTTCGCATGATATATCAGCATCGCAAAGTGTATTGAAGATGAGGCACGTATAGCCATAGTCGACCAATCCCTGTCATTGACTGCTGCAGAGACCCTTCTTTTCGTGAAAATGAAGAATAGCAAGGGCATTAATGCATGCAATCCCAAGCCTCATATGATTGTTTCCAGGCGGCGTGACGACGACCAGGATTGAGATTATACTACCAGCCATGGTCGCTTAACCTGAGACGACTGCGCAGGAAGTGCATGCTGGTAGGCTATGGACTTCGCATCCTGGGATATCACGGTATGCGGAACTATAAGCCAACGACACCAGTTCGCTTCTGCTAAGGCACTCCGCCCTCGCTTCGTGAGCGTGTCGGTGCATGGTACTACTTGAAGACGCGATCGTCGGAGATTAGAATAGCAGAGCGAAAGGGCGTCTCCCTTACGAACCAACGGCCAGAATGCAACACTGGCTTGCATGATGGCTTACAATTCCGTGTGTGGCCACAAGGTTTCAAAGACCGACCGAAATAGCGGAGCCGGAGCGGGTGGCGAAAAGACAGCTGTTTAGGAGCATGGCGGACATACTTTGTCCTGAGTGGTGGTTCGGCGGTATTGCAAGCTAGATTACAGCGCATTCTCCGGGCACCAACACGCGCGGCGGAAACCAGTAGCAAGCGGAGCGCAGAGTCACGCACTCGCATCAGTCACGTTCTCGTAACGCGATATGTTGCCTCGAGTTTCGCGATGCTGTAAGTCGTCGCGTCCCTACGACGATCTTTACTCGAAATATGGCACAACTCTACAGCCGTCAGGCACGCTACGATCTCATCTCAGGCTGCTTTCGGACCGTCTCCAGCGCGCGACCCACTATGACAAGCGAGCATCGTGATTGGCAGTGTCTGAGAAGGAGAGAAAATCAAAAGTCCCGCAGCCGACACGGTGCACAAGGGAAGCCCGACGTCAGCACTGTCGGGCGCTTTGCGCTTTCGAGTGAAACAGAATGACATCGTTGCGTCCCACTCAGCCTCGTACGCAACTCCGACTTTTGTGACAGGGTCAACCATGACCGACGGGACCGGTAGGTGTGAAGCAAATGATAGCAGAGAACCAAAGCCTGAGGCGGCCCAAGGTGCAGCGGCAGACATCCCACTCGCTGAGGTAGCCTTGTAAGACAAATTTCAGGGTCCGGCGGCGGCTAGCAAGGGGGTGACGCTTCATGACGGGTGCCAAGATTCATCCCTTGTCGTAAGCCCACCGCTCACGGGACGCTGAATGATGGCATTGCGGAGACAGGGTCATGACGATGTCGCGTTGGCTAAACCAGCGACCGAGGTATCGCAAGTGGTGACCGGAGCCCGCGCCATAGTCCCGAGCCAAAGGACCGCTGCCGTCACTATGTCAGCTGGTGAGAAGAATTTGGAAAAATTTCGAGACAGAGAAAACGGAAGATGGTGTGCATGGGATAAAACAAGGGTCTTTGATTCAGCCGCGTTCCTATCCACAATATGGAGGAATGCGTCATTTCGATCCCGCTGCCTGTATTCGACGACTCAGTGTCGTGTCGAAAAGCCATCCTGGCTTGTGCCCCCATTCGGTGGGTGGCTACTATGCGCGCGCGCTGCAAGCTACTACTGTACAAACGTCATTGTGCTAACCGACCCTTCGCATGACTCTATGTCGGGAAAGGTTGGTTGCTAAAAGAGAGTCTAAAATATTAAAGGGTATAAGCGAATGGTGATGACAACATGCTCCATGACGACTATGGGTCAAAGCCCTTGTCGAGCAATGTCGAAGATTAAATAAGCAACTGCGGGCGGGAAGGAACCAGGCCCTGATGAGACAAACGCGTAATGTTACAGGGTGTTGAAAATCGCTCGGAAACGGAATACTCGTAATTCGGAACACCAGAACGCCGTGGTGGTCCCTCGGGTTGAGGGCCAGGTGGTATCTCAGTAAAAAAACCGTGGGCAGCGATAGGTAGAAGAGGAAGGGCCGTCCCAGATTGTTGTCGGTTCGATCTAAACGGTGCTATCTCAAAACATGAGATGTACTGAAGACGTGTGCGACGCGCGGTTGGGATGAGTCCTGGGACGGGGTCGAGACAAGCAAGGCACTAGATGCAACCAAGGTGTTGATCTTCTAGTGATCGACGCTCTCGGGTGAAGGGTGGTCGATACTGCCGTCGTTCTTGTGAACCTTGCGATGTCTCCTCAGGTTGGAAACGACTGAGAAGTGGCGACCACAGCCATCAACTTCGCATGCAAATGCTGCGATGATGTCAGTGTTGTCAATAGTAATGTGCCTTGGTTACTTACGCTTCTCGCCGGTGTGGCTGTACATGTGCGTCTGCAGCGAACTTGGTCGTGTGAAGCGCTTGTCGCAAATCTTGCACTTGTGCTTCTTTTGCGAGCTGGAGGAGACCTTTGAGCTGAACTGGCTCATCATCGACGCAGGCGCAGGAGGCATATTGGCGCCGAGGAGCGCATTGGGGCGGGGCAAGGTGCGCGAGTTGCCCAGATCGACAGACTCAGATGCGGAGCTGTAATCTGTTACAGAGCCCTCACCACCGTAGTACCCGTTCGGGCCATAGCTGCCTGATGAGATTGACGAGTGTGTCGAGTGTGCGGAAGGGAAGCCGTATGAGTCGGTCGAGCTGCGGCTGGTTCCTTGAGAGCCGTAGATATTCCTTGGAGTAATGTCTGACTGACTCAGGGAGACCATGCCACGGCTTGCATCGAGCGCATCGCTGAAGCTGTTGCGCGGTTGCTGTGCGTTCATTCTGCTAAAGTCAACAAGTGAACTTTGGCGTTGTCGTTGAGCTGCGCTCTCTACGGACTCGTAGAATGCTATTGAGGGGACTGACGGATGTGAAGAGCGGCGGGAAGCATCCTGCTGGTATGCGTACGGGCTCCTTTCTGTATTGCCATAGTCCACCTGAGAGTAGGGCGCCGAGGTGGGAGCATAGGTTTGGTTTGGTGATGACCCAGATGTAGGATAACCGGTAGGGTATCCTCGCGACATGATATCTTCAGACGTAGCAAGTAAGTTCTCTGTTCCGAAAGTACCATCCGGGAGAGTAATACCTTGTCCCATGGGAGGAGCTGTGACTGGCAGACCGTGGAACGGAATCGCGATGCTGGTAGGCCGCTGCGCGTCTACATTGGGTGCGACGGTCGTTTGGTACAGTTGCTGCTGCGAAGCGCCGGTTGACACCCACGGGTTGGTGAAGTGTGGTTGTTGCTGGGGGTAGCGCATGTGATCGTAGCCCATGCTGCTAAGCTGGGGTTGTTGGCGGTTATCGACTGCCATTGCCATTGCGATGTCGATGTCGAACGGAGGGGAGGTGAGGTGAGGTGTGGTTGATGGGACCGGAGGAGAAGGTGGTACAAGAAGACGAATATGAGTGTTACAACAGGCACTCTATTCGTAGATCCAGGTGTGAAACGTGATAGTTCGAGGGTTGAAAACGTGGAGATAGTCGATCACAGGTACTCAGTGGTGGGATCTGCGACCTTTTGAATTCACTCTGACACTGGGGACTCCCGTGCTGTGGTAGTCCAAGTCGAGTAAAGATAATCCCTCTGGTATGTCGATCAGTTGACCTGTACTAAGCAGGAGCCGTGGCGATGAACCAGCGAGATTAGGTGTAGGGCGAAAGCGGACACCAGTGACTGGGTGGCAGACGCTCGAGCGTTTCAAGTGAAGCACTGTGCTTGCAAGGAGCAGAATGCCCAGCGGGTGCAGGGGCGGACCGTGTGGGCTGGGGTTGCGTGTTGCGTGTCGCGGTGGAAGGTTCGGTAACGTTATTCGCTACAAAAGCAAACCAGCGACAAAGAAGTAAGGATGTGAGGGTAACGATGATGAAAGTAGTATTGATAGTCTCTGGTACGAGTTAAGGCAAGAGACAATTTAGGATTGAGTAAAGCTTAGAGGATGGTGAGTGTTGATCAGTAGGCGATTTGTCGGGGAAGAGAGCTTGATAAATTCCGCTCCTTGAAGCGTTTACGTCTTTTGGGTTCACAGCACCTCCATCATAGGCTTGCAGCCAAGCATAGTGAGCAGGCAAGTTGGCTCAAGACCCCGGAAGCACCTACGTCGGTGAAGACAGGGATCATTTGCGCTAAGGCACCTCTCTGCACGCTGCTTTTAAGCGTGTGGGGAGCGTTATTCAATGGCCTGCCCACGGCCGATGTGGCATCCGCGCCATTGAGCACTGTGGGCTCAACAGCCTTCAGCTCCCGTTCACTCACGCCAGCGTCTACCGCTTGTCCATTGCGCTATCATCGGCAGCCCTCTCACCCGTAGGAGCCATTGATTGCGCCAAACAAGCCCATGCCGCTAGGCAAGCCTTTCGTCTCTGCCAGACAGCTGCGAATCAGCGGGCGGTAGGCGCGGGAGGGATTTTTGGCTTTTGTTTTGGCGTGCATCCACCAGGCCAGGGTCGACGAGGGGTATCGAAGTAGACTAGTGTATTCACTCACAATTGCATCCTGCCGTTTTGGTCAATGAGCGCTAGCCTGATGAGCGATGAGAGTGAAATGCTCCGCAGTGATGCTGACGAGTGCGGCAGGCCTGGGAGTTGCCCTGTGTCCTCATCCTGGCGATATCTGATCACCCCCTAAGCATTGCTTCTGAGACTGTCCACACTCGACGCTGCAGAACAACGGTCGCCTAGCAGCACGCTCCACCACAACCAAGAAAGGGACCGAAAAGGCGGCTTCGCGAGCTTGCGGTTTCGTGGTGCATCGCGCCGGACACTGGCCGGACAGTCTGCTTTCGCGTCGCGGAGTCGGACCGCCACAACTATCTCCACGTTGTTGCGTAAACTCGAACTCTGTGAGTATCTCTCCCTCTGCCCTAGCGTTGGTTCCGCCCCTCTCCTGACTCTGTGCTGGTGCACGGCGCACTCTTGGAAAAAAAAGCGCCCGAAGTGAAATTAGTCCCCTGAAGCAGTGCCTGTGCGCATTTTCAAGCAATGGGCAAGCGTTTGATCGCCGTCCATGTTGCTTTGGCCGCAACGACCGTAGCTTAGCCAGATGGCGGGTCACGAGTTGCGGCATCCACAACAGGCTCGGGAACTGCCTTGTCCAATAGGGGCAGCACAGCCATGTCGGTCGGTGTACCTGCTCTGCACATGAATCTGTACTCGAGGACTACCACGCTGGACCGAGTCCTGAGCAAGACATGACTTTGGGCTGCTCTCAGAGCTCCAATCAGTCACAGTCCCCAATATCGGCTTGCCCTTGGGATGGAGGCGTCATGTGTAGCAGGGCTGGTTGTGTGTGCGGCCACTATATCCACCAATGACGAAATCCTTCGCCGATAGCACGCTGGCGACGATTGGGACAGGTCGTTTCGTGCTCCGTATCTTCGGCCTGTCATTGACGCGGACCGGATGGGTAGCTGGAGGGAATGATGAGAGCCAAGACCCATTTGCACACCCCGCTGACACGCGCGCTGGTGGAAGGTGCTCTAGGATGTGGGCGCATCATGGGTGCTTGCTGGCAATGTCGTCATAAGAAGCCCGCCATAGCGCAGCCGCTAACTACTGTAAGCGAGCTGTCATTGGCGCAGCCCCCAAGCGGTACCTGGCGACAGTGAAGGCCATGCAGGATGATGTAGGAGCGGTCAAGCATGCAAATGATTTGCCGCCCGGGATATTGCCCATGCTATGCTGCACAGCAGCCATTGTCGCTGTGCGTTATACCGGCGGGCAGAACGCTGACTTGGGCGTTCAGCTCGCATCGTGGCTTGGGGCCTTTGTCTGAAAGCGAGTGGCAACCGGCAGAAAGCATGCACTCGGAAACTGCCATCTCACCGCTGCATGCCTGGTCGGCGTGAGTGGTTAGGTCTTCGAGCAAAAGGGCCGCCTTGCATCCATAGCGCACGGAACAGCCTTCCAAACCCCCTCACTGTGTTCGTGGCTCCGCGGGGCCTGGTCATGCAGGGCAAGATCTGTTGGAGGAGCGCCATCCCGCTCAACATCGAGCTTGCAGCCTGCACTATCAAAGTCACTTGAGCGTCAGGCCTCCACTTCGCTGCATTTCCTTCTGGCGCTACGTTTGCGTGTGCATGTGTCGGCGGGAGTGGTACCCTACTCGAGTGGTCTGTGAATCGAGCGCGCCATCTGATGCCCTACTATGCATCGCAGTAGGAACAGTACAGCAAACCAAAAACAAGCCGACGTAACCCATCCCGTGCCATCCCCAGCGCGTCTGTTGCAAAGGTCGTAGGGTGTCGGCAGCCGCTCGCTCGGCATTTGGACGTTGGACCCTGCATTCGCAAGCCATGCCAGATCACCGAAGTTTATTAGCCGTTGTCTGTGAGCATCCTGCGCCCACTCGCCAAGCCATTTGGGTACTCGATAAGCTCTAGGGTGGATTGTTTTTTTATTTCCGAGATCGCACACTAGTTTTGCAATACGAGTGATAGCACGAGGCGTGTGGAGAAGCAAAGTCGGCTTTCCAGACGCATGCGGTACCGTAGACAATCTATGTGCAACAGCATTCCATACTTCTGGAGATCGTCAGTAAGCGTTTCCCCGCGATCTTCATATGAGCCAGGCATGCGGCTCTGCGAGATCGACCAGCAGCTTAGGATTGTCAGGCACATGTCTTGAACACGTTCAACGGAGCTGCGCAGTGCAGCAATGGGTTGCGCAAACACCGTCCGCCGAGGCTTATGTGCAGCTAGTGCTCAACAACCGCTCCATAACCGCATAGCGCACAAACAAACTCCCACTAGAACCGGGCAGCAAGTGAACCGAACAACGCCTAAACCAGCGTCAAAAAGCCAGGCAGTAAAACAGCAAAAGAAAACAGTCGGCGAGGCAGCGAATCAAGTGCTCCCGACGCTCTGGTACATTAACCACCAGGTCCATTTGCTAGCAAAAACACTAGTCACGGGCAGCGGTGCAATTGCGCGCTACAGCCAATGGCAGCGTGGTCAGCCAAGAGAGCGCTACGACTCGGCAAGCCGCACTTACGAGTTCTCAAGCCGCCCGATGTAACGTTCATCGAAACTGCGGGAGTAACGCGGGCTGTCAGGCTGTCAATCTTGGGGGTGGCTGCGCAACGCACGTCTGTGCTACAACAAAGTTTGAGCTGGAGATTCTGCATGTCCGATTCCTATCGCATGATCTCCAGAAAGTTCCCGCCCTCCTAACGGATAAGGTACATGATCATCACTGTCAAGCCAAGGAATTGGGTAGGAAAAGCAAACACTTTCCACTTCGCAAGGCCCGAGAGACATGGAACACGAGAATTGTGATGTGGTTCGCAGATCAAAATCTTTCTCTTTCCTAATCAGATAACGCGGCATCACAGCCGTTACTACTACCCTATCTCTCCTTTATGCGTCCGGAAGGACGCGCAATGCCAATGCTTTCCAACGCGCTGGTGGGGTTTGTCTCGACATTTGACTCGAGTCGAAGTCCACGTTTTCATTCTTTGCCCGGCTTGAAGGAGAATTATCGGATAACCAGGATGTGATCAGACGCACATGATCTCCACGAGCACGTGCATACTGCATGAGGAAAGCCGCATTCCCCTTTCTGACAGGACATCGCATGGGTCTTCACATCTCGGGGCCTGAACGGGTCAGGACGCGCATTGGCATTGAAAGCCCTGCCAATGAAATGAGGCTCAAAGGTCGCCGAGCAAAACCTCCATCTAACTTCCTGTCGCTACCCTGTGATGCATCCCTATCTTTCTGTGAAGTTTCCGGTACTGTGGTTGAGTGTCTAAGCGCTCCTGCATGACTTCTTTCTTGCAGATTGACTTTGACCTTTCGAGCAAGTGGTGCAACAGCAGGCAGTGCGCTGTCAATGCTTGGTCTGTAAAAAGGAAGGCGCGGGCGCCTTCTCGACATGTCGTGGCTCTATTGATGTTGAAATGACGCTGGTCGTGATGTAGCATTCATTTGAGCATTTCATCGAACGACGTGCTCTACGACTGTCCGTTCGCTTTCGTGATGGCGCGAGCTCTGAAGTCCCGGTCGTGCCAAGGTAGACTGTCTCGTGTTGGTCTTACTATGGGCATTGTTCGCCCTGTTTGAGTTGGCATCGTCCAGTGAACCAGACTTCTTTGTTATGAGAGAGTCTGATTCTTGTTCATGGGCTAATTTCTCAATGTTTGCCTCAGTCAGAGGCATTGATGGTTCGTTCTGTGGCCCCTGAGAGCTGTTGTGGCGGATGAGCTGTGGCCCGACTATGGAGAGCAGTTTTTCGTCGCGCAATTTCGTGTCTCTTTCCTCAGCGTAGATACGCCGCATAGCCCGCTCACCCTCGTTCTCGTTGGACCTTGTGAATGCTGCATCGCTCTGGTAATGAAGGCGGTCAAGTTCAGCGGTCAATGCCTGCGCCGTTGTTTCAGATTCAACCGACAGGCCTGCCGTTCGCGGGTGATCTTTTGCCCTAGAGCCCACCTTGGAGCTTGGGGTTGCGACGCTGTGTTGATCATTGTCGTTTGTGGGTGGCTTGCTTTTCGCCGTCTTTCGCCGTCCTTCGAGTGCCCACTTGACAAGCATCTTCAGGTCGTTAGCGGGCCCACCAGTTGGCTTGGGGAAACCTACCTTCTCCAGCAGCTTCCCTTTGACTGGCTTGGCGAGATAGTCCTACAGAGTCTTAGCATCTCCTATATCACGAATCCGAAGGTGTGCCCGGTGAAAACTTACATCCATACCACACGATACACACTTCTCCTTGTCGCCTTGGATCGCGCTAGCCGTCATGGCAACGATCGGAACACCTCGAATTTCGGGCATATTGCGCCATGGCGCCTCTGTCCTGATAGCATGGGTGGCGGAGTAACCGTCTCGAATAGGCATCTACAATTCCAGTTAGCAAGCAAAACGTGCAAAGACTCGTACGAAACTGCCTCACTTGAACGTCCATCAGGATGATATCCGGGCGTGGGTGTGAAGGGCCGAACTCCTGCATTAGATACTCCAAAGCTTCCTGGCCGTTCCACACTGCATTGACCGAGAAGTGAAGCTTTTTGATCGTCTTGAGTGCGATTTGTTGGTTGATGTGACTGGTCGTTTATTAGTCACCTTTTTCATGAGGACATGCTCAAGCGCAACTTACTTATCCTCGACGACGAGAACATGAATCTGTTGTCTTTCGTTTTCGGGAAGACTCATCAGATGATCCGGAATGGCTGATTTGAGCAATGGGTATGGTGAGCTCCCATTAGGAAGTTGTGGTGTCAACGGCGGTGTGTGGCCTTCCGAGCTGCCACATGAGACTGACATGTCACTCTGAAGTCGATCTGGAATTGACTCTAGATGAACTAAAGGTGATTCTCCGTCTTGCGAAGGCGCACGAGTAAACGGTATCCAGAAAGTAGCAGTAGTACCTTGTCCCAGCTTCGAGTCCAGCCATATCTGACCTTTCATGAGCTCAACCAGGTTCTTGCTGATGGTCAAACCCAGGCCAGTTCCACCGAAGCGTCGAGCCGTGGACGAATCTGCCTGACTAAAGGGCTGGAATAATCGCTTGCGGACCTCCTCTTCTATGCCAATTCCAGTGTCCTCAACGTTGAAGTTGACCGTGACCATATCCTTTGATTCTTGACTGATGGAGACGGCAAGTCTTACGGTACCCACCGAGGTGAATTTGATGCTGTTGGTTAGCACGTTGGTGAGAATTTGCCGTAATCTGCCTGGATCTCCCATCACGCGCAGGTCTGCCTGAACCTCATCTTGTATGGAGCTCTGGTAATCCAGACCTTTCCTCTGGGCAGCAAAAGACATCATCTGAGCGGGTCAGTAGGAACAATGAGGTCATATACTGTACTCTGTGACATACCTTGTTTACGTCTCGGAGAACGACGCTGAGACTGAACTGTACCTCCTCAACGTCCAGTCGTCCAGACTCAACTTTCGAAAAGTCCAAAATGTCATTGATGACCGTCAAAAGACTGTTCGCGCTTCGATGGATGTTCTCGGCACATTCCTTCTGTTCCTCGTCCAGGTTCATATCGAAGAGGAGCTCAGACATACCAATTACGCCAGCGATAGGTGTCCGGATCTCGTGGGACATGTTAGCCAAGAACTGCGACTTCATCCGACTTGCTTCTTTCGCTGCCGCTTCATTGGCCAGGAGCCTCGAATTCTCCTTCTCTTGCTCTTTGAGTTGTTCTTCTCTTTCCCGCAGCTCAGTTATATCCATAGAAACACCAATCACACCGTTCACAAAAGCACTGCCTTCGACGCCTGCAGTCCTGGAGGCGCTCATGAGCGGTACTAGACGGGTCCGGTAGTAGCGAGCTTCCGACAAGTATCTTCCGTTTACGACCTCGGCTGATTGTTTTCCCTGTAAGATCTCCTGAATAGGACCATGCCAACGCGCTCGATCGTTGCCACGCAACTCGAAGACATCGAAAACGTTCTTTCCAACCAGTTCGTCCTTCTTGTGTCGTTCGCTAGCCGCAATATCTCCTTCCAAGACCTTGACCTCATTGTTGCGGTCGATGACCCATAGGACTATTTTCGCGTGCTGAATGACCTGCTGTAATTGCTCTCTTGTCTGACGAGCCTCTTGACGTGCTAGGACCAGGTCGTGAATATCGGTACATGTGCCAAACCACTTGACTATGCGTCCGGAGTCATCGTAAAAGGGTAAAGCTCGTCCCAACATCCAGCGCCACTCTCCATCATAGCGCTGACATCGGTATTCTGTGTTGTATTCTTCGCCTGTCTTGAGAGAGTGGAACCAACGTTGAGCAGTTGCTGCCATATCATCTGGATGGAACGGTAGGCGCCAGCCCTCGCCTAATGATTGATCGACAGTCAAACCTGTGTAATCATACCACCGTTGAGAGAACCAGTCGTGAAGCCCATCAGGTGTAGTCGTCCATACCATGACTGGCATGAAGTTTGCAATGTACTCAAACTGCTTCTCGTTCTCTTCAATCTGGGCGGCAATTTGCTTGGTATACTCGGTGATATCCTTGAAGACCACTATACCACCGAGGAAATCCCCAGTCTCTTCGTGAAACACAGGCTCTCCATTGATCTCATACACAATCCGAGTACCTGTTAGCGGATGTCGCATACCGATACGCCGTCCTCCGACTCTTTCTCGTGTACGGCAGACCTCAATAATGGGGAACTCGTCGAGGTCCAGAAGGCGCTGGAAATCTTCGGTCCAACAGGTAAACTGGCTGAGGAAATCTCGCTGGTCTCCAGGCGCATAGGTGGAATCTTTCGAAAGTAGTCGCAGGAGGGCTTTGTTTGGAATTCCGAAGCTTTGGTCTTTCCACATTGCTGTAAAAGGGTCAATCAGAGACTATCAGAAAAATGTGGAAACATACATACCGTAGGCGGGCATGGTAATAGAGTTCAAGATAGCGTCCTTGAGTTGTGTCGCCTTTTGGAATATAGAGGCCGAATTTGCAATGTCAGCCTTGCCCCTAGTAGGAGGACCTCGAGGTGGGAATTCAGGCTGCTGTAGTGTAGGCGTAACAGCTTTGGAATTCGAATTCGAGCTGCTTCCCGAACGACGGCCTGATGAAGAGCTGGAGCCCGAGCTTCGGGACTTGTCGAGGCGAGCTCCCGTGTTTGTACGAGTGACTATACGACTGGAGGGTGGTGGCGCACTGTCAGCTGCTATTGCACTTGTGAAAGTCAGCGTGTAATATTGGGTCTCTTCAATGCTCCAAATGGATATGATGCAAGATGCCTGCATTGCATTTTCGTAATCTCCCTTTCTTTCAGACTTGTGCAACGTGCCCTCGGAATCCAAAGAAAGTGGCGCAATGACCACCTCTACTGATACGTCGCGTACCGTTGTTCGAGAAAGGTTCGTACTGCTCAGGCGCGGCAATGGTTTTGTCGACCGAGGGTTTCCTTGAGATGTCATGCTCGCTGCGGTCGGCGTGGTGTGGCCGCTGCCCATATGCGAATCTCCATCTTCATCTAAGCTGCTTGCTATCGAGTCGTCGATTACGCAGTCCAGAAAGCTCTATAAAAGTTAAATGGACAATCCAAGTGCGAATGCAAGAGCTATGACGAACCTCCCACGTGATCAGAATTGGGGAGCCATTCTGTAGAATATCTACACCAAGATCACCCATAGTTTTGTCCTGCAACGCCTCCGATATTGAAAGATCATGAATACTTTCAAAATCAATACCAAAAAGGCGACCCATGGCCTCGTTCGCCAACACTACCGTCTTTTGCGCAGACAAGACAAGAACCGGTACTGGCAAGTACTGAAGCGCAGTAAACGAAGCCATGGTGGCTGATGGCTCCGTGAGATGCATTGACATCGAGTCGCTACGAATCGAGCTGGGAGACGCAGATCTGGAGCGAGAGCGCTCTCCCATAGGGAAGTAGCCGCCATCGCCGCTGTCGGTCTCTGTCATTATGATCACGGTGGTGTGGTGGCGCGAGTATTATAGCCGCGTAGGGTCGTGATGCGACTCGTGTATCCGCGAACCGAGGCGACCGCGGAAGATAGGGCCGATTTCGAACGCCTCAACCAGACCAGTTAACAACATGGAGTGAACGCCCTGTCCTGATCATGAGAAATTTCGCGCGCAGCCGTATTCGAGGTCGGGAGAGAGAAATGCGAGTTTGCGGCGTGGAAAGACGTTGGGCGATGTCTGTCGACACGCTTTGGGGATCGCTATACGAGGGGTCGATCGGAAGGTCTAGACCCTGACAGATGCTACCAAGGTAACTACCGATGCTGCAAAAAGTGAATCGAGAGAGGCGACAAGCACACAAAGGCACCACCAGGAAGAGGTATGAGTGAAGGTTAAAGATGTCGCGAAGTTCTAGAAGCACGCTTCCGGGATGTCGGGTGCTATAACCATGACGCAAATTTGGCAGGTGAAAGAAGTGGAAGCACTTTTGAGACGGCGTGCGTCCGTAGCGGCCATAGGGAACATCCCCGAGCGCTGCCATTCGATGGAACATGGTTGTCGGGTGTTTGGCGCGAGATCTGGGGGGTCCATTCCTTTGGCTGATCCGGCGGCGATCATTGTGGGCTGAACACTCTTCAGCTAAGGGTCTCCAGGTCTACCTAGGTAGGTACTTTCCCGCCTTCTCTTGTCACCCTTAGACCGGGCAGTACATTGTGCATGGTGATCATGTCAATGGATTGTTCTGACAATGATCTTCACTACTGTTCATGGCCTTCTGGCGAGGATAGGGTATGATCGACAGGCGGTTCAACATGCCGCCTTGTTGGAATGCGATCGACAAGCGATGCACGGCAATCGAAATTCACATATTTACGATGCGAATGTAGCTCTTCCGGAATCACGATATCTGGTGCACATGTAGAAATCTTACTGATACAGCCATACCGAACTCTGTATTACCATATCGTTGATTTGGGGCGACGTCCTGTCAAGAAGCCCGAGCTGCTTCGAGATGCGCTGTGGTATGGGTTCCGCTTACATAATCCCGATGATGGTGATGTTGAAGCCCAGGACGACAACTGTCTTTCTGCTAGGCTGCTACATCGACACCTGCGGCTCTCAGCGATACCATCTTCGCATACCGTAGTGCACGACACAACAACACGATCCTGCTCAAATCTTACAAATGTTCTTCTTCGGGCTCGGCGGGCTGTTCACAGGTATTACATGTGAAGTCGCATCTGATAGATCCGCTCGCTAACACGCGCAGTCGCGGTACTCCTCGTCAACGCCATAGCAATCCTCTCGGAAGACCGTTTCCTCGCACGCAGTACGTCTACCAGGTCTTCATGACCCTCCGCAATCCTTGCGCATCTACGCATCCACTGGCACACGCGAATCTACAATTGAGCATCCGACTGACCAGGTCATAGTTGGGTGGACGGCATCTGCAGAACCCGGTTTCGGCGGTCCTCGCGACGATGCCAGCATAAAAGCGCGATTGATCAACCTCGTATCCTCAGTACGGACACTCATGAGGTGTACGTGTACCCCTCCATTCTCTCCAAGCCCACGTCCCTTGGAGGGGTGGAAGACCAAGTCAGGACACAGTTGCTGACACGATGCAGTACCGTTGATGTTGATCAACACCCTCATGATAATCTATCTACTAGTCCTCGGCTGAGCGCGGCGCATACACGTTACGAACCAGATCCCGACGATTTCGATTAGCATCTATACGGCGCAGGAATGGGCGTACGCAAGCGTTTGGCAGTGCACGCTACAAAAGGTTGACTTTATATGACGGAGTTCATGGCAACAAATACTTTATTGAAGAGCATTTGATATCCCTGCTTGAAGCGAGCGACTTGGGGCAGGACATGGAGGAGAGCACACCCTGATGGGATTGAGTGGGGCTGTTGAATCATAAGATACCACGTCATTCTCCCGCTGGAGTATGCAGAATTGAGCCTCACAAATTGCTTTATCTTTGGGTACGTTGCCAATGTGATCCGTATAAGCAAACTGGTCAGGCATATGGAAGTGAGAGAATGGAAATGGAGACATCTCGAGATTATGTGTAGTTTCAACAAAGACAAGCGATTGAATAATCCGAATATAGCGAATGATTTTGCTATCTATGATATCTGAGTCCCTAGAGAAGAGTGCAGATCGCGCTTACTGCTAAGGGAAAATTACCAAATGGTGAGGGTGTCGTACTCGAACACGACCTCGATTTCTCGATTTCCAGCACAGCGACGAATCCACGCAGATATTTCCTTTTCCGAGTGACGAGCCCACGCATTTTTCTTGTCCCAAGACATGCAGCCATAGATCACAACGCGCTCAAGGCCTATCATTGTTTCCAAAGTCCAGAGGGCGGCCAATGCATTGTTCTGCACTATATGCCTACCAGTCACCGGGATAACCTTACGAGTGAACTTGAAAGCCCTTCTAGGGACCCTGGACCTGGTTATAGCATCTCATTGCGCGTTGCTGAGTTTATTCAGGAACGCCATGGTATCCTCGGGCGGAATCTGGAAAGCGTAGAGCTTGAAAGGTAGGAGGCGTGTCTCGGCATGGATCTGGCGGCTGACAGCGAGGAGCCGCAGATCCGCAGATCCGCAGGGAGGGGTAGGCGGCGATCAAGATGGCTCTTGTACATCTCTGAGAACTTGGGAATTGTGGTGTCGCGAAACGCATAGGCATAGATTTGGTTGCGAATGTCGCCAGGGAGACGCAGAAAGGCCGACTCTCGCTGGTTGCGCGTGGTGCTACGGCGATATTAGCAATAACCTGGACAGCGCGAGAGTTCTGTCACAACTTACATGATTTCTGCCTGTTGTTCTTGAGCAAATCGGGCGCCGTCCCTTACTACCCGTACCATCGTTGTGTTTCGTACGCGATCCAAGCCTGGTGGTAGGCAAAACAGAAGGAGCGTCGAAGGTGGTTTCCAAGGTTACGAAAACAGTCCAATCGGGCTAGTGACAGCAAACAGTCCTCTGATGTCATCCATGGATTGCTGTGCATTATCGGGAGATGCGCCTCTTCTCTCACTTCAAACGACCTTCACCTCCTTCGCCACTGCGGCACAAAGTTCGACACTCACTCCCGCGCCAGAAAGTACGTGTATCCAAAGCCTCTGTGTATCACTCAAACGGTCGTTCTCACTTTTCACCTCTGCGAATTTGACTTCGCCCTTCTTCCCCTCTTCTTCTGGAACTCGCCAAAGAAACAGATCGGGTACACCCCCACCTCTTTGCCCGTATTCCTGTGCCATGACTTTGCACACCGTTGCCAGCGCCTCACCGTCGAAGCAGCGAGCGATCTCAAGCAGATCCACAACGTCGTATGTCCAGTCTAAACCCACAACGCAAGTCCGACGCTCGTGGTGGTCATCGTAGATCCTCTGGATGATGGCGGGTGCGTCGCCGTTTGATATCTCGTTCAATCTTGCGTTGATCTCGGATATTCGTGATGGATAGAAGGCGTCGGTATGTAAATCCAATGGACAGGTCTGATACGGTGTTTGAAAGACATTGGGTACATACGTGAACAAGACGTCGAAGAACAGGTATGCGAAGAGCGTTCGTACAATGCCACCTTCGCTGTGATAGCCTTTCCAGCCTTGGTCGCGGTAATGCGAGAGACACATGGCTTCAACCGAGCATTCGCCGTCCTCGCGCGGATCAATCCATATCGTCTTTCCACCCCGTCGGCCAAATTTCGAATGTGGTGAGCTATTTCGTCTCGACAGTGAGGGTCTTTCGCGTTCGATGCGTGTTCCCTCCATGACAACTTCGACCGGCTTCGTCAAGCGGACGTGTGAGAAGTCGTGTTGCAATCGTTTAACAAATTTCAGAGATAGTTCAAGTTTGGCGATACGCTTCTGCAAATCATAGTGATAAATAATGTGCACGAGGTTATCCTGCAACCCGTCTTCACAGGTCTGCAAAGCAATGAGCTTCCAATGCCTCTTTTGTTTCTCTGCGCTTCTGCCCTCTGCATCAGCCAGTGCGGCCATGTAGTGTTCTTCAAGCAATGCTTTGCGCTGATACCAAGCTCCTCTGCGAGAATGATGGAACAGTCGCTGTTGCAGCAGTTCATTCAAGAGTTCGTGCTCGCGCCTGTGCTCCTTCTTTCGTCTAAGTATATCAAGTGTCTTGTGAATGATGCGCGTGTATACCCAAGCTGGCGAAAGGCGACGAAGGTATGACCCTTCGCCACTTTGGTAGACGCTGTCCTCTTTTCGCTGCTCTTCTTGAACAAGCACCTGCCAGCGCGGGTATACCTCCTCAAAAGTATCCATGATTTCTTGATACCCTTTCTCCGTTGGCCTTCCGTTGAACTCCAAGATGCTGTCTATCCGGTATTGTGTCCGTATAGAAGCCTCATACTCGAGCAATAGGGACCGAGAGGCGAAGATGTTCGCAGATCGAGAGACAATGTACTCTGGAAAGTTCCAACGTGCTATCTTCGCCAAAATGATGGTTGTCAATGACTTCTCGGTCCATTCGGTAGAGCGGTAAAAGACAAGGTGGACACGTTCGAAGAGCTTCAAAGTGGCCAGCGAGAGTCGTATACAAGAGCCAGTTTCTTGCATAATCCTCCGCGTGAAATGCGCATCGCGGTTAGCATCATCGGAGAGATCGCCTTCTGGCTCTAGCTCGACATCGGGCGTTTCTGGTCGGGATCTAGATACGGAAGATGCTCGTGACATATCCGAATCCGACCGTTTCAATCCAACATGGCCCAGACCGGCCTGTTTCTGACTTGTGCGTCGTAGAGCCTTCAAAAGCTCACTCTTGTTCTTTCCCTTGACCTTGGCATCCTTTGCAAGAGCCTTCAGTTCGTCAAGTTTCAACAGGGATGATGCTTCCTCAAGTGTGCTTATTTCCTCCTCAGATCGATCCGCGAAAGTGAACGTGCTGCCCAGTGTAGTGCCTGCAGGGGCCTCTAGTTCGCCCGGATGCGACTCGACTTCGGAGGAGGAGACTGGAAGGTCGTATGTACGTTGCAGTGTCTCGGCTGCTGCGTCAAGATCTGAGATGTCGCCATGGTAGCCCAGACTCTTTATGCGATGCCATGCGGACGTCTTGCGAAGGAACAGTCGTACGTATCTATGAGAAAAATCGCAGTCAGTATGATAGTAGTACTCGCTGTACTAGATCTTAGAGCTTACAGATATTGCGCTTCGTAGCCTATCTCTCTCCACGTCCGGAAGACTTCTGTTTCGGCCTCATCAAAAAGGTGGCCTTCCTCGTCCAGCACAGTATCCAACGCGAGGTTGAATGCGTCGACATAGAGCGAGCTTTTGCCCCGAACCCATGATCGCTTCTCCAGGCGCTCATCTGTTCCGGCTGTCTTGCTCTCTTCCTCCGCCTTGTACGCCTCATACGCCTTGATGGCGTCATCACCTGTGTCAACTTGTGGTAGCGCACTCTCTAGATCTGTATTGTGTTCTTGTTCTTCCTCTTTGATCACAGTGCCACCACTCTCGTTGTCAGAGTCAAGCACTTCGCGCTTTACGGCCTTGCGAGGTGTTGGTGGAGGTTTCTTGGGGCTATTGCCCGTCTTCTGGCGCTTGGCCGGTCGATCTTGCTCGCCATCGAAGTTGGTAGATTTGGGATGCTTGATGAATCGGGTTATCATTTGATTGTGTACCGAAGGACTCCGAGGATTGAGCGCCATTGCGAGGTCGCAGCAAGCTGCGGAGCGGCGCCTCGAATCAATGCAAGTAGCACTCGCCACAGGCCAAGGCGACGCGCGAGATCGCGCTGTCACGAGGCACTAATCCTCAGCAGGACTTAGCGTATTCTGGCCCCTGACGTCATCGCGATGCCCTTTGATCTTTGAGTGAAGGACCTCCGCCAGGTTCAACGGACCTGAAAGGTGCCCAATCGCCGAGTGAAAACATTTGTACCAAGTGTACTTGCACAGGACGCCTTTGCTACGTGGAGTAAACCTCTTCATGTACTATAAACATCTAACCGCCTTCATGGGAAGTGGTCTAGGTGAGGATACCGCAGCCACAATCGACAGCTCTTAGTACTTGCCTAACACGGTAACATCTGCTCCAGGTTGAGATGAGATGCGACAGCAATATACGTGTGAAACTCTGCCTCTTAAGATCTACGTTAGGCAGAACCTGTTAGCAGCGATGTCCACTAAGAAGAATAACGACGCTAGCGGAGCAGGTGGAGGGTTGCGGGTGAAGGATATCCTACCGCAATCAATGGCTTTCTATATTGCTTAATTGGGTAACGTCTAGCTCAAGATGAGTCGAAATCCGATACATTCAGTAGACCCGACGAAGCGCGTCTACTGACAATAGGCCCGAGAGTTGGCATCATCATCTTCCTGCCTGCGCCTCCGGCCCTTCGCACCGAACCACTCTCGACTGAGCCAACTCCAACCTACTTCCCATCCATTGGTCACTTTGAATCTCTACTTCAGTATCAATCTGTACGCCCATGTAGGCAACACCAGGTACACCCTTCCGACTACTCGCCGCTTCCAAATCTCCTCTCCTGTCGTCGCTTCTTTGGATATCCTCCGTTCCCACGAAGGGGTCCTCGCTTTCTAGTACTCTCTGCCCAGATGCATGCATCGAAATTACACCAGATTTGATATCATAAGCGAGCTCGACGTCGTGTGAGCTGAGGTTTGTAAAGGTGCGTGCACGGCTCTGGCGTTTGGTCCTGGACAGGTTGCCGTATCCATGCGAGCTTTGTCCAGGCATCTTTGACTGCCCAGTGGCATAATAGCTTGTGTGCTCACGAAGGAAGCGTATGTGTTCGCGGAGAAGAGGCCAGATGCCAGGGAGATTAGCTACGTAGACGGCAACAGATGCCTCACGTGTATACCACAGCATGTATGTGGTGGAGTATACGTCCGATAGATTGTAAACTTTTGTCAGAATTGCTGCGACGATCTTATCGATGGTGTCAGCAAGAAGAAACCTCAAGATGACAGGAAGGGGAACGTACAACAAAGATGCCCATGCTGAATAGTATGCCCAGCACAGCTTTCTGCTTCAGAGGAAGAGAGAGCGACATGATCATCGGTATCGGCACAGCGATTATGAGCACATCACTACTTATGTTAAAAGTTGCCTGCACTATCGCGAAGTGCTCAAGGGTTGTGCATTGCGGATTTGGCGGCGGTACTGCCCAGTATCCTACGAATGGGCGGCACGCACTGAAGAAGGTAATTTCGACAGAGAACCAGCCAATAACGACCCAAAGTGCAGCCGCTTTAATCCACTTCATGTTCGTTGTTCCGGATAGCATGCGAGCAAACATGAACAGCATGCAGGCTTTCAGAGACCAAATGACGTTCAGCATGCACTACTGGGTATTAGCCGTGCGTCATAATGTGTATGTGTCTCAGTAGCTGTTAACGTACTTGCTCGGAAACGACGACGATCTTTGATCCTTTAATTCGCTCATCGATTTCTTCTTGAGCGAACGTGGAGAACTGCTCTGGCGGGAAGAGATTACTTCCACCACCCGTTGCGATGATGTTCAAACACACAATCAGCCCAGTATAGAAAGTTGGTACGGCTGTTGCCATGATCCAATCATCTGCTGCGAAGACGGTCAAACTTCCGACTCGATGCCACCGCGCATATCTGTTGTCAAGAGTGAGCATGGCGATAGGTCTCGACCGGGTATTACTAACGTGCGAAGCAAGATCATAGCCATGCCGATGCCGTACAATATCCATGACTGCACCGCCAATTGCTGCGGGAAGTCGGACATGTTGGTCCCTCCTACGATCGGGAAAATGATGCTATCGCCCAAAAGTCGTTCGGGTACAGGTTGTTGTCCACGAGATCTGTTGTGAAGAAAAATGAATGCTTGTATATATCAATTGTATCACCTCCACATGCGATGCTCCATGCTTCGGGTTGTTAATAGCTCGGCCCTTGCATAGTGTCAAGATAAAGGGCTTTGAAGCCTCGAAACAAAATGACAGCTCAAGACAATAAGGATGGTAACCGCGGGAATCCCATTGCTTGGCCAAGATAAACACACACACGCTGCACCTATCAACACACCTGGACATCAGACCATATTTGGGTATAACCCAACATACGGGACGGGTACTCTGAGACTATACCCACAAGAAACATGAATGAGCATCTCCGCGAAGGTGTCATCGGTATCCTAGAATCCTTCAGAGCTCCATGGCGTGGAAGACCCGTGGCGAAGATCACCATCTAAGTCGACCTATATAGTTAGCATGCTGTGCCAGCCCGTTGACCTTTACCAAGACTGTTAGTACGAGTCTTTGATTGGTGAGAATTGTGGCCGACAGGTAAGTTTGCCCCTGGACGAAGCGCGGGATGCAACATTCAGCGTGATGGGGTCGACCGAAAGCGTGGGATGTAGGCGCCGCCCGAGGCGGACGCCTCCAGCCGTACGGTAGGTATCGTCCGCATCTCAAACATCTGAAGGCTTCACGTGAAAGAGAAGCCTAGGGTAATCCTACTCACGGCAGGACGAGCGGTGAGTAACAGCCTCAACAACGAGAGAAACACCGTGTCGTTGACCGAAACGTGTATTTGACACGCATCACGCCGCCCAGCTCAATCTCCAAGACCACACGAGCCACTCAAGTTGCATATGAGCGTAGTGACACTCCGGTAATAAGACATGAGTTGTCCTGCCGTATATGCGTCTGTTTGCGCTAATATTTACACAGAGATGTTGAAGCGTGGAGGCGGGGAGGGTGCGCGATAAGAGAAAAAGGAATTACGACGGAATGCGGATGTCATCCGCCAAGCGATCCCTGTCACTGCCGAATCCAACATTCCATGAGCTTTCAGAAACCAACCAAGACTTGATTACAAGGGACCTATCTCAAAAGAAACATATATACATTCTCAAGATAAGGAAATATGCAGGTCCCAACAGACCTTCCAGCACTAGAAACAGACAGCGGAGAAACCGGAACAGCTCCATAGGAGATCTGCATCCAGGTACCAAGCCACAACATGCAGGGAAGGACCAACCACGTACACCAACCCCAACGCCAGAGAAAACGCTGAATGTAAACGCTAAACCGCTCAGAAAGCTCCATGCATAGAGAAGACATAATCCATGAGCGAAACACTGATCTAAAGCGCCCAACTGCCTTTCCTAACGGCAGTCCCGCGCCCCCCAGCCATGAATTCGTCTTCAGCCATGTGGGGGTGTTGCCTCGCCCACTCCTGAATATAGATGCGTAGGGCGCGCCAGCGCATGCATGTCTCTTCGGTAATCTGGGTGTCCTTCAGATTACCGTCCTTTCCTAGACGGATGTAGCCACGAGATTTGGCAAGGTGATCGTCTTGTCTCAACTCGGAAATTGGAATGTGCGAAATCTTTGAAAGCTCTTCATCGAACGGACGCGCCATTGATGGATAGCCTAGTGACAGGTAGTTGTACACTTGAGTGACAAAATTGTCACCAAATTCCTCTTCGATGGACTGCTCGACAGCGAGCTTCTCATCGATTCCCGAGAAGTCTGTTTGGCCAAAAGTGATGCCGGAGCTCGATGCCGGAGGCGTAGGTGGCAACAGACTCGTCGAAGGCGTTGGACAAGGCGACATGGGATTTGGCTTCTCATTGTGGGGCGTGAGTAGACCGGTTGGCCCGCGTGGGGACTTGTCTCCACCATTGACGCAAAATCCACCCCACAAGCCATGCGTGCTTGAAGCTCGGCTATTGGCATTGGACCATAGTGATGGTGTTGTGCTTGTTTGCCGCCCATTGCCCTTCCCACACCACAGACTTTCTCCTGTTTCAGACGCGGCTTTGGACTGCTCCGAGAGATAGCACATGGCCGTCCTAACCGCGTCGCATCCTTGAGTAGGGTCAAAACGAGATGGCTCCGGTGATGCACATCGCGGGAACTTGATGTCCTGCCCAAGCATGGGAGGTCGGGCTTCCTTGCGTTGGCGCTCTAATTCAGGGTCTTTTCGCTCATTCGCAAACTTCTTTGCTGTAGCAGCATCCAGAAAGCCGGCTGGGTTTCCGAATGGACTGGAAGCAGGCTTGACATACTCTTTCGGCTTCTGCTCCTCTTTACCGGCTTTCTGCTTCTCCTGATACTCACGCATGGCAACTAAATCCCAATTGACCTGCGTGAAGGACGATTCTCGCTGCGGCTTGGCCTCAGTGACTGATGGCTCTGAGCCTTCTGTGTCATGATCCACGTAATGGGCCACGGGTTCGTGAAAGTCGCTGTTCGGGAACGCAGCTAAGGCCTGTTCCCGAAGCTGTTTCTCTGCAGCTTTAGCAGCCAACTCAAGTAGGTAGCCAGCAGAACTGTCGTCGACACTTTCTCGTCGTCGAGTAGCTTCTTTGTACATGAACGAATGGTCTGAAGTATAAGGTGGCGACTCGGTCGGCGATGGCGGCGCAGATGCTTCAGACTCGGAAGACTCAATCGGGTCTAAGTCAGGAACGCGGAACGAGTGCTGCGAGGAGCTAAAGTACGACCGGCGCCTACACGGTGAGGCGTTGCGTTGTATCTCCAAAAACAAAGGGTTCTGTTTGATATCAAAAGTCGGTGTGTTTGTTGGCGGTGTGGGAGGGATTCCCAGTATCCTTGCTTTCCGGGCACTTATTGCAGAGTCCGGGGTAGCCTCAGTCTTGTCGGACGGTTGTATGGCGGGAGTGTCGTCCCCAGCTTTGCGATGCCTTTGGGCAGTTTCGATCAATTGCGGTCGGAATTTCTTCGTAGGCAGTTTTAGCGAACCCTTGTACTGGCAATTATAGCTGGAAGCCGCTTCCATAGGATCCGCTTTGAATTTCCCGGTGGGGGATGTTTGTTCTTCCCAGTCCTTGGCAAACTTCTGACGACTGCTTCGTGTGGTCGTCTCCACTGGCTCGGGAGCAAAGCGACGGTTGGATCTCTTGGTAGTCTCAACGGGCTCAGGCGCAAACCTACGGCTAGACTTGGAACTTGATTTTGTTGTCTCTATTGGCTGTGGTGCAAACCTCCGTGGCTTCGGCCTCTCGGCCTGTTGTGCCGGAGCTTTGTCCTGCTCTGCCGCAGCCTTGTCCTTGGAGGACGAGACAGTTGTCTCGATGGGCTCGACCTTGAAACGCCTGGGAGGAGCTGCTGACGCCATCTTTAAGTATGTCCAGCACTCGACGGGAGCTCCCTGATGCTATACTTATACAGGCAATGGATATATCACCAATGGTGTGTCTTCGCCAATAGCAAGACTATGCGGTCGCCCGGGTAGACTAGTGGCAGACGCCTAGTATCTGGGGAGGTGCGGAACCGAAGCGGGGAATTTACTCGGAATATTTCGGAGGCATGTAAGTGCGTACGGGCGCTGTTGAGCGTGACAGCGACGTTGCGGACAATGCTCGGTGCAAAAGTAAGCACACGCAAGCCCCGCTGGCGGTATGTTGTGGTGGAAACGCTGGGATGGAGGGTGCAGCCGATGCTGGCTAGTTTGGGGGCAGGGAATTGTTTGCGGCGGTCGATTCGGAGGCTCGTAGGGCTCAAGGGTGCTCGTGTGGTCTTGGAGCATGTCAGTCGCGTGCCATTTTGCTTCTGGACGTCTCCCCAGCTCGGGCTCAACTTACTGCACCCCGTATCGCAGTTCCCACACGGCCAAGGGTTTGTCGAACTGCGGAAAGCGTTTGAAGGAGAGGTTGCCGAGAAACATGTGAATGGCACAATGTCTAGTAGCTGGCGCTGGTGTATGAGTGGTGCAGAATGACGTATGGTGGAGCGACTGCTAGGAACAGCCCGAGAGCTACCGCGGGGGTTTGCGGGTTTGGATATGCGCGTATGTGCACTGATGGTGAGCGCCGTCAGTTATATCCAGGGCGGACGTGATACGGCGTTGCTAAACGTTCAATCGTGGAAGACGCTCGTTGGGTGACGGCAGGGTAGTTTCTTGTTGAGCGCTTCTCGAACCCCTGACAACCCTAGGACCAGCACGATCGAGGCACTTAAATTGTCTTATCAATGCGTGCACCGCTATTGACACAACAGCTATCCATCAGACTTGGACTAAATGGGCTGTGGCAGAAAGTTCTAGGGCTCCGTGGCTGTTTAGCAGCTGCCCGATGACAAGCCTCGTGGGCGGAGCGGTCAATCAGTGGAGTCAGCACTCTGCACCCAACCGCATCTTCGGCACGTTAATTCGTTCAAGGATGCACGGTGCGACCGTGGAGAGCAGCCGTGTGGGTCTGCGATGAGAACTAGACAATTCGATGTCGAGCATCGGGGATCGACAAATGGCATGCGCTACTCCACGACTCCAGACTCCACGCCCGCTTGCTGATCGAGAATGACTACAGCCGTTAGGTATGTCAGAAAGTCTGATCTGGCCTTTGCCTCGCAGTGAAGGCGATGCGGCATTTTGTGTGGAAATTAATGCTTTATTTATGGGAACCCTAGCCACGTACATGTCTCCGCTGAGAAGAGCCATTAGAAGGTCAGGGCGGCATCGTGTACTCCCGAAACCGGCCGCTGAGACAGGAATCTTTTTATATGTGCGTAGCCATGATAGCATAATTTATAACCATTCGATGACACAATTGCAGCATGTATATGCGCCTACCATTCACTACTGGCGCCATGCTCAGGCAGCATACTTCGAGATCCAATCTCACGCTGACCATCCGACTTTATGAGGCGCGGGCGATCCCGGGGTGGCTTTCACGGTTGACATATGCAGCATGAACGACGGTTATTGTAGCCAAAATTAGATAATTCTACCATACCTCCACTTAGTGAGAGTGTTCCTAGCCTAGCCCGTATCTGCTTTGTTTCACTCCGCTACGCCTATATCGCTTTCCTCTTCACATTGACCAGGCATCTGGCTGAGTCCTCACGACCGCTCTTTTTTTCCACTTTATGCAACTATCGAATACATCCACAAACATAAGTCTGCCATACGCCACAAGAGATACTTAAAGGCTGCGCTCGCTACACAATATTGAAAGATATTCTGAGTGTCCGTCCCGAATATCGAAAGAATGTAAATGTTCATCCCGAAAAAGAGCGCGCCTAAACGCCACCTGGGCAACCATCTACCACCTACCGACAAACGACAAAAGCCTTCTAACAAAATCATACTACCCCCAAACTATGGCGGCGAGATGTATCCATAAGCCGGCGCATACCCGCTCCAAGACCGTTCCATCAGATACCAGAGGGGCGAGCGATCCGGCACGACAAGGTGCGACGCTGGGTCTCCGCGGCAGTGCTCGTACTGGGGGCTGAGACGCAACGGCGTCTGCAGAAAAAAGTACTCAATAGGCAATTGTGTGGCAACTGGCATGCTGTGGGCAACCCAATAAAGAACACCCGGGTCGGGTGATCGGCTGCGAGCGCTGCCGCCGGCAGATGCTACTGGACTATGATCGATTGTGGCACACGGTTCGACGACCATGCTGTCTGACATGGCGGCACAGTCTTGGACGATGTCCGTGGGGTCTAGGTCTGATGAATGTGTCGTGGCATCGTCTGCATCTTGGAAAGCTCTGATCTCCTCATCTTGCGATGCGGTTATCAAGTACGGTTCTTCGTCCGCATCAACGGCTGTCTCATCGTCGCTCACTCCGCCACCGCCTTCGTCGTCGCTGGCCTTCTCGCACCCTTCTCCGCAGTCATAGCCACAATTCCTCCAATTGAATTGGGGCGGTCTGTCTGCCGATGGGCTATCCAGAACCGGCTGATGGGAAGGGTTGTTCGGATCGTCGTGGTCGTACATCTTGACGATAGTAAGAGTATCGAGCAGTCTTTCCCAAGAGTATGTCAGTTAACCTTCTGTTATATGTGCTCAAGCACTCAATATCATTTCTATCGAAAGCGAGGATGTAGCCGACGTCGACTCACTGCATACACATAGAGAAGCAGCGTCTCTTACCTTTACAGCTCAATGAGAAGGAACAGGAACAGCTAACAATGGAAGACAGCTCTGGTTGTCACAGGACAATAGTCGCTTTGGCAAAGGTAATGGTATACAAGCTAATAATACAGTTCAAAGCACCTCCAAATCAACAAACTCTGGAGAAGGGATCGAAAAGAACATCTACCACGAAACCCACAGTGTCTTTATACACACAACACACGAGCGATCATCGGCCAGCTAGATTGTACGACAGAACATACAGGACTCACTACCGACTCCGCGAGAGACACGTTGCCTGACCCCAAGCCTGAGTTGGTCACCTATTTGGCTCCAGCAACCCGTCACTGGACCTCCTTCCCCGCATTTATTGCAAGCGACGTCGCATCAGGAGTTTGAAGGACCAATATCATCTGCCCATCTATTACTCTATTCCGACACCGGCCAGCGCATTTATGACTTGAGGGAGTCGAGAATACCCTTGAGTAACCATGCGACGGAAGGATAGCATAGGGTACGCCCGAGGCGAGCTGGTAAAACCCGAAGGTAGCCGGAGTGTAGATTATTCTGCCTGATGACGGCATGTAGAATTTGTTTTGGGGAGAACGCGTCGCGCGTACATGTCCTGGAATGGCTCACCGGAGGCCGCCTACATGGGCTTTAGAAGTGGGGTAAAAAGCCACCGGTCAACACCGAGGACCATTGTAGACCAAGGAGTCAGGTCTGGCTCTGATGAGATTGGTCGCTTCGTTTTGGCATGTTGTGCATATATGTCACTGTGGGTGACGGATATTTGGGGTCGTGTTAAACAGTATTACCGCTTTTACCCTGTTCGGTCGGGAGATTTTGTTACTGGTGGATGGACCTAGTAGAGGTGTTGTTGTCTCATGATACTTTGAATATTTCCTCGTATTCTCTTTCTATCATAGTCATGGTGTAACGCGCCAATGGATAATATGCATCTAAATTGCCGTCCATTCGCCTTCACATGTCGGGTCCTCAAACCATCGAACCATGTCGTCTCATACGTCAACCTGTGGCGTTCATCTCCACCCTGCTCATTTGTTATGCCAAAGCAACGTCCGTAGCGAATTCCAGTCGTCCGACTGAACGTAACTGTCCACACGTTAGCATGATCCCATTTTCTTCCAGCTTCGAAGGATACCCACATATAACTCATACTACTCCTCAAACTGCTCTGCACAGCCTCAGGATGCCACCTGAAAATATACATAACCATCGCCCAACTCAGACTGGCAAAAACAGGCCATCCATTCTTCGCCATCGTTCTCCTCATCTCGCCGTTGCCGAACAGCTCCCATCCACCAGCACCTCCTTGAACTCCTTGTCCACTAACTCCGCCTCCGACCTGCCGTGGTTGTACTGCTAGCTTTGCCAATGCTAACAATACGCGTGCAGCTACGTATATGACGATTTGCTGAGACACGGAATTGTGAATTGTGCGACCAAAGACGGTGTAGCCGCCTAGCAGACCGGCGAGGAAGGAATCGTAGTGTCTCTCTTTGCCGGTCGGGGACGCGTGTCGGAGGAAAATCATACAGGATTTGTAGACGAGGGCGAAGAGACCGAGGTTACGGGCGTGTTGGCGAGTCGCTTTGTAGACGAGCAAGCATTTGGATCGGAAACTGTTTGGCTTTTGTCAGCACGAATATTCTCTAGTTATGAAGTAGAGAAGAGGGTTGGTAGTAAGGAGAGCGCCGCGTACCTTCCAGATCTGAAGAGGAAGATCATTCTGTAACCACGCGTCAGCTATCCACTTCTCATGAACGTACGGCCCTGCGGAAACCTACACAAGCGCATGCGGAAAGCGCACTTTACTCCCATACACAATGCCATTCCTTACACCTTTTACCAGTGTGAGGATATCGTGGTACTTTGGATCTAGCACAATCCTGTCGAGCGCAGCCTATTTGAACCATCAGCTCTCGCGCTTCAAAAATGCGACATCCGAGTTTCTGCAACATACCTCGAGGGCGTGTAATCTGTCCATGTTGTTTGTATGTGTGTGTGTGTGTGTGTGTGTGTGTTATGACCTGAGAGTTGTGTTCTGTCGTGGTTTGCTTGCGTCCGGCGAAGAAGAGCCTCGGTCCAGCGCGCGCGTTGCGATGACGTTTGCCGCTACCTTTTACGGTCGCAGAAACGCTGAGGGAGAAAATCGAAGGAGTGAAGAGAAGAATGGAAGTACAATGTACGTATCATGAGGCTGGCATGGGGATGAGAGCGAGGATTGCGGTCGGGTATAGATAGCGCAGAGTCGCAGTCGCGGAATTGCTACTGGCATCTGATCCTCGGCTCGCGTCACATTGCCGGTTGCTGCTTCCCCACATCCGTGGATTGGTGCAGCTTCGCGCTAATAGAAGGAATGGACAGGGGTGTTTGCGCTTTGACATGTGAAGATAGAATAGTTGGGGAAAGTTGCATGTGCACGCGTGCTATGATCTAATACTGTCGTTTCTTCTCTATGCGCTCAATGTAACAATACATGGTATCTCGACGCTCCCGCCTGATGCTGTACAAACGCCCCCCAAACACCATGATATGCTGCTCGACAAATTCTGCGCATCCAGCGCGAAATCCCGTGACGGTCCTACTCTACCCGTCGAGTAGGCCATCGCTTCTTTAGCTCTTCATATACGGTAAAGATGAACGCAGAACTAGGTATGGATCTCGCAACTGTGATACCGCAACCACGGTACATGCCTTTGATACCATGTTGCTTCCAAACCGCCTTTCCTACAGCGCTGAATGTCGACTTTCCGCCAGTCAATTGCTTGACATCTTCCGTCTGCATTCTCGACTTGATCGTGTCCGCAGGGTAGAACATGAAGTTGTAGGCTCCGCCTGCAACAGAACCGGAGGCCATGCGCTGCCAGACGGGAAGATCTTCGTCCTTGGCTGAAGTGCTGGAGCCCTTGAACAGTATCTTCATGCCTTCGTAACCACCAAACCACGCCGCGCCGCCTCCTGTCTCACGGATCAAGGTTCCAAATTGTCCGTGCCAGTAGCCTTTGAGGCCCTGGTGGCGATAGATAGAAGCAATGACTCCTCTGATGGTTGGTGCGGCCACGACGTTACCGCTCGTTTCTAGGGGAACTTGCATCTTACATTTAACGAGTTCAATCGGTGTTAGGAAGAGTGATGTGATGGCGCCTGCGATCATTCCGCAAAAGAGCATGCCAGAATAGGGCAGGTCTCGCTCTGGGTGTCTCTTTAGTTCAGGATAAAATCCCGAAGACTTGAGGGCATCGCCAGCCAGGCGGTACTGCAGACCACATCAGCTTGATCCACTTCTCTATTGGCACGTTACTCACACTGAAAAACAATGTGCTTGTCTCTACAGCAGCTCCTACCAGAGGCGCACTGATTCCTCGGTATATTCCAAGGAAGCCATCCTGTTGTAAAGACTTCTTGAAGCAGTCCAGTGGACCGGTGTAGCGGAGTGGCACCTGGTCGGGCTGCGACTGCAGCCGAACCTTGACCGTGTCAAAAGGGTACTCAATGTACTTCCCGACAACTCCAGCCGCAGATCCACAGAGAACGTCCTTCAAGGCCTCTTCTCCTTTGCCTATGGTATGTTCTGCAGCAGGACTCCGGACCTCTTCCATTATGACTGGGTTGGGCAGCCGGCCTCTTCCCCCCACCACCGACACCGGACTCTCTTGTGCTTCCATAAATGAAGAATATGTATGGCTCGTCAATGGATATGTGTAACTGTATTGAATGTATGTTTATGGAGCCGAGCGCATGTTGCGTGTGAAGAGTCGTGGGCGGTGAGAGGGCGCGTGGCTACTGTTATGAATCGAAGCCCATGTCAATAATGGGGTACACCGGTTGCGTTTGCGTTATGGCGAGTGGAGGAAGGTTCGGAAGTGTGTAACACGACGAAGAGAGTTTGCTCGAGGGAGCATGCAGCGGGCCGTGTGTGCGACGGGGATGGAGAAGATGATAACGCCCAACGTTGTACCAAACAGGGCAGACCTTTCTTTAGCTAGCCTGGGAAAATTCTGCAGTATCGGAAGAAAGTATTACAGGAGTGGAAAGCGCACAGCGCCTGCTAAGCCAGGCCATCAGCATGCGCGAATAAAGTATAGGCGCAACGAGCAATTGGGAACGCGCTTCGGCCGCACTTCTGCTGATGCAGCTTATCAGATCGAATTGATCTGATAACATTTGAATTGGGCGGGATTTGGGGATCCCTGGCTGGCAGCCCGCGCCGGCAAAGTGCGCTAGTTATCGATAATCGGCATTAACTTTTCTCGCGCCGCCGTGTTCTGGGTTCGAGAACTTCTGCGAGATCCACTGGTCGCGCAACACCGCAACCATGTCTGAATCTGTAGTAATCGAGGCGCCTCCTGCGACGGAAACTGCCCCTGTCAAGGGCATGAAGAAGAACGGTATGCGACTGCTGTGTGCGGTAGTTGCGACATGGCGATCTAACTTTCCCCAGGCAAGCAATGGCACGATAACAAGGGCCCCTTCCGACCAAAGGCAGGCCAAACCTCATGGGACAAGCGTAGTGAGGAAAGGAAAGCACTCGCTGCTGTCAAGGCGAAGGAGAAGGAGCTGAAGGACGAGAAGGAGTCTGAGAGACAGGTAGGAAACCACTGCTTCTGGTTACAAATAGACAGACAGGAGCTGACTGTGACATAGCGACGAGTCGAAGCTATCAAGACCAAGCGCGCCGCCAAAGCAGAACGCGAGCGATTCGCCCAGATGGAGGAGAAGATGCACAAGAAGCGCGTCGAGCGCCTGAAGAGGAGGGAGAAGCGCAACAAGATGTTGAAGTCATGAGCTCAGGTCGGATTGACTAAAGCCGAAGCATAAAATGCGGTCAAGGAAATGCCGCATCGGGAGGATGTTGAAAAGGTAGAGAGGCAGGCGCAACTGCACTACTCAGAAACCACCGGGAAAGCAAGAGCGACCGGAATCAGTCCAGGGCAGTCCAGTCTGCAGAACGGGATGCAAGCAATGATACCCTATCGAGACTTCCCACGGTGGAAGATGAAGCAAAAAGCAAACATTTAGAATCTTTTCTATGAGTAAAGAATCGGAAACGTCATTCCCTACTGAAAGTGCCATGACCATAGATGTGGAATTGCCTAGATGATCAACTTTCAATATAATACCTGCAAACCTACAATCATCATCACTGTCAAGGCTGTTTCATGATGCCCTTCACATGCGCATCTCCAGCTGGCTAGCGGAAGGAGACCCCTGCAATGACACGCGAAACTCGGAAGTCGATCTTGGAGCCCAGCATCACCGACAACTGCCTCGTTGCGCCGACCCAACCACCACCATGACATGGACGGACAGCTTCACCTCCATGCCGGTCTGGCTGACCCCAGATCTTTCCGTCCCAACCTCTACAGTTCCCGTTCGGCGACGCGCGTGACGACTGACCCCGAGAAGAAGTCGCATTCCCACCTGCACAAGCACAAGTCGTCGCGACACCACCACGACCGTCACGATGACCGTCACCGCCACAGCTCCAGCAGACGCCATGCCGCCAAAGAGGCGATGCAATCAGCCATCCAGATACAGCCGCCGACCAGCTTCGGAGACTTGCTGAGGCAGGCGCGAGGGAGCAGAGACACGAGCCCCAGTCACAGTCGCAGGGAGAGCGTCGCACCAGGGCAGGCTGATGGCAGCGTGCATGGGAAAGAGGAAAGCACCCCAGGCATCACCATCCCGCCGCGGAGACCAATCCGGCAGGCGGATGTGGAGCTGGAGGCTAAGAGAGTTGAAGCTAGAGAACGGTGCGTCTGCGTCATTCACCATCAACCCCGTAGCGTTCCCCCAAGATGCCTTCTCTAACATGGCCCGCAGAGACCTTCGTGCGGTTCTCCAGACCCTTTCCGACCAGTCCCTCAAGACGTCGCGCCGTCTAGACGACACCTACTATTCCATCCTCGAGAAAGTCTCCGTACTGCGCCAGACCATCGGAACGCTGCAAGAGCTCTCTGGCTTGACCAAGGAGCTCCACGAAAACTTCGAGTCGGACACCACAGAGTTACTGGAGGATGTGACTGGCCAAGTGGAAGCCTTCGATGGCTTCAAGACACAACAGGAGCAAGTGAGCGGGTTAGAAGAGCGCATCAAGACGGGCAAAGAGAAAGCCGATGCACTGACGGCGAGGCTCGAACGAGCGAAAGAGCGTGTCGATGCGAGGGCCAGGTCGGAAGCGCAGTGGCAGGCCAAGAATACTCGTATGGCCATCCTCATGACGTTCTTTTGTTTCCGTTCCAGCTGACATCACACAGATCGCGTGCGGATATTCTGGGCTATAGTGGGCTTCGTAGCTGCTCTCATACTAGCCCTCGTTCTCTTCCGCCCGTCGCAACCGATCGACAACCTACACGAACCGAAGAATACACTCGATCCTGCGACGAGAGAGGCGATCCTAAATGCCGACATACCAGACATAGCAAAAGAGGCAATTATAGGGCCGTCATCTAGTACTGCAGGTCCAAAAGTGGATACCCCCGAAGCGCAGGTTGTACTAGACGACGATGAGCGACTGCGCGTATTCGACGAGTTGTAATGCTTCCAGTTACTTTCCTGTCTATTTTGCTTTCGAACACCAAGATACCCCTGCAATAGTCTGGCCACGTCCAATTTCAATCTCGAAATGATCAAGTCCATTTCATGTTACCGTCTACTTCATCCTAGCCGTCAGGAGACCTATCACTGTTGTTTGACACAGGTATATCCGCATGCGTTGCAGATCGTTGAACACAGCGTTAGGCGTTACTAGGCAGGACGCCTTACCAGACCATAGCCAATGACCAGCATCTGTACAACACCTCAGCCACTTTTGGCCCCCACCCAGCCCAAGCCAACCAAGCCGCTAGGCCAGTGGCCTCGTCGCATATGAATAATACTCAGTCCTGTCGACCCTTCGCAGGTTTTGAAACACGAAGCTATCGCTGCTCTCCCGGATCGTGAGCATGGCTTCATCTTGCTCTGCATCTATGCGTTCGCTAGAGCTCAACCAAGAGTACCTTCCGACGGCCACCGCTCCAGTCAGAGCAGGCCCACTTGCAGGCAGTCTCAACCAGAATCGTTTACATGGTCTCCCGGACCACGGCCACGCCACTCACAGCGAAAGGCTGCTCGGTAACAACCTAGCATGGAGTTCAGAAGGACCGGAATCCGTATCTTCAAAGGAACAGGCCATTGTCCGAATGCATTATGATCCACCGAAGCGTTATGGAAGCTTCCACTTGGGAGATTGGCGGTGGGAGGTTGCATCCGCAGTCTTCAGTCTACTGTGCGTTGTTGCCATAACAATCATATTAAAAGTCTACCAGGAGAGGCCCTTGTCCGATTGGCATTTTGTTCACAATATTACGCTAAACACAGTCGTTGCACTTCTTTCGACCTTATCGCGGACAGCCCTGATAGTACCAGTTGCATCATGCCTTAGTCAACTGAAGTGGATTCATCTGGTCAGGTCACCACGCCCACTGCGAGAGATGCAAATCTTCGACGACGCCAGTCGTGGACCTTGGGGCTCTCTGGAACTTGTTTGGAGATTGCATCTTAAAACTAAGCTGGCAACATGGGGTTCTCTGATCACGATACTGTCTCTTGCCATGGGCCCCTTGTCGCAGCAGTTGCTCTCGTATCCTTCAAGATTGCATTTTGACACCTCTGGTGCGACCTTCTACAAGAATCAGATATATGATTCTGGCGCCGACAGGGGCGTCACCGGACGAGGGGTTGTAAGTAAGTTACATATGTTACTTCTTCAAAAGCCGTTCCAAGCTTACAACCCGAACAGGGCGGATGATGGATCCAAAGATACAAGGCGCTATTCTCAACGGACTCTACAACCTCAGCGCGCCAGTGCAAGTCGAATGTCAGACTGGAAATTGCCAATGGGATGACTTCACAACCTTGGCAGTGACCAGCAATTGTACAAACGTCACATCCACTTCTTACAACATCTGTGATCGGGTAATCGCAGGGAGAAGATGCAACTATACAACTCCATCTGGTTTCTTCATTGAGTCGTCTTCACATCAAAGCTCAGGCGGCGGAGGATCAACTCAGTTCAATAGTACCGCTCATATACAGCGTGCGCAACAAATTGGGAGTGTACTCAACAGCTCCATCGTCAGCTTCGCTACCGCCAACATGGAGTCGCCTTTTAGCATGGACAACCCAGACCTCACTGAATGTGACATACGTTGGGTCGGTCGGCATGTTCGTAACATGACCGTCGTAAACGGTACCTTCAACCCTGGAATCATACAAGACCATGAACTTTACGGCATCGCCAACCCATTCGACGCGACATATTGGGTCTCTTTCAACGTCTCGAATGAGACTACAACACTCCCCGGTAATACAACTTTCAGCGTCGGTCCAGTCGATAACGAGGGAATGATGGCGTTTCTCTCTGGTATATTTTCCTCTTCAATCAAAGACGCGTACGGTCTTGCCTTGCAAAACTCTACCAACCTCACAGAAACCGTGCAAGCTATCAGCACTTCAATGACGTACGCTTTCGGTCAAGGGCCTAGTAGCATCAAACTCCCCGGTAGAACAATTACGACGGAACAATACATAAAAGTCCATTGGGCCTGGATAAGTGCACCAGTCGTCGAAGTCATTATGGGTATTGCGTTCTTCATAGCTACGCTCGTACATACATCGAGGAGGGGCGTAGTGGCTTGGAAGAGCTCTGCCATCGTACCACTGTTCACACATATCGAGGGATGGCGTATCGAAGAAAGCAGGATGGGAAGTGCACGAGAAGTGGAGAAGAGGGCTAAGGAGATGAGAGGCTTGCTAGAGAGGGACGAAGACGGTGGTCAGAGGTTCAGACGCATGGATGCATGATCTATCCTAGGAGCCACAAGATGTACGACCATGATAATACGACGCCGACGCCGATGAAACCTCCTAACTCTGTGCCTGACGATACGCTGTGCGTTATGACCCCTGCGATGACCGCTGCAACTGTCGCAATGACGAAGGACAGGGCCAGCGGCCATGCTAGGTACGTCTTGTCGATGACATGGCCAATGCACAGGACTTTTCGCTTCGCCGCTGCCTCTGTGTTCTCCATATCAAACGAATCGGTTTCGTGGAACATCCTGCCGCTGTCACGTAGCAGCTCGGGACGGAGTAGAGCAGCTGAGAAAGTATGCGATATCTCGATGCTTTCGAAGTGCACTTCTAGTGGAAAACTTCTCCCTTGGAGGCTTGGCTGCTTGAGTCAGGACACGGTGGATCTTATCAAGTCTGACGGCATGGACCTACAGTGATGATCTCGCATATCTGAACGACGGGTCTCCGGCACCACAGCCAACGCAACATCACACGCTCCTTCCTATTGAAGCGTAGCTTGTAGAACTCGATGAGAAGAACTATCTGCTGTTCTGTGTTGAGTGCCTTGGTCTGCTTGTTGACGGAGGTGCGACCGCGTTTGGTGTATCCAATCCAGATTTCCGACTCCTCGTTGCCCAAAGTCGGAATCACGATTTGCTCGATTGTACTGGCCCTAGCTGCCATTCTCATTAGGTTGAAGTAGGCTGGAGCAATGTGACTTCATTCCCATCATTCACACGCCCTACATTATATATGATGGGCTATTGTACGCGGCGTATCCCAGCAGTGCTCTACTGTGTCTCGGACACGAAATTTTCGAACTCTCAACCTGTTGCATTAAGATACATTTCGATGCTCACAATTCACCAAAACACCGACAATTCTAATACAGTGGTCGAAAACATCGAAACAATCTGTTTGCATCTGGACGGGGATAGTTTTCTAGGGAGGCGGCAAGCCACCTCTTGGCTGCATGAGTGGCGTTCAAGAATTGCGATTTGGGTGCCAAACAAATTGATCGCCTTGCTGGCAATTCGCGAAGATGCATTAACAACCGTCGATAGTGGGTGTCGCCTGCTGCCCACTCATAACTGTCGCACTGCGCCCGCTCTTTATTTTACCATGTCACAGCGTCACACATCCCGCATTTTGCTCATAATTTTCTTTCGACAGCTATGGCAGCTACAGGATCTTAACGAGAGTCATCCAAAGTCAGCAGGCCACCCACACATTGCAACAACGTACAGGGACGATATGAATCTGAACCATCTGAGTCACTTTCACAGTCGGCTCAATTCCGTGATTCCGAAGTTCCCAGCAACATATGTGTACCTGGCGTATATCTCCGTTTAAATAGAAGAAGAATGAGCCCTCAGCCAGGTCCGCCTCAACTATATCCGGGACCGCGCTTACCGTGGGGAGACGGCAACGACAGTGGATACAGTGGATCTCCCGAGGTTGACGATGGTGGCATAACAATTCGTTGTCAGAGAGACTCGTTATGTCTGTGCGGACCCAAGGAGTACATGAGCAGTTGCCAACTACACGGCATGAAACAGAAGCCTCCAAATCATACGGATACCATCACGCCATTTCAACAAGCATCTACTCTCCAACCCAACGTTTTCCCGCGAATCCTGAAAGTTTCCAAATTACGGCCTGCTCGTTCTGCGAATGCTAAAGTAACTCCCGCCGGGTACCCATGGGAGATCTCGTCCATAGCTTCCTCTGCCAGGAAGTACTTTCGGAGGAAGATCTATCACGCAGAGCCAATAAGTAGAGCATCGATTACGGTTAAACAATCAGAAACCTTACTCAATGAGACTACTTCAGCAGAAGACAATTATATCCATGATCATACACCCACTAGTATCTCACACAACAACCACATGGCAAATGAGCCAAACACTAGTGGTCATGGTCCATCCGATCCCGGCTCGAACATTCAAGATACCACAAAGATCGGAGTCCTTGAATGGGTCGACGCAACGAAAGATGCCTGCTCCTTCCCATCTTCCACTCCTTCAGCGATTCCGAGCGCAGGCATTAGCGACACAAGCTCTTCAGCAGCTCCAGTGCAAGCTTTGAGTCCAAGAGAAAGCCCAGTTTCATCTTCGAGGTCGCGGGTCCTCGAATTTTGGAGCATTTTGCAAGACTGTGACCATGACTACAACGCGTACGAGTCATCACAGGCCGACGAAAGCATCGAGTGGTTTACTGACGACAAACATTCGTTGCGAACATCAACAACCGGGTCTGGCTCAAACGGTTCCTTGAACAGCTCTGCAACGTCGAACAGCACTCCAATCGGACTGTTCAGCAGGAATGCGCCGTCAATCAACAAGAGAAGCCTAGAAAGAGAAGGTGACGAGGACGAATTTCCCAACAGGAGGCCCAATAGGGGACAAGGTGTTTACGTTCCAGACGCATATCAGGATTCTAATCATCCCGGTCAGATGTCTTGTCCAATGCTTGAGTCACATGACTGTCAAGGAACGAATACGACAATTTCAGAGCTAATGCGAAGTCTCACGAATCGTCATCGCATAGTCATATGCAAGGAATGCTGCACGCGATTACCCATACCAGACGAGGAAAAGAGGCCAGTGACTATACTGCAAAAACATGCATCGCATGGCTGCGAACGGTACTGCATCGGTATTTCTTGCGCGAGTAGTGCCGACGACTCCACGACTTTACACCGTCGGACGGAAAGATGTCCCTCTTGGGCGACGCTTACTAAGGAGGCGAGGTGGACGTTCATATGGAGATTGGTGAATCCCGAAGCAAATCCGCCAGAACCAAATTTCCTCCCGGGGCCTGCTTTCGAGCACAGCCAGATGCGGAGGCCATGCAAACAACAAGCTCGTGCTAGAGGCAATGAGATGTCTGCACAGCTCATGCGAGATAAAGAAAGACGCATCAGTACACTAGAGAATGACTTGACTACAGCTAAGACTGAGAACATGCAGACACAGCAAAGATGCAACGAGAAGATAGTCAACCTGGAGAATATCATCGAGAGTCTCTTAGAAAGGCTACATGAGAACGGTATCGGTTTACCAGGATCATTGCGAAAGCGAGTGCAGAACGAATGTCCCGAAGTCATGGCTGCAATCCTTGCCAAAGAATCGCAGATTGTGCCTACGCTACCGACATCAATTTTTACGCCAAACCATGGATATTATCTAGGGTCAGGCGTGCCATCGACATGGGGGAACATGCCTTGTCCACCATCAGCAATGCCCAAAAAACCTGCCACCTGGGGTGCGGTCTCTCAGCAAATGGTTGGGCCGAACCCAGGCTACTACTTCCCAGAATCCAGTGAGAAAGCTCCTACAACGAGCGTGACGTATCCAACCAATGCCTGCATTCAAAATTGGGATACTATGAGCCTAGATCCTAGTGCCATGCATGCACAAGTCGGAAGACACAGCTCTTCCGAAACACCGGAGACTGTACAGCCGTATGAGTGACTCAAATAAGACTATCGCGGCAGACCTTCTCAATGCATGCGAAGAGAAAATCTTCGTTTCGTTCTCCCTCGGATGTGTGTCATCGAGAGTCGTTTCCTACCTCGGTAGACATCACACGTCATATTTCATTCGTCATGTCGCTTCACTAGCGTTCTTACTGTGCAACATTTGAGTATCTCTTACTCGACTGCGACTTCGAATAGTTTCTACCACAGCTGCAAACTTATCTTTCATGTTTCTCGCAGGGTTTTCCTGGCAAAAACATTCTAAATGCCATGGGTCTTAGCTAGCTCTTCGTCTACTACAAACAACATCTTCCCCTTAATCGCACTCCCATGGATAAGAAGCTCATGCGCTTCAATCGCATCGCTCAGCCTCATTAGCTTCGCGATAACTGGATCCAATTTCCCTTCCCTCACCTTCTCTACAAGCGCAAAGAATTCCGCCACTTCCTTCTTCTTTGGGTACTCGATATCAAGCGCCCAGAAGCTTACTCGCGGTGGCTGCAGTATTGCTTCAAGGAGCTTATCGACGTTACCCAACATCTTGCTCCCATCCGCAGCGATGCCCCCCATGACTCCGAAGACGACCACTTTGCCGACGTCCTGCTTAGTTGCAGCGAGGAAGTCTTGGACGCTCTTCTCACTGCCAACACCGTCGTATGCGACATCAACCCCCTTTCCATCCGTCAGCGCATGAACCTGCTCCACAAGATCCGGGGCATTTCGGTCAAGCGGTTCCACACCCAGTGAGCGCACGTAATCGAATTTGCTTGGCGAGCATGTACCGAACATCTTGATGCCCATGTCGAATGCCTTGACAAGCTGAGCCATAGCTGTTCCCAGTCCTCCACTTACACTCCCGATCAGGATACTCGAGCCGGGTGGTAACTCGACACCAGTGTGCTTCAACAGACCCCATGAAGTCATGTAGTTTAACGGAAGTGCGCAAGTCTCCAGCAGGTCATCTCCCTGCTGCAGTTTCATAACCTCTTCGTGTGGCAGGACGATGTGTGTAGCATGCGCGCCAAAGATGCTCAACGCTGCGACTCTGTCTCCAATGTTCAGCTCTCTTCCCTTTGGCACAGCATCGCCCAGTGCAACTATCTCGCCTACGAGGTCATATCCAGGTGTAAAGCCGGGAATCTTGGCGATTGGATGAGGGTAACCGCCGACACGCTGAATATTGTCGACTCCAGCAATACCAGCAACCAGGATGCGAATGAGCACTCCGCCAGCAGACAGCGCGACCATAGGATCAAATGCCTCCCATTTCAGCACAGATGGCTTGCCAAACTCTGTTATAATCCAACGGCCTGGTGAGGTTGGTGTGGGTGACGTGTTGAGCGTAGAAAGTGATGGAGACATAGTTGAGATGAGTTGGGAAGCGCTTGTTCAGTGAATCGAGATTTCTGAATTAGTCAATATGCAGAGAACGGAGACTGTATGAGCTGTTTATCAACGAAACGTATGTGTTGTACTACCGCCGAACCTCTTATGTCCGATTTTATAGTTTCACTAACAATGGCTCGCCTTACAGCAGGACGAAGTCGCATTTATAATCTTGAATGTCCGACTTTTGTCAGCAAGTACGAACCGTACGTGCAGAATCACAACGAATGATCAGCAACCGGCCCCTCACATCACCAACCCCAGTTTTCATTCGCCCTTCTCCCGACTGACACCATGCACTTCCAACGCCATCTGCGCCAACAACCCCACTGCAAGCTCTCAGAAGCTCTTTCCGTCGACAGACTTGCGCTTCAATTTCTCAAGCTCAACACCCCGCAGCATTCGTGCATTAACGCACGTCATACCGGTGAAGAAATCAGGGTCCTTCGAGCGGATCATGCACGATGCACCGCAGGTACCGCAGAAGTAGTGGCCCATTCTCTTAGTTCCGAAAGAGTAAGACTATGAACTAATATCAGCTGACCTAATCTTTTGCGGTATTCACTACGTACCCAGTGACATGTTTGCTTACCTTGAATTGCTCGATGCCACCGTTTGAGAAAACGATACGCTCGTTGGGCACGTAGACGAGAAGGTAACCGTTGGATACGCAGATACTGCAGTTGCACTCCACCAGGACCGCGTTGGGATCATCGAGCGGAGGAGATGCAGTGACGGAGTACTTGAATGCGCCGCAGTGGCATGATGCATCGTAGGTTTCGGTTGGAGCGTCGGCTGGCGGCGCGCCAGGAGGACCAGAGTTGGAATTTCCAGTATCGGACATGATGTGCTGTAGTACTTGCGGAAGGCTTGCCTTCGGAAGTTTGGTGTGGGATAATGGAAAAATAAGGGTCTGTTTAGTGTGTACTTGGGTACAGCAGGTGATGTTGTTGTTAGAGAGGTTCTTTATTGAGATCTAATGGCTGCTGCCTAGAGTGTCGGATTGCATCTGTGTCCAAGCTGGGAAACCCTATCTCGCATAAGCTCGCCGTATGTAAGGCGCCCTGTTGCTAACGCGAACTGGATGTACCCAGGTATTGGCACACATCGAACGGCCTCTAAGTACACAGCGCCTTCGCCATGAAACCAGCTAGCTTTGGAACACTTTCCTCAGTATCAGCATACAAATCGAGATGTTCTTTGCCTTCAATGACGAAAAGCTCCTTCGGTTCCCTGGCCTTCTCGATAGCGTCTTTGCTGTAACAGCCGGTATCGGCTGGGCCTCCATTACCCGTGTCTGCCAAACTTCCCATGATCATCAACAACGGTCGCGGGGAGATCCATTCGATGAAAGCAAAGGAATCATATGTAGACAGCTTTTCGAAGCTCCTCACAAGTTGCAAATTGTTGCATTTGGGATGGTACCCGCGGGGAGTTGAATAGTATGACTTTGCCTCCTCGAAAACGTCCAGCGTGCTGAATGTAGTAGGCTTTCCTCCCTTGGCTTCTGAGATGCGTTCTTGTGCTGCAAAACTCAGGCGCTGATGCAGCGTTTCCGGGTTGATGTTGCCGGAGTCGTCTTTCAAACCGTTGCGATGCATAGCACCCAAGCAGACGCCGCCTACAGTCGCCACGGCCTTCATACGCACATCAGTCTGTGAAGCGAAGACCGCGTAGCCTCCTGAGGAGCAGATCCCAACGACTCCAATCCTTTCGGGATCAACATCGCCGTCAAGAGTTGAGAGGAATGTTACGGCGCTCTTAAGGTCCTCGACTTGTTGGTACGGATCTTCTAGGTAACGCGGCTCGCCTCCGCTCTCGCCTTGAAATGCTGCGTCGTACGCGAGAGTAATGAAGCCATGTTCGGCTAGCTTTCTGGCATACAATCCAGACGCTTGTTCCTTGATAGATGTACCGGGGTGGCCGACGATAAGGGCGGCATTTTTGCGGTCTGGTGCGTTTGGGGAGGGTAGGTATAGGTCACCGACTACGGTGATGCCATGGCTGAGAAAGTTTACTTTGCGAACAGTAGCCATCGCAGCTGATGTGTAAGAAGAATCGGGTTGCTTGGTGGTTTGTGGAAGCAAGTCAATAAGGATACGTAAGAAATGATATCTTATTCGTACAGACGAATTGCTCAAAGTTTCTGCCGAACGTTGACGTAGAACGCAGGGTGCTTATGTATTCTTGCCAAGAACACTTGTAGATTCATGTAAACTACGATACCGTCGCGATACTTATTTTGCTCGTGTTTGAGCCTGCACTTTCTCGAATCCCTCGGCTGAGGCTCCGCCTGCACTCATTCGTTCCCCAAACATTCATGTCGCATACCATGTTCAAATGTCTCTAACATTACCGCAGATTGCTAGGATGCCAGCACACGGATTTAGGTTTTAGGACTTTCTCGGCCAAGGTTCCGCGCGCATTTGTTCGTATACATTCGTCCGCGCACCAATAGAAAGTTGGGGATTTTCCCCGACCTCCTCATCGCCCACTTCTTCTCTCAACCATGAGCTGCGACATCACCTCGAAATTTTCTTAACGCTGAACGATAAATTCTCGTACAATGACATAAAGGACGGGTTGCAGGATCTTGTAAAATATTGGGCTGTGATTAGGAAATGCTTGAGTTCGCGCCGTTAAACTGCGCAGCTAATATTCTGGTATCAAAAGTCGATGACACCGGCCCATCACGCTCACGCTGTATCATGACTGTGAACTGATGCTGGATATACAAGACAGTGAAGACCATTCATCTGTCAAACCCGCTTGAAGGCCAGCGACTGTGGCGACAGATCAAAGCTTGACTCCAGGAACATTCAAGCACAGTCCGACGCAAACCATCATCATAGTGCGGGGCTGTTAGACGACAAGAGTGGAATCCAACATGGTATCGGATGGCCAAGAACGAAAAGAAGTGAAGAGCACGTATACTTATCCTGGTATGATGTATGTAGGTGAATAACATAGACGGACTCCCCTCTGGTAGGGGACGCGCACTCGGTTCTCTTCGATGGTTCAGCATACAGGACAGCGACAAGCACCGACTTACCTTCTGACAAAGATCAAGGGCTGGGGTAGATGAGATGACTTCACAGAAACCTAAAGGTGATCAGCGTGTAAAGTGGTTGCAGATTATCTTTTTGTTACCATAAGAGGTCCTAAACTGAAGTGGCCTGGTAATGGCGACTCACGCTCCTCTTTGATCTTAGCGTACTGTGACGCCGCATACTCCAATCCAATCCCTACTGTGATGTACATGATAAGCCAGACAAGCCAGGACCCTGATGAGGTTGGCCTACCACTGCTCAAACTATAACAAATTCCCAGTTCGCTGAAAGCAAAAAAGTGCAACAAATCCCCAGTGGAGTAGCCCCAGGGAAGAAAGCAAAGAAAGGTACTGGGTATCTTACGTTTAGATAAAAATGTCCAGCTCATGTCTCCTGACCTCGTCCTCCTCGAAAGTTGGGTAAGCTGGGACCATGGCGTCGGCGTTCTGAACGTAGGCATCGTTGTAGATGCGCCAGTAGGGGTTTCGCACTTTCCGTGCTGGGTGGAACAGACCAGCCCAGACGTAGTTCATGACAAGCGGGGTACCGATGGCGTTGCGGACACCTTCGATAGCCTCGATGATACGGTCGATAACGTGAGGACTGGTTTCGAACAAGTTTGGCCAAAGGAGGTTGAGCAAGTGGATCATCGCATCTTCGCAGTCGAGACCGACACAGCCAAGAGCAACGTGCTTGACGACCGAAGCGGCAGTCTGGCGATGCACTTGGTCTCGGTCGATGAGGGCATCTTCCAGAAGTGGTGTGATAGCATAGACATAGTCCTTCGCCATCTCGCCAATGTACTCAAACATGAAGGACAATGACTTGAGTACACCGTTCTGTACGTTGAGCTCCGGTACGCGGTACTCGTTCATGAGAGCTGGTAGGACAGTGAAGGGCGCACAGGTTTCGGCGACGATACCGATGGCGACGGCAGTACAGACACGGGACTGACGCTCCTGAACTCGAAGGTTACCGAGCAAAGTGGCCAACACATCCTGAGGACCGATAGCTTTGGCGATATAACCGAAGGTATTGTTGGCAGCACGACGAATACCCTTCTTATGAGCCTTGAGCATGTCCAGGAGTTCGAAGCAAATACGCATCCACTCACGAGGGTTGACGTAGTTTGCACCTCGATCAGCAATACGTCCTACCAAATCGATAGTGTTCTCTTGTACCTTTTCGTGTCGGTTACGAAGGATGGGGGTGAGGCGGGGCAACAGATCTTTGATAGGCGGTTGCATAGCGTGGAGACCGACGACTGTGACGATAGCACGAAGAGCACCAAGGATGGAACCAAGAACCTCAGGGTACTCCTCACCAAGGTATTCATACAACGCCTGCGCAAGCTTGATGAGCTGTGGGTCCTCGTCGCACTTCTGCATTACGAAGGTGATTCGCGAGATGAGATCTGCTGCTTGCTGACGAACTGTTGCGGATTTGTTGTTGAGCCTGGCCAGAACTGTTGCGACGATCTGGGGGAGATAGGTCTTGGTACGCTCGCCCAGTGCGTTGACGACCGTAGCAAAACCGTCGATGACAATGGGGTCCTCGACAGTCTGGTCCTGGAAAGCGACAAGCACACCGTCGATTAGCTGTTCTTCCAAACGCTGGTCGACGTCGTGCGCTCCTAGTGTGCTGATAACCTTGTCGACAGTCTCGACAGTCATCTTGCGGTATGCTTCGTTCTCGTCCTTCATGTTGTTAACAATTCTGCCGACGATCTCAGCAACACCAGCCTTCTGCGCCAAGTCCACAGTTGTGTCTACCACCTGTCGGTAATTGCGCTTGTCAAGAGCCATGCGGCGTACCCAGAAGTGCTTGAAGAACTCAGGCAGAACGTTGTCCTTGAGGTAGACTGGAGTTACACCTGCAGTGTTCGAGCACTGAGAAACGACCTTGAGTACGACCTTCTTCATCTCTTCATCGGGTGATTGGAACTCGCGAATGACAATCTCCATAATCTGACTGGTATAGTAGTTGGAGTACTCCTCGTCCATGAGCGGGATGACATAACCGACCGCCTTCAGGAAAGATGCAAGAGCCTTACCACGTTGGCGACGGGCTCCGGTCCAGAGAGGGTTCAAGATATCATCGAACGACTCGATACCGTACGGGCTCGCGGCTTCAGCTAAAGCTGCAAGTGCAAGAGCTGTGACCATGCGGACCTTTGGCTGTTCGTCATTCAGGTTGTCGCCGATACACTCGACAAGTCCCTTGAGGTGAGGAAGAATAGCACAACCCATAAGGATAGGAATCTGTTGAACAATCTTCACACCAGTATGACGTGCGTGCCACGACTTCTTGGATCGACACACAGCGCGGAGGAAGGGAAGGAGGGCGGGGATACCGAGGGCAGATGCGACGACGGCGAAGGCTCGAGCGGTGGTGTTTCGGACGTATTCGTCTTGGTGGTCTAAATCGGGACGCATCGTACTGATCATGTGTGCGAGACCAGCGGCCTTTGCAAGGTTAGAAATAATCTCTCGACCTTCGACACGAGCGTAGTAGTCCTGGTCGATAAGGAGAGGCTCAATGACGACGAGGATCTTATGGACGTAGGGTCGGACAAGGTCGTCGAGCTTGTAGAGGACACGGTCGATGACTTTGACGAGCAAATGCCGCTCCTGGTCCTCCAATGTGCGCTCCATGAGGAGAGGCAAGATCTGGTTGAAGAGGGCGCCAGCACCGAACTGCCGGGCGTTGTCGGTAAGTTGTCGAAGCGCAGTCTTTCGCATGGGCGGTGTTCCGTTCTTGACCTTGAGCAAAAGTCGCATGATTTTGCGCTCCTTGAGTTCCTCGACGGTCATGTCGTTCTCGTCTGCACCGTCTGTGAGCTTTCCAAAGTATTTCATGTCCTCGTTCTTGAAGAATTGAAGATCACCAACACCAGGGATCTCTGTGGGCAGCTGCTTGCCCATGGCAGCCAAGCTGTTGTCTGCTTCCGGAAGCAAGAAGCCTTGGTATCCCGTGGGAAGTGCTGGCATGCCCACTGGTCGCCGCACTGGCTCGTACCCAGGAGGTGCCTCAAGGACCTTATAGCCTTCAGCCTCACCAGGCAGCATCATGTCGAGCTGCTCATCGGATAAGGGAGCGTTGCGGTTGGAGATGTCGGTGCCAAATGCGAACGTCTGCGCCACTGGGCGGGCGCCATTGGTGGCGGGGGCAGGTGTTGCGGCGCTGGCAGGGGCTACAGCTGTGGTATCCCAACGCGATCGAGTCGGTTGAGCAGCCTCCGCTGCCTTGTCTTCTGCCTTTTCTTCCTCGGGTGCCGGTGACCATCGCGACCGCTTCTTGGGCTCGCCCTCTACCGTGGTCTCCTCGGCCTCTTCTTTAATTGCAGGCGTTTCGCCGTCGCCGCTCTCATCCCAGCGTCTCCTCTTGCGAGTCTTCTTCATAGGTGGGGTCTTGTCGCCATCGACAGGGGCAGATCCGTCGTCCTGGAGCGTAGGCTTGTGATCAAGGACCTCGTTGCCCCCCTCCCTCTCCCTTTCCTCGATGAGCTTCTTCACACGCGCCTCTTCGCGCTCAAACTCGCGTTGCTTCATCACGTCCTTGTACGACTGGCCGCCATCTTCGCCGTCCTTCGCGAATGGATCCGCTCGTGATGGGGAAAGCGCGCGGTCGAATCGTCGTCGTTGGTAGTCGGTTTCGCGTGATGCGATCTGAGCCTGCTTCTCGCGACTGTCGAGAATATCCGCCTCTCCGGCATCACCATGCGCAAACTCGTTCATCATCTCCTTGGATGCCGTGTATTGGCCCACAAGGCTCCGGCCGTTCAATTGCACGTCGTCCATGTCGGCGTCGTCGTCGGCAACGGCGATGGAACTGACGTAGTCGCCATTGTTTCCGCCGTAGAGCTCCTTGTCGAGGGGCTCGTTGAGCGATTGCTTGTTGTTGGACGTGTCCCCGTTGGCGGCGCCGTTGGCCCTCGAGTTTCCTGCGCGCGGTCCGGCCATGTTTGCAGCAGGTGGTAACGGGTGGATTGGGGTTGGGGTGATTGAGGCGACGGCAGCCTGTGAGCTTCTCCAAAGTTTCGCGATCCAGGGCTTGGCAGAGCGGCCGCATTAGCACTAGCGCGAGCGGCTTAGTCACCCATCCCCTTCCTCTTGAAACCAATGGCTTGGAGTCTCAACACAGGCGTGCAAAAGGTCGCCAGGCTGCATCACGTCGCTGCAAGGCTCACAGACATGACTTCATCGTTGCCCGCCACACCCAAGCCCAGCGGCGTAGTCTCTCTTCTCATGTGACTTCACTTGGTACCCTAGCCCGCCTCGCAATATATCGAAATGCGGCACAGCCATCTACCAACGGGCGAACGCAGGTCATACAGCTTTGTCCGTCCATTCACGCCAGTTTCGTGTGCATGGTCCTTGGGTTCAACTCAGAGTAAAGTTCTAGCTTACTTAACGGCGACAGATGCAAGAGCCTGCAAGAATGCGGGCCCGACACATTGCTTCTTCTGATCGTCCCGAACATCATACATGTGTACTGCATGATCTTCGAAGCCGCGAGATAGGCCTGGACTGATCCGGCTTGAGTTCTGTCGCCCTGGTGGCGCCTGGCCTGCATGCGCGTCTCTATACGATAGGTGGCACACCAAGTGGCTACTCGTCAGCAAAATAGATCCCAAGAAGCCGAGGAGCTCTAGGTCTCCCATGTCTTTAGCACCAGAGGCGACAGACCCACTCCAGAAACTAAATTGAAGCACAGGCACGACAGCGGGCACTGTTCGTCAGTCGATTATGTGGCATGCTGATCTTTTTCGTTACCTGAGATTGCGCCAGCCATCACCCGATGCTCACACCGCCAGCGCGAACCATGCGTCGTCATCATGATATTTCGCAGCCTCATGTCGACGCAGTTACAGTCATGGCAGGAGATTTTGTCAATGGCTACAAGCGTCGGCATCGTGTGGGTTATCCGTAGCCATGCCCACCAAGCCCTACTACTGGTTCTAAAAATATGTCTCACGCAGCGGGGACCACTCAAAACCGCCGAACTACTCTGACTGCAGGCCTCGCAATACGGGCCCTAGCAACGAATAATCGAAGGCGCAGTGTTGCGCGAGCCAAGCTAACGGTGATTTACGCAGCTCCGGGCTTTCTGCGCAAGGGCTTGAAACGGACAGGTCGGTTCTGTGCTGCTGCCAGCCACACAGTAAAGTCGTACCGTGCCGGGGTCCGTGGTAGTGGTAGGGTCGCGGCATGTTGCTGATATGGAGGGACGCTGTCCCACGCTGTTACGAGGGGTTGATCCTGCCTCTTGTTTTATTGTGTTGCTCGTGCCCACCGTTTCGTTCCCCCCAACCACGTTCGCTGTCGTTGGTATTTCTTCAGGCCTCCCTCGTTTCGGCTGAACGGCTTCACAACTATGGCGGCTGTGGCGCAGAGTCATGTTCAAGATGACGTACATCCACTTCTGAGGCATCCTCGGCCGATTAAGAGGGATTCTGCAAAGGCGCAACGCATGCTTGGCTTGATCGCAGATTCTGAGGAAGCGCTGAGAAACTTGCAACGCGAAAAGTCGGTAACAACACGATGGTTGGAACGACCGATGTACGAGCATTTGGGGGTTTCCGATGTTGAAGAAGAAAAGGATGAGCCTCGGGAGGTGATCAAAGAGCAGAAGACGGAGGTCGTCATCGAGGAGGTGGTGATTGAGGACAAACCAATCGAGGAGAAGCCAAAGGAGGACAGCGACTCCGACCTGTTGGACAAATGGACGAATCCAAACCGCCCAGCATCCTCTTTCAATCCTGAAGAGACATTGAGCAAGCTCCCGGAGACGGAACCAAGCACGAAATTCAACACATCCCCCGTTAAGCGACGACCGCTACCGCTCACACGACCCACATCATACAACGCGCAACACCTGCTATCGCCAGAATGGATCGCTTCGCCAGCCACCATGAGCCCTAATACACCAGGTCAACGACCTGTATCATCGTATCTTGACAGCCCGGACAAGTCAAGGAGCAGCATTTCTTCCCGAGGCAGTTGTGAATGTGAGAGGCCACAGGTAAATTCTACGCAGTGGACATATCCGCCGATGAACGATGCGAATGGTTCACAGAACCAACGACCCATCTCATATCATCCTCAAAGCTTCACTGCACTCGACAGCCCACCAATGCAGTCGCGGCCACGACCTACATCCTTCGCAACCTACCATCAACGAAATCGCTCCGGCACTAAGATTGCCTCTTCGCGAGGCCTACGGAACAACAGCTACCCACAGAACCACTCGCGTCCCGTGTCAGGGTGTGCACCCAAAGCTGTTGCAGGAGAGAATATCGAGAACGATATGGTTTACCAGCAGTACGGGGATGACGAAGTCGGTCCACCTACGCCTGTAACATCCTCAAGACTTGCGTTTTCACCCCCACCAGTATTTGCTGCTACGCCAGCGACGCCAATACACTCCACACTGGATGCTTTCGCGACATCGGAAGAGAAAAACAAGCCAGAGAAGAAGATCAAGCATAGATGGTCAACCATACCACAAGCGTTGAAGAACTTTGGCGCTAGAAGAAGAGACTCTTCAGCTCAGCATGAGCAACCAAAGTTTGCGACAGTTGTTGAAGACCTACGGAGAATGAACTTGACGCAGGAAAACCTGCAGGTCTACGAAGCCGAAGCCAATCAAGACCCAGCAGCATCCAAACGTCTGTCGGCGGTCGACCTCATCCCGACACCGACCTACTCGCCCTTTGACATGAACGTCAAATCTGCACAACTCGAAGCACCCCTCCCAGCACCCTTCGCGCCATGGGCCGACGCCCCACCAAGCCCCGCCGCTTCCGCAGAGCGACGCCGCAGCAGCGGTAACTCGCTATCACCAACTACACTACCCTCACAGCTATCCAACGAAAACTTACGGCAAGTACGTCCCGTATCGATGCAATCCCAAGGACGTCCAGTTTCGTGGCAATCCCAAGCACGCCCCGTGTCGATGCAATCCCAACGTAGCAGCATAGTCGCCCTTCCGTCCCCGAACATTACCTGCACCGCTCCCCAACCATACCAGCGCCCCGCCTTCGACGCTTCTCTTAGTCCTCGGGCGATGACCCCTAGTTCCCGCCGCAACACACCAGCCATTGAACGCACGTGCATTCTCTGCAAGACATCAAGACCAGTATTCGACTTTAGTGAGCGCAGGATTACAACCAATTGCTGGCACGAGCCTGCGACTTGCGTTGGGTGCTTGCAAGCGTGGGTCAGGCAGTGTGCGGGTATGCATGGACTGGACAGATGTACATGTCCTGAGTGTGGAGAGCTTATGGCGAGGGAAGATGGGGGCTTGGGGTGAGGTTTCGCCGATTTGAGGTGCACGACGGTATACATTCCTTGCCAGGGGGGCTTGATGACAATGTCTGCATGTATATGTCAAAGCATAATAGCGCTCTTGTATTATTCTCCTTTCTCTTTGGCCAACGCAATGTATCGGCTGCTTCTCGTTAGTGGCTAGACTGCTTTAGTATAATGTATTCAATATCAGATAAACTCATCATGTAAACAGCCTGGTATCTTCACATCTGTTCACGTTAATTGATCAGTATTTACAATATTTACTTTCAGGGAAGTATCGTGCGAATGCAGAGATGTTACCTAGCCTTTACACATACACCGTGCACACATGATGACGATGAAGTTGGTATAATTGTATAGGAAATTCGTAGTAAGTCGTTACATCTGAGAACTCCACCCTTAGTGAAGAGTGATACATTAGGCTTACCCAAGCCCAATGCGCCATGAATAAGCGTTCTGTCGCCAACCCCGTTTTGTGACATTCTCAGTCACTTCACGGGACGTTGGGCGTGGTAGCAGTCCACAGAGTGTCACGCTCATCAGCAAGCGAAGTGTTGACACAATTCGTCAAGAAAGCGTGCCAGCCCTCGATGGTGGCCGCGTCAAGACCGGCTCGGACATCCGCACTGCACGTAGTAACGTACCAGGCCGCCGAACCAAAGCTTTTCTCGTCGTCAGAGTTGACCAGGTCGAGAACGGCGTCGACTCCTGTGGCCTTTGCTGTTGCGACGGCGTCTGCACCAGCAACAGCGGTTGCGTACTTTTCGACAATATCTGGCATGGCCATCACTAAACATGTGAGTTAGTTTATGTCTCATAGCCAATCCGTCTTGCAGCATTACTTACTTCGTGTTCCCTGACCTGGTCTACCTGGCGCAGGAAAGTGGTTCCTCTTGTACTTGAAGTTTCCGCTCTCAAAGAGCTCATACGCGACGATCGCGGCCCTCTCGCCCTTGGATGTGATCTTGTAGGTCTCAAAGACCTTGGTGATAGCAGTGGCGGCTGCTGTTGCATCTGCGCACTCGTCGGCAAATGGTGCACCATCGCAGGACGCAGTGGTGGGGGCGATGGCGATCAGGTTGGCTGCAGTCAGGCTCGCCTCGGTGGTTGGGACATCTGCTGGGGGAGCTGCCGGGGCGCCGTCATCGCAGTCGGGAATAGGTGCTGCGAAAGCGCAAAGTGCAAAGGCACTTGCGACCAGGATATTCTTGAAACTCATGTTATTGGTCGGCTGATTGGTGGAGTATATAGGTATATTGTTGTAATATAGAGGGTCTTCGATGGTGTGGAGGTGTATATAATGAGATATTTGAGGCCAGATCTGGTGCGAGGTGATGTTCTTAAATGTGAAGAAGTTCTTGAAAAGTCCTGAATGTTGTAGTCGTACTGTAAAGTGAACGGCAAGAACAATGTCCTTGAATGAGTGACGTTGAATGGAGTTTGCTTCGGCCCTGCAGAAGCTAGTGATCTAAATGAGGGATTGAGAGACCGTGAGGAGGCAGTGTATAGAGGCGATAAAGGAAGGTGACGGCCAAGATATATACCGTTAGGCGCGCACCGTGGCGCGCCTAAGGGTACCCCTTGAGGTGCCCCGTCAGCACAATAGTCAGGAACCCGTCTTACCGTATTCCCCAGATCAACGAGCAGTGACGTCCAATCATTACCTTGGCGAGGTGACGAACAATGCACGTGAATGCGCGTTGTGCGACTGTGATTGGGTGTGATTGGTTCTACGCCACCGAGCTGCCGGGGATGTTTCAAAACGTGAAACGAGCGTAGTCAAGCTTTTGCCAATGCCGCTGGACAGGAGTTTAAACAGCTTCTAGTTCCATCGCAACAAAATTGTAGGGTAATTCTGGGATAATAGGCGACCAATGAAGAGTTGAGTGGGGAGTTTTGGTTGGTCGCGCGCGGAAGAAAGGTTGTTGCGGCTTACGGGCTCGTCCACGGATCTCTGAGCCCTGACCCACGCCAGATGTTATAACCGTAAGCAAGGCGGGATGTTTGCGCCGCTTGATTTGTACTGTAACTGATCTTCCCCAAGACTTTCAGTCGCATTTTACCCAAGGCATACGGCAATTCTCCTACCTTTTTGCCGTTATGGAGTTTGCCTTAACCCCGCATGACGTGACATCATTATGGTTGCCGTCCACGGTGGGGCAAGTGCTTCTCTATGCCTAGGTGTCCTGCCCCTCATTTACGCTCATACACAACCAAATTTCCTCTTCAGCAAATAAATCGTAATATACATTCAAAATGCCTGCCGTCGAGACAAAGTTTGACCCTAAGGAGTAAGTCACGTCAATTGCTAGGATGGAAGAATCTGCCTGGATGCGTGTTTACTTCCAATTCCCAATTTAACGCTTGTATATTTTACATCTGTTTCGTCCGAAGATTTACTAATGTCGATATAGCATGCAGTTCCGTCGCCTTGGACCCGCTGGGTTGAAGGTTTCGGTCCTGTCTTTGGGAGGTTGGTTGACATATGGAGGAACACAGAAGGGTTCCATCGTGAAGGACTGCATGCAAGAGGCTTGGAACCATGGCATCAACTTCTTCGACACTGCAGAGGTATACGCAGCCGGCGAGTGCGAACTTGAAATGGGCAAGGCTTTCAAGGAGCTGCAATGGCCGCGTGACGAGTACGTCCTATCGACAAAGGTAAGATCAGTTGAGTCTCATCATGCCAACAATGGAGACTGACAGGACTGGACAGGTCTTCTTCGGAACTCAGAGGAAGGAGCCAAACACCAGGTAAGATGGCTGCGTTGCCTCCTTTTACCTAACTAACGAATGTGTAGGGGCCTATCCAAGAAGCACATTGTCGAGGGCTTGAAGAGCTCCTTAAAGCGCCTTGACCACGACTACGTCGACGTTGTCTTCGCTCATCGCTACGACCCTGAGTATGCATTAGCTCTCTTCATTCCGAGTACCCACTGACGTGTGTTTAGCGTTGGCATGAAGGAGATCGTGGAAGCCTTCACGCAGACAATTCAAATGAACTTGGCATACTACTGGGGCACATCCGAATGGTCTGCGGAGCAGATCCAAGAGGCATGCGATATCGCTGAGAAGTACAACCTCATCGCCCCTATCGTGGAGCAGCCTCAGTACAACGCTTTCCACCGCGAGCGCTTCGAAAAGGAATACGCTCCATTGTACAAGAAGTACCAGTACGGCACGACCATCTGGTCACCTTTGGTAAGAACTCAAAATGAATCTACTGCATGTGAAATCTATACTAACTCGTGCCAACACTTAGGCTTCGGGCATGCTAACTGGCAAGTACAACGATGGTATTCCGTCTGACTCCCGATTCGCAACCAACCCTGAATTCTTCAAGAACTCAATCGAGGCATTGAAGAGCGACGAGGGACAGGCTAAGATCAAGAAGGTCAAGGAACTGACTAAGATTGCTGAAAAACTTGGAGGCACCACGACCCAACTCGCGCTTGCTTGGGCAGCCAAGAACCCCAATGTGTCTACCGTTATCCTTGGCGCAACGAAGCCCGAGCAGGTCAAGGACAACTGTGGCGCTCTCAAGTTGCTCGAGAAGCTGACACCGGAGCTTATGGAGGAGATTGAGAAGATCCTCGACAACAAGCCATAAGGCACTCCGATACGGCTGCAAGGTCTGGTCGAAGGCCACAGTGATTACTCAACCGATCTAAGGCATCTAGAGCAGACTACGTAGTATAATGGAGGACATGAGACCAGCCTTGCTTTCTAATTGCTTCCTAATGATACGTCCATGGATGCGCTATGTCGTAAGAGGTCGATGTGAAGAAATGTAGCGATTGGCTGCCCCGCAAATCGTATATACCGCAAAACGTGACCATAGCTAGGTACGGAGCAGGAAACTGCATGCCTAAGTGGATAGCTGTTAAACGGTAGAGGATGATGCACCCGCCACAGTTCTCCCGAGACTTATCGGGCGATCTAAAGAGTGGCTGGGCCGGGTTTTGATACCACCTCAGCCCTGGCCATGCAACGCCCATGACACAATGCCATAGGGCATTTTGCGCGCCGACCCTTTGTTTTTGCGCTGTAAAGCTGGGATGTTGCGCGTCGCACGGCGCCACTGCACTGCAAGCCAGCTGCAAGCTCTAGACCGGATGAGCTGCAGAGCCGCAGAATGAAGCCGCTAAACACCAGCGGATCGCAAGCTGCTTCCGCGCTCTGGCTGTGATTGCTCCAAAAGCTGTTCGGCTCGATCTTGTGCACTGACCGCCTCATCTTGCAACCTCCAGACCCGGAGGCAGGCAGATTCCAAATCGTTAGCTGGGGCTGTGTTCTCGCCGACGATCTCTCGTGTGTAGCGCATTATTTCGTGCATGGCTGGCTACTAAATCGCGTTGAACATCGCACTGCAAGTGTAGGAGTCGAGCTACCCTGACACGTCCTTCTAGACCAGCGTGCCCTCTCGTGTGCTACATTCGACTCTGCGACGCCAAGGGCACCATCGCTTGTCTCAATTGCATCGGCAACTCGTCGCCCATTGCAACCGTCTCTTCATCATCGCCGTCTCGCCCTACTCGGAAGTACGGAACAGGACCTCGGCCGCATTCTACAGGACCTAGACGTACAGCTCAAGTCTCGCTGCTCAAATACCCAAACACCCCACGGCAAAACCGCGGGCACCGGCTCTGTCTAATCGTCATCTCTGCGCGCTGACGAGCCTGACTTTTGTACGTTTCGGATGTGCGCAGGGGTTCATTGTCGCCCTGTGGACTGACTTGCGTCTAGTGTATCGCTCACTGCAACTCGACGGCTTCTCCGCCATTTCGGCGCCGAGGGAGAGAACCGTTTAACCCATAAGTGAGCGTCGCTGCCAATGCCGCTCCTATAGCATGGCAACTACTATCAAAACCGACCCCTCCTCCGAGGGCGCCAGTCATCGCGACAACAGCAGTGGTATGTGGAATTTCTCTTGGCATTCTCCAGTGCTTTAATCGCCCGGTGTTTTGAAGTTGTATCTGTTTTGGCTCCGCTTCGCGATTCCTACACTTTGCTCTTGGCACCTTCATATGGCTCCCGCCATTGGGTCGCCGCTGCTGAAGCTTCTCGCGTCTTTACTCCACTCCCAGAAACGGGCTGCAGAGACATGACCAGTCTCGCCATGGCAACCTGGAAAGCTCTGTTCGTGTTAGCATGAACGTTGCAACATTCCCCGCGGCTCGCATGGTTGCCGGCCGTTGACATCGACGCATGAACGGCCAACGACCCTGCGAACGCTTGCGTGCCTCACCCGGCAAGGCGCTGGACACACTACATATACATGGCTGCACTACTCTCCTTTCTCGTCAAAGCTCATCATACACACATACATAATATTCCTTTTTGTTTCCTTCATCTCTTACCTAATATCGAAACATCATGTCGCATGCTCGTTATATGTCCTGGCCCAATGCGCATGCGCTGACCATGGCGCCCACCTACCCTCCATCCGGCGCTGCCATCGAGTACCCCTCGCCTGCTGCTTCTCGTCGGGCTTCCGAGTGTTTCTCTGAAGCGAGCATGAGCAGCAGCAGGAGAGGCAGCTTGCCTGGATTTGCGTCGGACATGGAGAGTACCGGGCAGTGGCAATCTGTAGGCAGCGAATCTAAGAGTCCTCTAGCACAATTCGGATTCTTCAAGAGTCTGACCGACAAGAAGACAACAAGGGGTTAGTCCATCAAGACATCGCCTCGATCTGGTAGCTGACTCCTGCAAGATGGCCAACCACCCAAGAGAAGAGGACCCAAGCCGGACAGCAAACCTGCTTTGACAAGACGACAAGAGCTGAACCGCCAGGCGCAGAGGTAACATCAGCGAAGCCATCGCCATATCACGTACTGACTCGTTGACAAGAACACACCGAGAGAGGAAGGAGCTCTACATCAAAGCCCTCGAACAGGAGGTAATCCGTCTCAAGGATACCTTTGCTGCTACGACGAGGGAACGAGACGCTTTCGCAGACGAGAACCGACGACTGAGAGAGTTGCTCATTGCACACGGCATCTCCTTCGACCTCTCTAGCCCAGGAAGCAATGGCATGGGCCGCGTTGATAGCTCCGCGTATGGAAGCTCAACTGGCAGTATATCAGGCTACGGACCGGGTTCAGCGTCGACTGGTTACACATCGCCACCGACACGCGGATCCAGCTCCCAAGATGGAATGAACGGTCAACCCCTGACTCTTCAACAACAAGCCCAGCAGTCCGGTCACCATCAGCAGCATGCGATGGACTATGACCAGATTGGCATTGACTTCGTCTTAACGTACGACCGATCGCCTTATCTTTCTCCTCCGCCCCAGCAGTAATGCGCTTACGTCTTTTCTTCTTCATTTCTTTTGGGCCTCCGTACGTCATTCATTATCTTTACGAGATCTGTTCTGACGATTGCGTCTAACAGGCTCGAGCGACCCTGCATGGACCACATGCAGTTTCTAATGGTCCGCGCCAACGAGGCCGACGAAAACATCAGCGGCCACGCGCTCATGGCAACGGCACCTCCCGATGCGCACATTACGAATTGTCCCGAGGAAAAGTATCCACATCAGATGCCGGACGTCAAGATGCCGGACTTGATGAAACTACTCGATCTCAGCAATCGTCTGCCCCTTGATGGGGAAATTACGCCTATCATGGCCTGGGCGAAGATCCTCCAAGACGAGTGCTTCAGGGATCTTTCCAAAGAGGACATTGAGCTCGTGAAGACGGAGCTCCTCGCCAAAGTCCGCTGCTACGGGTACGTTGGCGTCAGGTTGATTTGAGCTGGGCAGTTACTAACGCTACGTAGTTTTGGCGCAGTCCTCGAGGAGTTTGAAGTCAGCGACGCCCTGATGACAGTTCTTGCTAGCAAATATTCCCAAGGTCCCACGCCTGCATAATGTGTAGTCACGAGAAAAACGGCACTAGTTATTGGTTTTGGAATAATCTGTAATGTCATTCGCTCGATATGAATAATGCAAACATATCTTCAACTCTAAAATCCCAAATGGTATTTGACATGTGCACGGCTTTGAGTCTCCTGGGAAGGGTCTGGGCAGGGTCCAATCTAGCGCCCCACTAGACCCTCGTGCTGTCAGGGCGGTGTTATGAAACCCAGGAACTTATGAAACTACAGTCGCTACACATCGCCGTCTCGAGCTCTATAAAACCTCCGCAATATATGCCGGCCTGCGTTTGTAATCTTTCTGCCTCTTTTGCCACCGTGTGTTTTGGGCACAGCACAGCTATCCACCGTACCCCGCGCGAACCCCGACCGAGCCTCAGTCATGGCCGAACTAAGTGTCTACGACAACGACCCGACGATATACCTCTTTACCTCGCTGACCGCCGGGTCCTCTCACATTGTCACTGCCACATCTCGGATCGAAACAATCCTAAGAGCGAACAAGATCCCTTTCAAGGGAGTCGACACGGCGACAGATGAGCTCGCAAAGAAGCTGTTCCAGCGCAGAGCAAGCGGGAAGAAGCTACCGTTGATAGTCAAAGAGGGATACGTCCTGGGTGTAGGTACAAGAGAAAGCGCGTAGCTAGGGCAGGAGGCTAATGTGTGTCTTGCAGGGCATCACAGAGATCGAAGAATGGAACGAGTACGACGAGATTCGAGAAGCGCTGGGCGTCACGTCAGCCTTCACGCCCTTTCCTGCGAAACCCGGCCCTCCTCCCATGGCTGCGCCAGCTACGACCACCTCTTCCTTCTCATCCACAAGCACAGCTGCGAAGAAGGACAATGTCGTCATACCTAGTCCAGAGACAAATCTGGCGCTCCGTGAGCTAGGGGCTGAAGCTGCGAAGAAGGCCGCGTCGATGAAGCCTACCCCAAGCAACATCAAGACTACGAACCCATTGCTGGCAGAGAAGACAAACACACCAACCTCGGCGACATCGAAGAAGAGCCCTACGAAAGAAGACCCTAGCAGCATTCTCTCGCCCAAATCTGTCCCATTACCCGAGACGCCCAAGCTTGCGACGCCTGCTACACCGACCGCGACCGAGACCGCGACCAAAGATACAAAGGCTGCTGCTTCGACCGCCAAAGCAGAGGCTAAGCCCGCTGCCTCGATCGCAACGACAAAAGACACAAAGAGCACGAAAGACGCGAAAGACGCGAAAGCCGCTACACCGAGCACGAGCAAAGACACCAAGGCGAAGGACACCAAGGCTAAGGACGTAAAAGACGCAAAAGCAAAGGACTCCAAGGCGAAAGACCCCAAAGCAAAGACCACCACATCCTCAAAAGATGCAAAGTCAAAGTCAACGAGAAAACCCGCAACAGGAGGACTCTTCGGCCTCGGAAAGCCCGTTGCCAAGTCAAAGTCTTCGAAACCCTCGAGCAGCAAAGACGCAAAGAGCAAAGATACAAAATCTAGGAGCGCAAAAGACACCAAAGCGGCCGCGAAACCGGGCATCCCCAAGCTCTCCGATCTGCAGAAACCTGTACATGCGCCTCCGTCTATGCACGATGATGCGAAGAACCCTGCGCTTAGTGCTGGACCGATAAGCTCAACGAATAAGGAGAATGAGGAGGAGAGTGGTGAGGAGGATGGAGACAGCGAGGAGGCATCTGAAGAGGAGAGCTCTGAGAAGGAGGAGGAGGAGGAGGAGGCCGATGCCGATAAACCGGCAGCAGCCAAGGCCCCAGCAAAGGCAGACGCCAAAGCAACTGCAGCAACCGAAGAGAGCAGCGAAGAAGAGGAAGATAGCGACGAGGAAGAAGAGAGTGAGGAGGAGGAGGACAGCGCAGAAGACAAGAAACCCGCACCGTTGGCTACAAAAGAGAAACCCGCAACACAAGCCAAGAAAGACGCCGAAGCGGAGGAGAGTTCCGAAGAGGAAGACAGCGACGAAGATGACGAGGAGAGCTCAGAGGAAGAAGAAGAGACACCGAAGACGCAGAAGCAATCTGCCAAGGATGCGAGTAAAGCAGGTGTGAGCGTGAAGGACTAGAGAAGAAGGAGGTCTCATGTGGATAATGGGGAGTAGACAGTGTATATAGTTTCAAGTGCAAGATAGCAGTATATAATCAAGTTTTGGACAAATGCCGTACCATCCCATGTGTAGGTAAATTACCTCATTAACGCCATCGCTGGATGCTGACACTGCATATGCAGTATCGAGAAGACGACGTCTAACCAACAAAAAACATCTATGAATCTTTGGTGACAAGGCCATCTGGTACTTGTACCAACAATACCTCGATCACTCCACCTATTATGTATTGATGGAGTTGGATCAAACAGCAACATCCAAACCCGCCTTCTTCAAGCCATTCAAAAACTGCTCCTTGACATCTCCTCCACCATCCACACACTCAGCAGTCCTCTCCACCTCTGCAGCCGGCGCATTAAGCTGCGCCATCATCATCTTCTCCACAGCCGCAAGACCCGCCTCCTCGGCTTTACTCAGACTATCAGCCGCACCGGCCGCATCATCCTTCTTCTTCCCTTTACCCTTGGCCTTGGCACCTTCCTCACTCTCCTCACCCTGAACCATCTTATCCAGTTCCAGTTTGCTTACACCAAGCGCGTAAATCTGTTCTTCGACAGTGCCCTTGGTGACCAGCCTGACGACCTCGACCTCCCTCGTTTGACCAACACGGTGCGCGCGGTTCTCTGCTTGGATGTCATCCTGAGGGTTGAAACTCGAGTCGAAGATGATGACTTTGTTCGCGCAGGCAAGGTTGATACCTGCGCCGCCGCTCTTGGTGCTGATCATGAAGAGTTGGATGGATTCGTCTTGGTAGAAGACGTCCATGAGTGATTGACGTTCTTGGATCGGGGTAGAGCCGTCCATGCGCATGAAGTTGATGTCGTGGTCGTCAAAGACCCAGCCGAGAATGTCCATGACGGAAGTAAACTGCGAGAAGACTAGAGCGCGGTCGCCGTTTTCTTTATACTTTTTCAGCAGAGCGAGAAGCGCGGCTACTTTGCCAGAGTCCATCCATTCCTGGTCTTGGAGCTCGAATTTCTTGAGCGCGCGGTACTTGGAGGCGAGCTGGTGGCATTGGTAGTCTTGGTATAGCTGGAGTTCTTCGTAGATGATGTCTGGGCTGCTTTCGGCGAACATGTCTTCCTTAAGACACGCCTTTGACATCTTCCGGATCTTATCGTCGTTGTACCGGTGGCGGAAGAGTAGGGAGTGAATGGCTGCTTGTCGCAGCTTCATCATAACGTTGGCATGGTCCTTGACGGGTATGCCTGCTGCTCGGTCTTCGAGGATCTTGCGCTGCTTGGCCAACTGCTCGTTGTAAAGTGTCTTTTGCGTATCGGTAAGATTGCAATACTCGACGCGGGAAGTTTTCTTCGGTAGATGCTTGAGCACTTGAGCCTTCTTTCTTCGGAGGATAAACGGTGTCAACATCGTACGAGCGCGTTGGATACGCTGGGCAGAAAGCAGTGAGCTATGCGAGTCGCTCTCCATAGTCTTAGCCTTGTGCTTGAACAAAATCTGCAGCATCTCCTGAACCTCCTCCTGCTGGTCGCCATAGAAAACCTGCGGCATAAGGAAACCCAGAATCGACATTAGCTCTTGAAGACTGTTCTGAAGTGGCGTTCCTGTCAACAAGATTCTGCAAGTCGTAGGAATCTTCATTAAGCTCTTGTACCGGATCGTGTTGGCGTTCTTGAGCATATGCCCTTCGTCAAAGATACAGATCTCGGGCCTGCACTTTCTCAAGAACGAAGAGTCGTCCTTTCTGAAGGTCAGGTCGTATGTCGTAATGATCACATCGCAGGTTCCCTGGCGGATATTTTGGAGAATACTCTCCTGGTGGGAGAACCGCTCCGCCTGTGATCCATAGTACGGCGTGAAGTTGATCGTGTTAGAGAAGCGCTCAAATTCACGACACCAGTTCTCTAGTGTAGATCCAGGCACAACGATAAGCGCAGGCTTTCCGACGCCTTCTTCTTTGAGGTGTGAGAGAAAAGCAATGATCTGGCATGTCTTTCCCAGACCCATGTCGTCGGCCAGGATACCCGAGGTTTTAGTCTTCCACAGGAGGTTCAGCCAGTTAAGACCTACGACCTGGTAATCCTTGAGTTCAATATCATCGTTCATGATCGCGGGCTGTGTCAAAAGCTTTGTACGAGTGGCCGCTTTTCGTATGCTCTTGGGCTCCGTATCGCTGCCAATCGGGCTCCGAGGGGTATGATAACCTGAGTCGCGAGAAGAATTCGTGTCGCTACCGTCATCGAGACTCGTAATCTCGACTCCGTCCTCTGTAGAAGCACCAAAGATATCGATGCCCCATTTGGCCATGCCCGCAACCATTGGCTTGCCCAGAGCCTCACACTGCTGAACGACCGAGTCAATCGTGTTGTATGCATTCCACATCGCCTCGGTAGATTCCACGAGTCGTTGTCCGGTTGTTATACGTGGCTTGCGCGCCTTCTTCTTGCCCTTCTCTGCTGGCGTGAGATCCACATGGACCTTACGAATAGCATCAAGCGACTTGAATGGGCGCTGCTTGAAGATCTCCTTGATGTCCTCTTCTTTGTGACTGGACAAGTCGATCAACTCCTCCACTGTACAAGTATTGAAGAGGTTCAACAATTTACTATCGTCAAAGCTGTTTTCCACCACCGAACCACCTGCTTCCGAATCGTCGTCGACCATGAGATCCGCAGCAATACCCTCGTCTTCGTCGGAAGAGACAACGATCGCCGCCTCCTTCTTTGTTTTTTGTTGCGGTCGTGCGGGTGCGGGTTCGGGAGAGGGCGAGAAGACGGCTTTCTTGCGATCCTTTCCGCTCTTCAGTCGACGTTTTGGTTTCGGTGCTTCTTTCTCAGGGCTTTCGATTGTGACTGGGCTGTTCTGAGTCGCGCCCAACTTCGAGTACTTATTCTGTAACGACTGTACAGGCTGCTTAAGACCGCGCTGTGCCGTCTTCTTGACAACTGGATTTGATGCTGTACGGGCTACTCCTGGGCGAGGAGGAGACCGCAGCAGCTCATCCTCGGACTCCTGTTCCGCCAGATACTCGGAAGCGTCGTTGAAGTTACCCTTTCTCTTTGTCAAAGCATCATGCAGTTGCTTGACGGAGCGATTCGGGTATATAGCTTGTAGTCGCTTGACTTTTGAATACGTCTGCAGGTCATGGATGTCCTCCATGGTCATCTCCCCGTCCTCCGTCAGATCTATAGGTATAGCGCGTGAAGGGCCCCCTTGCGGTTGCACAGGTTTCTGTCGCTTAGGTGGCGTACTCGACTCGAATCGTTCTGCCGGCCGTTTACGCGATTGATCGCTGCCGTATTTATAACTCGACAGATCCCAAGTCGGTTTCTGTGGTGTCTCTTCGATCCTCGATGTCATAGATGCCATCTCGATCTTGGACAAGGGTATATTAGACCTATACTCCGACTCGTCCTCGTCTGGATCGCGCTCAACAGGTGGGTCATCTGAGGTAAGGTCGACGACTGGTTTGCGGACTGCTTGTGGGGGAAAGAAGCCTGTGCCAGGGGGTGCCATTGGATTGCTGTAGCCCCCGTATAAGCGTTGCGACTGCGACGGCGGCGACATGACAGGCGACGAGTCGCGCTGAGGGGCGGGCGACGAACGCGGGACTTGTAACTGCGACGAAGAAGCCGTGGCTTGTACTGGATACGCGCGCGGTGTGACTATCAGCGTGGGCTGCGTGGTATCAGACGGCGCCGCAAAGAAGGGCGAGCGCTCCCCGAGGATTTGCGTAGGCTGCGTGACGTAGGTATCTCGCTCGTCGTCGCTGTGCGGAGAGGCGCGCGGTGCCATCGGGGGCGGAGAAGACGAGAGTATGGGATCGCGGCGGTACATTGTGCGACCGCACTATGGCAGCGAGTTGAGCAAAGTAAGGATGCCGTGGTGGTAGCGGATGTAGTAGTCGATTTCGCCGCTTCGTTCGCGGAAGAAGTAGAGCAGCGCAAAGAGAAGACGCAGAGAACAACAGCTAGGCGCACTAACAAAGGCGAAGTGGACAAAGCAACGGGTATGCTAAAATGCCCACAGAGCGTAGGCAGGAAGGAGCCTTGGAAGGGTTTGCCCTGGGACGCGCATCGCCAAACACAACGCGTTAAAACCACTTTACTACGCGTAAAGATATTGAGCTTGGACCATTCCGAGCCTATTACGTTCCTCAATTCGGACGAGGGCCCGGTCTGTCACGCACTCACGAGCCGGAACACCACAACATACAGGTTCCATCTGCAAAATGACGACTAGAAGAATCGTAAACGAGCAGAAGTCGTCTCTTGACTATGATGGAAAGGGTGCTCCCGAGCCGTCCAACACCTCGCCAGCGGTGCCATCGTGAGTCGCCTTGACGGTGGATATCATGGGCATAGTGCAATGGCTGACAATGGCAACAGATCGGTGATTTGGAAGTTGATGAGCTTCACCTTTGCCATGATCACACTGCCAATTGGCACATACTTCTTCACTGTCAACTTTGTCTTCCAAGGTAAGTAGTCAATGTGAAGTTTGAAATGGGAGGTATTGACTCCATCTAGGCAACGCAACTTGGGCGGGCGGATTAGCAGCACTCATGGCAAACGTGGTCTTGATCGCGTATGTGATCATGGCATTCAAGGATGATCAAGAGGAGATGCGAGAAGAAGCAGAGAAGTCCAAGAAGAAGTTGTAGTGCTGGCTCGTGGAGGTGACTGGGGTATCGATGCATGCTAGACGAAGGATCGGCTCGACTGTGCAAAGTATACGCAAACACATGTTCTTGCGGAACTACAGTTGCTCATATTAGTGACTAAAATCACACATCACTCGAAACGATAAAATCAAACACGAATTTACTCATCAACCATTATGATTACCACATTACCAGCCGGCTCAAACGAGCGAACTTCTACTGTAGCAGCACATTTCAAAACTACAAGGAGTGACAATTGCGGTATATACCCTTTCCACATCCCTAAAACGCCACAGTAACGCCATCATGCTGTGTACGCAGGCTCGCGTAACAGTAATTCGACCAGAGGACTCCAGAGCCCCATGGTGAAGGTGTTCATTCATTCATCATGGCAAGCCCGCGCCTCTCGTTGTCGAATGGATTCCCAGGAGCGCCGTTCGTTATAGCTAGTCGCTAGCTTCCTCCCAATCATGGCTCGTGGCTTAGTCTTTGCTGAACCGTCTCTTAAACCAGCTCTTGCGCTTCTCGCCAGCGTCGCTGCTCTTCTTGGACAGCATAGCTGGTCTCGTGTTCTCGGTAACAGGCGGTCCACCGCCACCGAGTTTGATCGGTGCAGCCTGGGTGGAGTGCCTCGGGGGCGGTGGTGGCATGCCGTGAGCGGGCGGTTGGGGTGGTCCTTGTGAGTAGTTACCCGGCCCCTGTGCGTACTCCTCCATGATGGGGGCCCTTCCGAATCCATTGAATCCGTACTGTGCACCCATATCCTGTTGTGGTGGTTGCACGGGCATGCCGCGTTCGATGGAGCTGTTCTCGCTGTTGCTGTGGTCGTTGGAGTATGGGCCGTCGCTGTGGCTGCCATTCGAGCCATTGGTGTTGACGGTGTCGCGCGACTGTTGGTAGCCGTTCATGGGGTAGACACCACCATGGGCGCTCTGTCTGTTGTTCCAGCCCGGGTCAGACTGCATGCGGTTGCCGTATCGCATGCGTTGTGGCTGTGCCCCTACAGGCCCACCATTGCCGTAGCCATCGACATAGCTGTCGCGCTGCGTCTGTCTTTGAGGAAAGTAGCCGCTGACGGACGAAAAGCGGTTCTGGTCGTTGTATCCGCCGCCGCCGCCGCCGCCGCCATAGTAGCTGCTCCGTCGGCTTGCGTAGCTCATGACGTCGGTCTGGTCGGCGCGCATGGACTGCGCGCGGCGTCTATATTCGCCATCGATGGCAGCCTCGAAGGAGCGGATCGTGTCGAGTGGCCGCTCCCATCGCGAGCGCGTGGGGTTGGAGAGATCGGGATCGGCTGGCAATGGTTAGATTACGAGTGTACAGAGCGGTGCCAGCGTGACTTACCAATGGGATTACCGGCTGCGTCGGTATGGTTGAACGAGCGGAGAGATGCGAGAGTGGGCTTGGTGAGGGCTTCGGCGACTGGGGCAAGTTAGCCACGATTAGATAGACAGGGTGCACAAGATGGCATACTGGGCTGCTGTTCGTTCATAGCGGCGTTGGGGTTCGCCTTTGAGTTTGGATCGTAATGATCAGAGTATTTGCGCTGGTGCTTGGTAGGGCTTTTGGGAGACGCGGGTGTCTCGCGGCTCTTGTTGCTCTTGTTGCTATGAAAGCTGAGACCGCGCGGGCGCGATGGCTGCTGTGCCGCTTGCTCCATTCTTGCAACGATGGGCGATACCCAGTTTTTTCTGCGGAGCGTCTAACGAGTCGTGCGAGCCGGGTAACTCGGTGGAGCTGGAGCTGTAATGTGGCGCGTGGTGAGTAAGTGGAGCGTGCGGCGTATCGTAGTAACTGAGACGGGATATGTCGCAGAAGCAAATTGATGAAGGATCAAGAATGCGTGACGGTAGAGCTATAGAAATTGGGAGTCGATACAAGAGGCGGAGCAAGTCTGGGCTGAGTCGTAGTGTACGTACTTAGCTAGGTGATGACGAGTCCGCGCGCCTGGGCAAAGAAGAGTGAATGGACCGCGCGTCTTTGGGTAAGCCACAGCACGGCCAAACTAGATCACCAATTCTGAAACAAAAGTACCGAGCAAGGGTATGTATCTACTCTTATCGCTCTGCTGTGCAAGTCTTCCAGCCTTACTCTACAAAAATACTCCCACTCCGCAGTGAACGTCCGTTCACTTGTAAGACAATGGAGGGTCAAGTCTCACTGCACCGCCTAGTTCAACCTAAACGCCCCTCGTATCTCCCGTTAGCTGGCAAATTTAGACAGCGTCAATAGTTTACTTCCGGAAGCGGACGCTATGTTCTCACCCAACCTCCACGCCAACCCCAGTAATCTCCAGCCACCACGAAACTCAATTCACCCTCTCCATTACATTCAAGAAAACGACCACCTGTTAATTGCGCAGCACAGCATAATCTGGCTATCATGGCACCTGCACTACTGTCGCAGCACATTCGATCTTCGTCCTGCATCCCGCGAATGCTATCTATGGTACACCATGCGGAACTAGTGGATGGGGCGTCCCTTCAATCCAGCAACCACCAGCAAAAACCTAGCCGCGTAGCCGGACTCTTGCAGAATCTCTGACAAACATGGACAGCTTGCATTTTGCCGCTGTTCTTCGTGTGTCAAATCCCATCTTTGACAATAGGCATGGATGATCATTAACATGGATTGGATTGCGGGGCGGTGGATACTATCGTCGCCTAGAATACGTCAAGCAGCCTCGATAGGCACGGCGCGGTTTGGCGGACGTTTCCAAAAAATGCCAAGATTTCCACTGTTCCGCGGGTGGGCTTTCAACCTGCATCACTTTGCTCATCGTGAACATGACCCTTGCGCGCTAGCCATCGTTTATTCGTTCATGAGTGCTATATGCTCATCATGTCCATTACATGTGCTTATTCCTTTTTCACGTCCCCCCCACTAGCTGTGTGTAGGCATATTGACCGACGCCTTCGTCGCAACCGCATCTTCACTCCTCCAAAGACTTGTCACTGTCTTCTGTTGTGTGTAGAACTGCAGACCTGGCTTTCCGTAGAAAGTGTTTGCACCGCCGCCTGCGACCGACTTCTTGTTACCAGTGAAGGAGAACATGGGGAGCTGCCGATATTAGCCTTCGTTCATTACTTTTGGTTCCAAGAGGAGCTTACAGGTACGGGAATGGGCACGTTGATACCAACCTGGCCGGCTTCAATCTCTCGCTGGAATTTGCCGGCAGTGGCACCTGAGCGAGTGAAGATGGCGGTACCGTTACCGTACTCGTTGGCGTTGATCATGTCGATAGCCTCGTCGATGGTCTCGACGTTTAGGCAGACAAGGACTGGGCCGAAGATCTCCTCGGTGTAGCACTTCATGTGTGGCTTGACGTTGGCGATGATGGTAGGACCGACCTAAACAGCACAATTAGTATGGCATCATTCTTATATATCAGCAAGACTCACCCAGTTGCCGTTGGCGTACTTGTCGGAAGGAGGTTTCTGACCACGTCCGTCAAGGAGGATAGTCGCACCCTCTTCCTCGGCGCTCGCAATAAGGTCTTCAATCCTCTTCTTTGACTGAGGGCTGATGACGGGACCAAGATCGGCGCCCTCCTCGAAGCCGCCGTTCATCGACAGTTCCCTTGCGCGCTCAGCAATCTCAGGAACCCATTCCTTGGTCTCGCCGATCATGACCAGAGTGCTCAAAGCCATGCATCGCTGTCCAGCAGCACCGAAAGCAGCACCAGCAATCGCGTTCAGAGCATGGTTCTTGTTGCAGTCGGGAAGGACAGCAGCGTGGTTCTTTGCGCCCAAGTTGGCCTGAACACGCTTGCCCTGAGCCGATGCACGCGAATAGATGTACTCTCCAGCCTTGTTGCTACCAACAAAGCTTATCGCCTTGATGCGGGGCTCGTCGATGATGAAGTCAACCGTCTTGGCTGAACCGTGTACAATGTTGATTACACCAGCAGGGAATCCAGCCTTCTCAGCAAGCTCCGCAAGGATCATGCAGGCGCCGGGGTCGCGTTCCGAAGGCTTGATAACGACTGTGTTACCGGTAACAGCAGCGATGGGGATGGTCCAGAGGGGAATCATAGCGGGGAAGTCTGGGGTAGCATATTAGCACAAACCTCATTTACCACCAGTCGTGCACTTACTGAACGGGCAAATGGCAGCTACGACACCCAATGGTTCTCTGTAGCTGCGTGTCTCCATGTCCTTGGCGACCTCGAGGACTTCGCCAGTCATTTGCGTTGTGATACCGCATGCGGTTTCCGCGACCTGCAAGCCACGGAGCACATCACCACGCGCGTCTCCAAATGTCTTGCCCTGTTCCAGCGTGATGCTAGCAGCCAACCGGTCCCAGTTCTCGCGAATCAAGTGTGTGTATTTGAACAGAATCTGCTGCCTGTGAAGCAAGCTGGTCTCTTTCCATGGCTTGAACGCCTTCTCCGCGCTGTCCACCGCAGCCTTGAGCTCCTCGTCTGTGCTCTGCGGCACGCGTGTGACCAAGTTGTTGGTCGCGGGGTCGTGCAGATCTATCCATTGTGTTGCTTTCGATGCCACGAACTTGTTGTCGAGGAAGTTTGGTGTATCTGCGGGCGATTGGATCGGCTCGTGGTTCATGGGGTACGACTGAGCCGCAGACGATGCTGGCTTCAGGTGCTGCGCCGTGGCATGCAGCCGCCGTGCGGCGACTTTACTTTGGCTGACTGGCGACGACATTCTCGTAGAAAGAGGGGCCGCGCGCGCGACAGATGAGCGGGCACTCAATGTTGGGAGGCGTGAGAGCGCGCGTCGAGAGAACATAGTTGCAGGTCAAATGCCGACGTTGTGGGGGAGCAATCAAAGCTCAAAGCAACTTTTGAAAACGCAGTTTAAATCGAACAAGCAGTCTGCGTAATCAGATCATCAAATTGATCGAAACCAAAGAAGAAACCACGTAGGGACAACTCGGCACTTGCGGCTATAGGGAAACGGTTGCCTTTCATGGCAGAAGCACAGCCGAGAAGCTCCCCGCTCCCCAGCTTGAGGTGCCGTTGATAGCCACCTGGCTCCCGACCGGCGTTAATGGCGTTTGCTCTTATGTCATCAGTCGCCCCACTTTCACATATCTGGGTACATTGATACACATCTTGACATCTCATGTAGCTGTCGGGTCCGGGAGTATATCTTCTTGATCAACACTGATACTCATAAAAAAGTATGGTCCAGAACACTGGAGTGTGACCGTGGAGATGGACTTTTGACACACACGAATCGATGAGAACGACCATGAGGACGCTCGGCCAATGGACGTTGAGTTTGCGTTCGAGCTGTTACCAGATCGATTTAGCGCTTCCAGAGGCCCCGCGATCTTAACCCAATTTCGACAACCCGATTGATAGATAGCTCCCCGGCCTGGAAACTAACCATGGAGAACAAGCGCGGAAGTCCCAAAGTGGAGGCGGATGTGTCCGACGTAGGTACCCATTCGCGCGATACATCTCTACAAATCATACTGACATCCGAATTCCTGTAGACTGCTCAAATCGATGAGCGCAAACTACAAACACCAAAGCCCGCCGAAAAGCGTCGGCAACAAGTGAGACGCCAGCGACTTAGACAGCGTTGACAAAAACGAGCTCTCCGCCCAGCAACCCGTAAAAGAGAAGAGTCCCATATCGCCTTCAGAGACCAGCACTCTTCGCGAGTGTTCGGCAGATCAAGATGGACACAATCCGCAAGACAACGTAGATTGCGACAAGCCCCCGACCAGCCTATCAAGCTCGAGAGCCCATCTTCAGACTCGTCAGACTCCACAAGTTCCCCCGAAAGCGTCGGTCCAAAGACCCGCAAACGCCTCATGAAGAACTACAGAAAGATCCGCAAAGAGGCCATCAAGAACAAGACTCACACAGCGACGTTTTTCAATGTGCGGGATATGATAACACACGGTCGCAAACACTACGTCACTAACATCGAGGGCGAATACCGAGGCTGGGTTAGAGCTGATACTTACCACTTCATGTTGAGATATGCGCTCTTTTATAACCTTCCTAAATAGGGCATCTCATGGCTTTGGAGTGGACGCTTGCACTGGGTGTAGCAAGTATGTCAGGGGGTTCTGATGATTGGCCAGTATGACGACGACAACGTGGACGATGAGGTTTTCACTAGCCGTAACGTGGAACTTCGACGACGCAGCCATAGTGTAAAGACATGTACGAGTGAGCCATAGGTGGTGGTAAGATGATTCATGGCGAACCTCAGGAAAGCGACATAGTTCTTGTATGAAACATCAACTTCAAAACTTTACTGCACCAATCACACATTCCAACACGTCATGAGCTTATCGATGAAATCTGAACAAATGTTTCTACACACCCTATTTCCCAGCCTGTGACCCAGGGCGCTGCACATCCCATTTTCAGGAACAAAGCCTCAATACATAATCATAGCGCCGTGAACCTTGAAATGACGTGTAACTGCAAATCAGGAATCCAATTGTGGAGGGGCAAAGATGTACCCCCTGAACCACACTTTTTGGTAGTCTGTTCCTCGAACTCTGTATTTCCCAACAGGGTACTACTCCTTTCACTCAACAATCAAAACAGCCTATGAGGCGTTTGATCGGGTGGTGCGCTTGTTGATCTCAGCCTGGGCCTTCTCAGATCCAGTAGCGACGGCCTCGGCGGCCTTGTCCTTGGCGTCAACAGCGGTCTTTTTGGCCTTGTTTGCCTGGGCCTTGACTTGCTCCTTGGAAGGAGCGGCGCCGGAGCCGAGAAGAACGGAGGCAAGGATAGCGAAGATGGTGACAGCGATAACACCAATACCACCAGCGACCTCAGGGACGAACTTGGCAGCCTCGACGGGGTCGCGCTTGGCGATCTCGAGGAAGAGGGCGACCTTCTCTTTGACGTAAAGAACTGGGTCATCCTTGAAGACGAGGTCAGAGGGTGACTTGGGTGTGTCCTTGGGCTTGGGCTTGTTGGCCTCCTCGTCAGCCTTCTCAGCGGGGTGCTTGAGATCAAAGGTCTCGGCCTTGAGCTTCTCAGCGTCGTCGATGGAGTGGCCAATGTAGATGTTGTCGAAGAGAATATCCTTCTGCATAGTCCAGATTTCGAAACCAATCTATGGCATGTTAGCAAAGAGTCTGTGAAATCAAGACAGAGTCAACTTACAGCACCGATGGGCTCAAAGTTGGCAGGGGTCTTGTCCTCGAAGTAGTCAGGGTTGGCAATCTTCTTGGGGGCCCAGACGCCCTTGTAAGCCGGGTTGTCGATGAAGGGAGCGGTCCACTTGCCCTTGTAGGCAGGGTTCTTCTTCATCGGAGGCTCCCACTTGCCGCAGCCAGAGACTTCATCACACTTGGGGTTGGGAACGGTGGGAGGGACCCAGTCACCGTCCTCCTCGTCATCCCAGTCCTCAGGCTTCTCAGCCTCGGGGTCGGGAATGGTGGTGGGCTCATCCTCAAGCCAGTCTTCAGGCTTGGTGGCCTCCTCGTCGACAATCTCGAATGGCGCATCCTCATCCCAGTCCTCGGGCTTGGTAGCCTCGGGGTCAGCGATGCGGGCCTCGTCAACCCAGTCTTCGGGCTTTGTGTCGTTGGGGTCGTCAGTCTCCTCGGGAGGGTTGACGGAGGGGGTGAAGTCCTCCAAGAGGGTTCCATTGCGAACGGACTCGCCGTCGATCTTCATCTCGAAGCTCTGGTCAGGCTTGACGATGAGGGTGTAGAGACTGGTGGTCTTGACAATACGAGCCATGGGAGGGTTCTTGAGGTGCTTCTCCTCGTACTCGCCGGTCTTGGGGTTCTTGTGGCGGAAGATGAAGTGGACCTAGGCATGTTAGCTTAGTTGGTCATATTGGAAGAAGTGCCGTACCTTGTTGGTAGCACCGCACTTGTCGGGACCAAACATGATGATGTAAGGAGAAGCGTTGGAGAACTCCTCAGCGTGGAGGGCTGCATTGTCCTGGAGGAGCTTCATGTAGGCACCACCGCACTCGAGGCCATCTGTTCGTTGTTAGAATTACGCGACATCCCAAACTTGGCTGGAAAACCTACCCTGAAGCTTGACTTCGTACTGAACAACAAGGGTGTCATCCTTGTTGTCAATGGCCTTGGGGAACTTGGCCGAGATGGCATGGTGAGCCGCCTTGTCCTTGATGACCAGTCCCTTGTCACCCTCCATACCCTTCAGTACGGAAGGCTCCTCAACGGACCAAGTACCAACGTATGCCCACTCCTCGTCATCGGCCTTGACGTCCTTCTTCGCGTGTGAGGGGTTCCATCGGGACTCCCAATCGTCGGTGAACTGCTCAAGGAAAGGTGCCTTGAGTTTTGTGGGCTATACGAATGTTAGAGAGAGTTTCGGCTATGTGACTGATTCAGAGACGTACAGTAAAAGTCGGCTTTGCGACAGTGGTCGAGGAAGAAGACGCTGACTCGGAGGAGCTGGCGTCGTCTGCGCGCACAACGGCGGCAGCGAGCGCAACGGTGGCGCCAATTGCAAAACGCATTGTGCTTGCCTTGGTTGGGGGTTGAAGTGGAGGAGAAGAGTTCACGGATTCAACGTTGGGGCAAGGTGACAGTTAAATGCCCAGTACACAGAAAGGCCACCTTAGTGAAATGTGGCAGGAAGCGGGCCCTTGGAGCTCCCCACTAGCGCGGCGACCCATGCACGGTTATGCTCCAGGGTTATGGATGGTTCTCGAATTGCTTTCACGCCAGCTGGCCAGATCTGATACACTTTCACTTAAGACTTCATTGCACACAATTACTGTCAAGTGGTCAAGAAGTGCCAGTAACCAAGGCATCTGCCCAAGTGCTCGCTCACGGTCGCTCTTTCCAAGATTCTGTGTCCGCGGCGCTAGTGCAGACCTCGGGAAGAACAAACGTGTTCTCCACACATCAACCCCGAATCCAAAAGTCCCAAGATAAGGAATACAATTCAGGCTTCTTTTCAAATCTTAAGGAGATCCCTCAAACAGGCCACGTTGTGCATGACAAACTCACGTCGGTCACACCCATGCACTGTACGACCAATACAACAAACTGCATCACCCAGTACTATCATTGAACGTATGTGGTATCGATTGTAGGTGAGCTATATCCATAGTCACACCAATGCATGCAGCCAACGGCGCTTCAGTGTAGGTATTCCCAAAACTCCGCCGCCTAGCCAGGTCGTAAGATGTGGTCTGCGTATGTATGCTACCTGTTCCCAAGTCCATCCCGCAAGAATAGTACAAAGCCGCGAACGCCATGCGCTAAAGTCAAAGTTCTAATTACTCCATGCCGCATTCCATATGACATGGCCTATATCGCGTGCAGTATTTACGGTGTCAACAACTCTGCCGATGAGAGTTGGTGGTAAAGGCTCTTCTTCGTCGCCTTCAAAGGGCATGAACATGCCAGATGGTGTTCTTCTTAGTGCGCCGCTTTCCAGTGAGGCTGACGACCCACTCCGGCGCAATGAGTACGGATCCGAAGCAGTGGGAGTGCCGGGCCTTTTTGAGCCGTAAGCGCTAGAGGGTTTAAGGTACTCCTCACTCTCTTCGTCATCCTCTTCCAGCAGAAAGTTCCGTGATGGATTTGACGGCTTCAGGGTCTCGGAGGACGGCGAAGGAGAGAGTCCGCTGCGCGACTTCCACATGGCGAGAGAGTGATGTTGTTGCGTTTCGGGTACGTCGGGAGAGTCTGTCCGGTACTTGAGCGTCGTCGATGGAAGTTTCGCAATGGTCTTGTTGTCCGTGCTGATGCTGACGGACGAGGCAGTCCGTGAAAGAGGCTTCTTCCGGCGCGATCGCTTCATCATGACGACGCCCTCGTCCGACGAAGAGTCCGCTTCCTGGTACTTGGCCCAGGGGTTGTGGTTGCAGTCGTCCTCTTCATCGTCGGCGTCTTTGCACTCGACGGCGATACATTGCTCAACCTTGTCGTCGAAGCGGATGTGCCGCTTCTCCCCGTGATCGGGGGTGTGCAGTCCGGAGGTAGACTTTGAGGAGAAGTAGTCCGTGCCTTCCCAAAGCAGGCCTCGGGACAATGTGGAAGATGTGGGGAAGTCGGGGGTTACACGGCCGATGATTGGTCGGGGCCGTCGCAACTCCAGCGTCACACCGGTTGTTTGCTGGGCCTGCACCGACTCGGCCGCTTGTTGCAGCAGTGACGACGACGACAAGGACTTTTGCAGCATGGCCTCGGACATGCTGCGCTTCTTGAGAATTGGCTTCTTGACGCCATTGACGAATGAGTTGGTCTTGGACAGGCGGCTGGCCGGCTCCGAATTCTGCTGCGAGCAGAAACGATTCGAGGCAGGCTGCATGGGCCCGTACAGCCAGGTCACGTCAACGTCTTTGAGCCTGGTGATTCGTTAGCGATGCCCAAGAGTTAAAAATCTGCAAGATGGTGCACGGATGGGGGTGATCGACACCCCTGCCGTGGCTGCAGATCGAAATATTTGGGACTCACCAATTCAATGTCTCGGGCGAGACCGTCTTGAGCTTAAACTGGGCCTTGGCCCACGTTCGCCACGAGGCATTTTCGAGCCTGGAGCGCTCGCCGTAGACGCTGCGGTGCTCGACGATGTGCCGCCACGATGACCAAATGTCCTCTTCGCGCCACTCGTACGAGAGGTAGTCGACGTGATGTGAGGGCTCCTTGCGCACGGCCGTGTCGTCTTCAGATATGGGCATGGGGTCGGGAGTGGTCATGGGAGTATCGGAGGAGAGACCATCCGTTGGCGACGGTGAAGGCAGCGAGCCCGGGCGCATGGCTGAGGATGCAGGCTTCAACGAGGCCATATCAATGGGAGTGACGCCGTGACTGATGCCCTTTGCAACGCCCTTCCTGTACTGCCGCGCGGAATTGTAGTTGGGAAACGACAGGCCATCGTCCTCGCTGCTCGACTCGTCTGACTTGGGATCGAGCGAGACGCTGCTCGAGGGCGTCGAGTGCATGGACGAAGTGCGCGAGGAGCCGCTCAGCGACGGCGAGCGCAGGTCGGGCAGCGAGTACTGGTTCTTGCGGATGGGCGTGTAGGCGTCGTAGGCGAGGGACGAGGACGAGGGCGAGCGCTGGAAGGGCGGGTTGTCTCGCGGGAGCGACAGCATGGCCGTCATAACGGGCGGGCGCGGGTCAATGCCTCAATATCTATCACAGCGTGTGCCCAACGGCGGCGAGGGAAAATCGTAGGCTGGTTGGCGTCGACATGCGGCTCGTGACGGCGATAGTAAATGGGGTGGAATTCTCGGGGATCAGATGTGGGCTGACGACGCAAGGGCGAGTGTGAAGGCGGTTGTGGAGCGGCGGATTGTCGAGACAGGTTGTATGGCGACGGCCGTGGTGCGAAAGCATCGACCGACTAGAACTGAACTGCAACCCCGCAAGCCTACTGGGTTTGTGGCTAGCCCCTGCGAATTTCACCACCTTGGAACGCTCACTACCTACAAGGGACAAGCCGGACCAGGCTTTCACGTCACCTCAGGCCTGCCAAAGGGCCGACGCAGTCTATCGCTTAGCTGCAGCATACGCTCCGGTTGATCGGCCTGCAGCCCATGATGAGCCCAACAAAAACAAAGCGCCAGAGTCTGGACCGTTGCCAATTTCGCTCGCGTGGAGGCGCCTCACGCATCCTTCGCGACAGTGCCGGGGTGCCTCCTTTCCGACATGCGCCTCAAGGGCGCCGAAAACGTTGTGAGCAGAGGCGGGGAACCTTGGAAATCTTAATACCAAGTTATCATCTGCTCATGTGTGCTGACGGTCGACTCCACCGGAGCGAACGACGTTGACGGTGGATGCCAAAGCCACCTGCAATGCAATGCATCCCACTCGACATGTCCTAAACTAGCCCTTCACCTAGCTTCTCAACGCCATGCCCCGTCCCCTCCATCACTTCACCGATGCTCAGCATACAGCAGTATGACGGAAAGTATCCATGGTACTCGTCCAAACACCTGCTCCTCCACATACACTTCTCTCGGCGCCTGGGGATTTTGTGGAGAATGACGCTCAACACATCGATCGAACTCCAACACTTCAATCTTGCCTTGGTCGACTTCTTGATCGGCTTCTTGATCGACTTGCAGACCGCTCAGAAGCACGACAAGCCAAAAGCACTTAAATTGTGGTCAAGACACACATTTCATGTGTCTTCAGGCCTTCCGCTAACGCTAAAGCGCGATTTAAAGGTACTCGCCTTGCAAGATGCTATGGTTTTGACAAAATAAAGGGCTACAGACGACTTTAGTACGTTTCGCGTCAGGACCAAACTCTTTTGCAAGCTCCGTGCTGCGTGCGACCATGAGATGCCCTTCTGCTAGCCCTCGCCTTGCTAATCATAGCTCACCCTAGAGCACGCGAAGAAGCGAAGAACAAACTATCCGCGGGTATTATAGTGGAGATGAGTCGGGGTTCAAAAGGAATCACTTGGTTAGGGCCTTGGTGTGAACATCAGAAGCACAACATGTTCAAGTACAGTGGCACCCTCTCGTACTTCTCATCAATCTTCCCGCGGCATTTGCAATCATGTCTTCGCCCCCGGCTGTTCAGTGATACTCGTCAATGCCGTTCTCGAGCCGCATGGCAGTCCATCACACATCGACAATGGAGATACCTATTGTAGCAACCCGAAGATAAGCCATGCGTTCCCCAACGGCGTGGCAGACGTGTTCAGTCTGTGTAACGTTGCACAACAGTAGCCTCGTCATGGACGGTTCATGAGTTTGCAGGGCTAAGCAGCGCCTCTCCGACGACCACGAACGTCAAAGGGGCTTCTCCAGTCGCACGTTGACTCGTACAGCAATCTCCCGAGCATTGTATCCAATATACGAATCGCAGCAGCCTCTGGGATTTATTTCCGGTAAAATGCATAGCGGGAGTGATCCAGCTCGACCGATCGATCTCAGCGCCGTATGTAGCGCCATGACGCATGTCGCGTCGGTGTTCGAGAGCCCCGAGAGGCGCGAAAGCGATCCAGTTTCTGTCATCGCCTGTCGCAAACGTTTTGCACTCAGTTTTGCACTCAACCCTTTGTGCGCCTTTATAACATGTCACGACCGCGTCACGCATAACCTTTTTAATAGTCATTCCCTAGCATTTATAATATGAGCGCAACACACGATGCGCCAGTCCCAGCTGGGGACTCACACCTTGACTCGAACGCGCCGAACGGACATCACGATATTACGACTCCTTCTTCGACCGATGTTAGTCTTACCGAGAGAGACGGAACAATACAAAACGGAGAGAAAGCTGTAGGAGAGGACACTACCGGAGCGAATGGCGCCGCTGTTGCGCCGGGCGCACCTGGTGCACAAGATGAATTCCCACAGAGAACAAAGTTACAGATCTTCTTGATCATGCTCTCTCTGGCTGTCGCGGTCTTGCTCGTTGCTCTGGACATCACCATCGTCACAACCGCCCTACCCACGATTTCGTCAGAGTTCAACAGCGCTTCGGGCTATACTTGGATCGGTTCGGCGTACCTCATCGCACAGTCAGCAGCCACACCAATCTGGGGCAAGATATCTGATATCTTTGGAAGAAAACCCATTCTCTTGCTCACGAATGCCATCTTCTTCGTCGGCTCTCTTCTTGCAGGCGTGGCTGTCAACATGGACATGTTGATCGCTGCAAGGGTGATACAGGGTATTGGTGGTGGAGGTCTCATCACGCTGGTCAACATTACCATATCCGACCTCTTCTCTGTGCGGGACCGAGGTGCGTACTTTGGAATCATCGGTGGTGTGTGGGCCTTGGCGAGTTCCCTGGGACCTGTTGTTGGAGGGCTCTTCACGCAGAAGGTCTCTTGGAGATGGTGCTTCTATATCAACTTACCTTTCGACGGAGTTGCATTCCTCATCCTCCTGTTCTTCCTCGATGTCAAGACACCAAAGACTCCGCTCCGTGAAGGCCTCAAAGCTGTTGATTGGCTGGGTTCGCTTGCCATGGTCGGTGGAGTCATTATGCTATTGCTCGGCCTGGAGTTTGGAGGCATCTCACATCCTTGGGATTCTGCCACAGTGCTGTGTCTCATCATCTTCGGAGCCGTTGTCATTGGTATATTCTTCGCTATTGAGTGGCGGATAGCACCGTACCCTCTCATGCCCCTAGATCTCTTCTCGAAGCGTTCGAACTTGGCTGCCCTGGCTACCTGCTTCTTCCACTCTTTCGTCTTCATCAGTGGCAACTACTTCCTCCCACTCTATTTCCAGGCTGTGCTTGGCGCGACACCTATCCTTTCCGGGGTGTATTTACTGCCTACCGCGGTTTCACTATCATTCCTTTCAGCTTTCACTGGTATCTTCATCAAGAAAACTGGACAGTATCTACCTATGATCTGGTTCGGTATGATTATGATGACATTGGGCTTTGGACTTTTTATCGACTTTGATGTCAACAGTTCTTGGGCCAAGATCATCGTCTATCAGATCATTGCTGGAATTGGTGTCGGTCCAAACTTTCAATCACCGCTCATTGCACTTCAGAGTCTCGTACCGGTAAGTTCCTTCCAAAGTTTCTTTTTCTGCGCCTGCACATGTGATCATTACACATGACACTAGATGCGGGGTTGCGGTAGAGTAACCACAGTTGTTATTCGTTAGTCTACCGATGCTGACATGATCTCCAGAAACGCGACATCGCTACTGCGACTGCAACATTCGGCTTTACTCGGAACCTTGGTAGCGCCATCTCGGTCGTTGTAGGTGGAGTCATCTTCAACAACGAGATGAAGTCAAAGCAGTCTCAACTGGCCGCTTCGCTCGGTCCCGAAACTGCATCGAGGTTCGGTGGAGGCTCCGCCGGCGCCAACGTCGGGCTTATTCAGTCCCTTCCCAATGAGCAAAAGTTCGTTGCGCGAAAGGCATTCGCAGACTCACTGAGCACCATGTGGATTCTCTATGTCGCATTTTCTGTTGTGGGTCTCGTAGTCAGTTTTTTGATTACGCGTAACAAGCTCGACAAACAACACGAGGAGACCAAGACTGGAATCGAGGTAGAAAAGGCAAAGAGGCTCGAGAGGGAAGCCGAGCGCGCAGAGAGGCGGAGAAAGAGGGCCAGCAAGGGGTCATTGCCGCTCGACCCCGAGGCGCAGAAGAGTGACCCTGATGTTACGAGAGACAAGGAGACGACAGCATGATGACTTTTCTACGATTTCATGTAGCATCAAGCATAGCGTAGGTGTTCGTGCCAAGATCCTTCCATGTAGTTCGTTCAAGATACCACTGTACGTAAATCTGTAATATAACAGCTGTGTAGACCCACAGAATTGTCAGTGTGTTCCAGTCATAGTGTGTTCTTGCTCACATCGCCGTTTGCTCACAGGGTCTGACCCTTCGCTGAGCCTTTGTCACTACCGGTATAGACTTATCCGCGGTGAATTAGACAAAGCACTACTATTACATGTTTCATAACAGCGTGTTCAGCGAGCAACCACCACTCACTACATACCAACATCTTAAAACAAAGTCTCACGTTCCCAGACAAAGTGTGTTGTCAACGTCAACGCAATGTGCTACTATCGACTATACATCTTTGTTGGCTGCGGCCACTCAACTTTTTCAGAGACGCCGGTTAGGTGCTGTGCAAATGCGCGGACGAAGGCAGAAAAGGCTTCGAGATCATTCTTGATACAGCCTGAGGATCTAGCTACCGGGGGCGAGGGATTCCAGGGAAGCGGTCGCAAAGGCAGAGACTCACAAGTGACGCTGGTGCCAGACGATGACTCAATCAAAAGAACAGACAAGACAACCACCTGCAAAGATTCTTCGCAGAACTTGTACTCCAATATCCAAACAACCCATAACAAGACACTGCATATATATCCCGTAAGAACAGCCGACGTTCTCTTCACTCCAAAGGCAGATGGTAGAACTGCCTGGCCGCATACAGCCTCACCTTTTATGACTTCAACAGCCAAAACCTCGCCATCGATAGCTCCAGCTCTCGAGACCAACAGGATCCAGCCGACTTGCGAAGAAGGCCGTGTACACCCCATGCACACTGTCAGGCTCGAGCGCATGTGCCCGCTTTGTGAACATGAGAGAGAAGAAAGATTGAGACTGTTATACTCTTCCATGAGGGAGATCAGATTCGATCCTACGAGATGGCATGTGAAGTATCAAGGAGATGTAAAAAAGCAAGGCGATGGGAATCAGCAGACGGGTGCGGGCTGGGGTGTTGCGATGGGAGGGTGGTGGGACCCGGGTAAGAAGGAGGAAAAAGAAGGAGTGACGTGAACATGATTTGATTGTATCTATTTGAGAGAAGGAGGATCGTGTATCCAAGACTGAAGATGGTAGTCCGGCGCGGACTTGGAAGGCGCTGCCCAGGTGTGGTAATGCGGCATCACGTGCACCGCCGCCAATCGCAGCTCGGCCCTTTCAAAGCTCACCAACCATCACGACCACGACACCTCGCAACAACGCCAATCACCCCGTCGCACGTCTCCCAATTGCTCGACGGAGCCCTCGGAAATCATATACACGACCGTCACCCTCGAACGCACTCCCCGCCGCCGCAATGCCGACACCAGAGTCCGAACTCTTCCTTGCCAAAAAGCCAAAGGTTGCGCCAACCTTTGACGGTGTCGACTACGAAGACAACACTGCGCTCAAGGGCGCGCAAGATGCTATTATCAGGGAGCAGTGGGTGAGGAGCATGATGGCGAGGCTGGTGAGGGATGAGATGGGCAAGTGCTACCGGAGGGAGGGGGTCAACCACTTGGAGAAGTGTGGGCATTTGCGAGGTAGGTAATTTTCTATTTCGCGGGCTTGGGGAATGCGCGTAGGACAAAAAGAGATCGAATCTGAGGCTGGTTGCAACGGAGCAGGGCCGTCTGACAGATGTACGCTATGACAGAGCGAAGGCTAATACAGGTTGAACAGAGCGATACTTCGAGCTCCTCAAGGACGCAAAGGTCAAGGGATACCTCTTTGCCCAACAAAACTACGTCGACGATGCGTTGAAGCGATAAGCGGCCCGCCAACAGCGGTGATCGCTCGCATGAAGGACAGACAACAGGCAGACCATACACGACACACAGCGGGAGACACAACCAGACGAAGACAAGGGTTCATGGCGTTCGGCAAGCGTATGCTGAAGAAACGCACCAATTCTCTCGTACTGGCGAACCTGTACATATACATGCCGGAGGAGAGACTGATGTAGCACGAATTATTGGAACAAGTGTACAATTGCAGTGGTACAGCTCATTGTCCATCTCCCTCACTGACGTGAAACCCCAAATCTCTAGGTTTTCTGTTCCAGGCGCGTGGACCGGACTCTTTGTTGCTCTCCAGGCTCTTGATATGATGAGGCCAAGGCTAGCTCCCCAACCCCACTACGACCGCGTACCTGCGTCAGCAACCGCTCCGACCAGCAACAGTCAACCCCCAGCAAGATGCCCTTCCCTTTCGTCCTACCAACTACGTCCAGTATATCCTTCACCGACTACTTCAACAGCAGCACACATCCGTCCCTACCGAACTGCGCAACCACTGCGCGAGGCGTCCTTCGTGACGTGCTCAAGCGGCACAAGCGCATACCACCCGCCTCACAGGCCTCGAACCTCTCCACCGTAACATCCGCCCTCAATGACTACATACCATATCTGTTCGCCCTCGATGCAGGACTGAGCGGCGCAAGCTGTGCCGGCGAAGAGATCGACCTGGTCTTGGTCAAGGAGCTAGAAGTAGAATGGCGCTCGACGCTGGCTTCTTCGATACCGGGTCGCGAGCCAGCAAGAGTCAAGCTCAAGAGTCTTGAGAGCGAGCTCTGCTATACTCTCTCAACACTGGCATACGTATACAGCCTCCAGGCTCGAGCACAGCTGCACACCCTCTACAGTGCGACCGTACCCACGCCCGAACAACGCGCAACCGCAATTGGTGCTGCTATGAAGCACTTTCTCGAAGCAAACTCCATACACACATACTTGGTGAATCGGGCAGGGCAGTACAATTCACAGCCCGCAGCTATAGACATATCCGCGTCTGTGCTGGGAGCGCTGGCGGAGCTTACCATGGCTGAAGCTACACTCATCACCGTCCTGAAAGACGATCCATATCCAGCGGTCGTAATAGAAGACCGGAACAAGCAGAACAAAGACTGGATGTTTAGGGGCGTCGACATACCCAAGGTCCGCGCGCATCTCTTCGCTCGACTGTGCCTTGCTTCTTCAGAACACGCTGCGAAAGCCCAAGCTATGCTGGGGCGGTCTTCCAAGATCAACGACGATCTGCTGAAATATGTGGATGATCTGAGGCGGACTGCCAAAGGCAAGGCGTGTCGGTTCCTCGCCTGCGATGCTGAAGGAGGTGGTAAAACAGGGGAAGGCATCGCGTGGCTACGAGGCGCAAAGAAGGAGCTGGGGTTTGCATCGCTGGGCGCGGAAGAAGAGAAGAAGGCGTCAGGTTTCTCTAAATTGAAGAAAGAATGGCAGGAGAAGAGGGAAGATCGCAAGATCGAGAAAGGTGTGGACTGGGGCACTGATGCTGGCAAGTTCGAAGAAGGACGAATTGTCGACATGTTGTTGAAGAAATGGGAGAAGCAGAACGACACTGTATGTATAACCCGTCTCCGACGCTCTATTGAGTATAATGGACTGACTGTACTAGGTTGGCATCCAATTAATACCTCCCTCGGAGCCGCTGCTTGCAAGCATGCCCTCTGGACGCGAATATCACACAACCAAGATGTTCATTGTCCCCGCACTCGACGAGGATGCTTTGATCCGCATGCGGGCACCGCCAGATCCAAGCGAAGCTTTCGAAGGCAACGAAGACGACAGCGCAGATGAAGACGACCGCAACCCTCCCGCCGGCGCATTCCCAGGCACAAAAGCAGACTATGCACCAAGCACAAGCTACTATTGAATTGCAAGGGTATATAGTACAAAGAAATACAACACGTCTTCAACAAAAGAAAGACTCCGATTATTATACACCATACCCAAGATCCTTCCAAAACGCCTCAACCTCACCGCTCACATCTCTTTGCACCCTCCCCTCCTCCCAAACATCCCCCGCCCCCTCCAACATGCTACTCCACTCCATCAACAAATCCCCTCTCTTCCCCCTCCCCGCAAAATGAACAAGATAGTCCCCTCTCCTAACGTTCCGTTCCTTCAGCCCCTCCACATCCTCCCTGTCCTGAAACTTCTGCGCCCCATTCTCTTCATACCCGTTGAACCAGTGCTGCGGCACATATCTCGCTTGGTCTGTGAACTGCTCTGTCTTGAGCACCTCTTCCATGGCGGATTGCTCGGTGAAGGGCAGGTCGATCTCGGGTTTGTAGTGCCGGAATGCGAGGATAGCGGTGAAGAGTTCGATGGCCCAGCTGTTGACGCGGAGGAGGAAGATGCCGTTGTTGAGGCCGTTCCAGTCGCGTGTTACGAGTAGGTGTGTTGTATTTGTTGGTGCTGGAGTTTGCTTGTCGTCGTCGTCGTCGCGGCGCCACCAGGACCCGAAGCGCGCTTTCTCTGGGGGGAGAAAACTCGATATAGGACGGCATTGGTCGAGGATAATGGTGTCTCGATCGACCCATTGTATCCATTCCAGACGCTCTTTCTCTGGCTTCAACATCTCTCGCATGAGTAGGTTGAGGATGAAGGCGGGTTTGTTCCACAGATCATCTACAATCGGATCGCACATCACTCTAACCTCTGTGCCATGCACCAAAGCGTGCTGGAGGTGTGTCTTGAACGCTTTCTGGTAGTGTTCCTGCGGCTTGCCGAAATGCGCTGTGACGGTTGCGATGCGCGCCCGCCCCGCTGCAAAAGGTGAGTACTTCCTACATGTAGCCCGTTTCGCAGTCGCTGCTTCGATAACCTCCGCCGAGACTTCTGGTAGGCATTTCGAGTCGCCGTGGGCAACGAATTGGGGGATGGGTCGCGGGTAGGGTCGGACGTATGGAACGGAGAGGTTCTCTAAATTGGGGTGGTTCCAGAGGAGGATGGGGAAACCGATGAGGAAGAGACAGAGCCAGATGAAGAACTTGCCGGTGAGGAAGCGCGGAGGCGCATACATGGCTTTGGAAGCAGTGAAAGTGGATGGCGAAAGAATGTAGATGGGCTTGTAGCTCGGATATCCGAACAGTTTAATGCTACTGGGTGCGAGCTATGTATGTGTGAATAAGAAGAAGGAGAAGGGGTAGAAATGGGACTTGGGAGAGGTACTTCCAAGACATGATCGAGATGACAAGCTACACGAGGTGACGAATACTACGGCGGTATTCTCTTGGGATGCCAACGTCGCCGGATTATGCGGCTGTGTATTCGTAGTAGACGGGCGTCAGGTTGACAGCCAGCCTGGGATGACGGCGTTGGCATGTCCGGTCCCAAGAGCTTCGATGTGCTTATCTTGAGCACAGAAGTTCTGGTACTGATCTGTCTAGGTAAATTATACTACTAGCGGATTTTCGTGACAAGTTAGTGCATGCCAGAGGCTTACATGTCGAACGCGCTGTGGTCGGAGTTCGCGGTCAGATATGGTATTTGCGGAGTACGGTTACACATCCCGCCCACGGACATGCCAGGACTTCTCTAATACGCGAGTTCTGGTCGGAACTTGTCGAAGGGATGGTGTGAACGGAGACGTATATTTTGGTGCAAGTCCATTTCTATGGTTCGAAGCTGACGCATTCATCGCGTTGCATGTTTCTGCTGCTCGGGGAGATACCTTGGCCTCTCGTCAGTCTTGGCTTGGTTGGCGTCAGCGTCACTACGATGAAGTATAATGTAGATCTGAAACAACTTGGGGCATCCAAGAAGAGCCTCATCACTATTTGGAGGCTGATAGGAATCTGACGGAGCGGTGCGCCTTGATTGTCTTGGTAAACATAAAGCCGACGCGCATGAGGAATGTGCCCAAGCGTAACTAGGTACTTGTTAACCATCGTGGTACGCGTCGCCTGCACATTGATTTTCAATAGCGAGTTGTCTGAGCTATCAGCGCTTCGTGATGGTTGATCTCTTGATATATTCTCCGGACGATCCGGGGAGTACGTTGGGGGTGGCGGTAGCGACGAAGTCGCATCGACGGAGGCATCCCATGCGCGAGCCACGCCCTTTGGCAAGGACGCATGTAGTGCACCACAACATACAATAAAGCGAGGATTGATGTAGAATTTCTGGTGCCGCTGGTTCTAGTAAGAACAAAAAGAATGTGTTCTCTTTATGTTTACGAGCCTGAACCAGGGAACATCCTGCCCGTAAAATCACATGGCTAAGGGTCTTCAACTGAGTAAAATGCAAAAACAAAAAATGAGAGCTCTCCAGCGGGGAATTGAACCCCGGTCTCCCGCGCGTTGCCTGTGAAGGTGACAAGCGGAAATACTGACCACTATACTACTGAAGATTGGTCAACCTGATGGCTGAGTAGTTGGTTGATGATAGAACTCTCTGACGTATAATATATATATAAGTATTTTGAAGCAGACACATCAGTTTGGAAGCAAGCATGCATAAGATCGGTTCGATCATGGCTACAATTTGCCGAACAAAGGTGGCGTAAGTTCGCATATATGCCCTGCGACACGCCGTCTTGCAGCCGAAGCGCGGGGCCAGTGACCAGCACCTGACCCACCTAAAATTCGCGACACCATGCTCATACGAATATGCGGTCCCGCAGCGCTCAGTATGCGACGCGAATCAACTAAGGTATAACCATCACCGATTCGCTGGGACAATCGGGCTCATTTGTGTGGCCCGATGTATCTGTGAGAGGCGTAACCTAGCAGGCGCATCACTCTCAGGTGTGGACACATTCAGACTAATTGGCATATTTTCCTGTTCTAATAGTAGGCCCGAGAGAACTGGCTAGTGTAGCATGCCCTATTATACTGCCCAGGTGGACTTCCATACGCCCGCATCAAGCTTCAACCTTGCATTCACGACTTTGTGATCTTCTCCGGACCTTTCATGTCACCCAACGAGTTATCACCATCTTTACCATCGCCCACTGACCCCTCTCCAATTAAAACAGCTTCTTCCCGTCCAAGCATCATGTGCTCGATGTTTACTTTGGGACCCTTGAACCACTTGTGTGCGGAAACGAACCACCATATCGTTACCAAGAACATTGGACCACCGTAAACGACGCATGTCCAGTTCATGTCTGCCACACTGTGGGTACGTTAGCTTGGTTAAGGTAGTACGAAAGCGTTGATGAAACTTACGTCAAGTCCGGTCCGGTTAGGCTGGGGAAGCACAAAATAGGTATCATGAGCATGACAAAGATGCATGCAACGCTACCAATAGCGCTGGAGTACTTCCCCAAGTTCCAAGGACCGGGTCTGAAGCGGTTACCTACGAAGAAAACGCGGATGGCAATGGGTATGGTAAATGCGCTATCAGACGTCAGTAAAGCACGCACACCATGCTCACCAGCACTTACACAAAAGCTGCGATGGCACCAATCGAGAATAGCGCTCCAACGGCCAACTCTCCACCAAAGATGAGCAGCAAGCATAGTATGCCTATTGCGCAGTTGAACCATACGGCATTTGCAGGTGTCTGTGTGTGTTTATTGACCCGCTTCCAGTATTTGGATAACGGAAAGCAGTCATCACGCGCGTACGCGAATGTCACTCTACTTGCCGCAATCATACATCCTTGGCCCATGCTGAACCCGGCAATGATGGTGAGTGCAAGGATAGCCAGTGTCATCTTCTGCGACATGCATTGCATCAGGTAGGCAGCGAAGGGCTGCCCAAGCTCAGACTCGAGGACCAGATCGATATCAACGACGGTGTACGCCACAACTAGCTGTAGGAACCAGCCAAAGATGCCTCCAGTAGCGGATGTCAGGACAATAGCGCGCGGGGAAGCCAGGTTAGCATTCGAGCATTCTTCCGCAAGATGGAATGGCGAATCGTAGCCTGACATGGTCCAGATAACGCCGATGAAGGACATCAGGACTGATATACCAGCTGGAAAGGATGTGCCTTCATAGATTGTGCCCCAGACCTCACTCGAAGGGGCGAAACGAGGTAGACCGCGTTCTGTACGATCCGTGCCAGCGGGAATCATGATGATGACCACAATCAGCGCAATGAAGTTGAATGTTGAACCGGCGGAGTTGAACTGCGCAAGCCAGCGTGTTGGCATCGAGGATAGGATCGCATGAAGTATCATGATGAAGACCGTCAACAGGAAAGTCTGATAATCCGTGGGGACGTAAGACGGGTCATTGATACTAGCCGCCGCAAGTATCATGGCCGCAATTCCATAATTGACTACCCAAAACAGTCAATTCTATGTCCATAACCGTCGTGAAAGAGATGGCGGGTTGTACTTGCCGGACGGTGCCGCCGTGATCTGGGCCAGCCAGTTACTCCAGCCAGTGAGCCAAGCAGCAAGAGGTCCCCAACCAGGTGGTGCCAGGACAGCAGAAGCATAGTATAAACCTCCGCTCGTCGGCATGCTACTACACAGCTCTGCCATGCTCATAGCCACACATTGGATTCCAACCATGGCTACAATCCAGCCCCAAGTCATACCAGCGGTCCCCGCATAGCCCATGCCATAATAGAGCGTAGACGCGAAACTAGGCAGTAGACCCAGGACCGCAAAACTGACACAAAATGTGGTAAACAGCGAAAACTCTCTCTTGAACTCTGATTTGTATCCAAGGGCCGCCAGAACTTCTTCATCCGGATTGAGAGAATGCGTGGGGTCGTAGGGTATATCGCCATCTGGAAGAACAGATGTCACCGGTTCTTCCGCGACGGAGTGGTTCCGATGCTGGGAAGTCGTCATCGTTGCAACGCGAAATGCATGCGCGCGCCGTCGCAGTCGCAGTCGAAGAATAACAAGGAGCCGCGACACGAGTTCTCACTTCAAGAATCCAGCAACGCACGAAAGCGCAGCAACTTGTCTATATACACCCACACCCCAGCATGCATATCACCGCGTAGCAGGGTTGCAAGCGGGGTGTCACTACTCCAAGTGGGAGAGTACACGCGAAGCCATGCTGCAACGGTGTTTGGATGCGGCGTCATAATCCATTAGTAGGGGTGGCAGGCGTTCGTCATTCGCTGCGCGAACGCCTATCTCTCTGCTCTTTATCAGTTGCGTGGTTCGGCGGTTCGGCTAGACTAACTTAGAGGGAGAGGTGTGGAGGAGATCGCGGGCTGCGACACGCCAGGGCACACGACACCCACGACCAGAGGGTGGCTTGTCAAGAGGTTGGGCAGCCGTGTCCTCCGACCGCCATCTTTCCTGTGTTATGCGATCTGCGCAGCGAAGCTGTAGGTGGTGTAGAGACGTATGGAAACGGGTGACCGCTTACATGAATGGATTAGTGTTCGTGATGGATAAGACATTTGGTGCTTCCAAGGTTTGTTCGGAAATATTCCGTCCGATATCTGCGACCGGGGATTGCGTATCTAGGTACCGTGTCCTGGGATACCTCAACGCTGCGATACGGCTGGACATGCTTCAATTGGCATAGGCTTTCGTAGAATAGATTTGCCAGTCAGATTCCACGTGGCGTCGCAGGAGCGATAAGCTCACCGTTGATGTCACTCGTTGTGACACGGCGAGACGCCCACGGGTGACTTACCATAGCTACATTGCGAGCAGCGCTTTATCGGCAAGCAAGCGCTGCTTGAATATCAGAAGGATCGATCCACTTCCGCAGTTGCTTGCTTGCGCTGAGCAACCTAGGTACCTTAGGAAGTAGCACGGCATGGGCTGATGCCCCTTGCTATCCCTGTTCGTCGATCCCATGGGTAACGTCTACCCCCAAAACAATGTTGATTAAACATGAAGTCGCTGTTCGCTGGGAACTGTGTGATGAAGATCGGCCGTACGCTCTTTCCGGACAGGTCCTCTCCATGTCGAACTAGGCCATGGTCAACATACCAACTGCCTGTTACTTATATCAGCCGTCGCGTCTGTGCCAGAGTGTACTTGCCAAATTACCACTTACTTGGAAAGCATTTCCGGTGGTCTTTACCGCTCAAAGTTCCTATCCACACCTAGATATCCAACTCGGCAGGCAAGACTCTGTACCTAGGACGGCCCGGGTCGATTCCGCGAGATCAGTGCAACTCTCAGCTCGACACCGGCGTGTAGCTCCTAGGTAATGTCACTACGTGAGATCTTGGTATAGCGTTCTTACATCTTCACCTTTTCATCCGTCTTTAAAGCTGTCTACATCTTTTCCCGTCATGATTGGCCGAGAGAGTCTTTTAAAGCACAAGAAAGGGCCTTCTCACAACTGACACATCTGGCGCAACGGCACTGGCGCCAGATACAAGAGTCACCGAACCAGTGAAGTCGACCTCATGTGTGTTATATCGAATCTGCCCCGGTTTCGTACGGTTTGCATGATGTGGGTCGGGCGTGAGGGTTGATCATTCAAATCCCTCTTCATTGGCAACCGCGAAACCACTGACTCGGACCTCCGCGGGTGTGGCGATACGACACATTCACATGCAGTTCGCGCATCGCCGACAGACTGTCACCCCTGATGCTGCCTTGTCGAATCTGACAGTAGCCATCGCTCAATGCCGACTGAAACCGAGTCTGAGCTTTCTTCTCGAAGGCTGAGTCTTCTAAGTCGCTGTTTCCAAGTTCGTGGTGTCGGGTCTTCCTTGCCTATATCGCGTAGGTGTTTCAGTGTTTTCGACAGTTTCCGAAACTTGCATTCAATACCCTGATTGTTTGGCGATTGAACTTCTGCAAAGCCTCTTTTGGTGACATGTACTCGCTGGTCAATCTTCGCCGTCTCTCAATCGCTGAGATTGCGATTTGCATAACCAACAACGGGCAGTAGAATTCTACCAATTGTGGATGTGCCGAAGGTAATCATAATCATGTCTGTGTTCGAAAGATACCCAGGTTTGGTTTACTAGGTGGAACGCTACTACTTCCTTTCGCCCTCGTACTCTTGAGGAGCCGATGCCGCCACACTACCTATGCACACCCATGACAGCACAGTCTCTTTCCAAGGCCATCTGTATCAGCGACAAGGCTCCTGAAAGTTTCTTGTCACTGCGCGATTTTCCGTTCTCCTTGGATTGAACGCCTGAAGCAAGGACGAAAATTATGCGAGTGTTGACCTCGGGGCCAGTACAGCTTACGGCTACGGCCCGCCAAAGGCGTCAAACTAAGCGTGCCGGGACACCCGATGTCACTCACGCAAGCTGACGGGCACCGCCAAACTTTCCTCAACGCCTTCAATTTGCGCTGCGATGTTACCGATATCTTTTGCGAGTCAGAATTCTAGTGACACTGGCAACAGCTGTATAGCATACCTACGATATTGCTCGCCTGAAGTCGCAGTTTGCAACACTACTAGGTATGAAATCACCGAAGCAGCGCCGGGAAACCCATTGCGCATTTGACGCATTTGATTTGCTGTGACATTTCTTCTTCAACCGTACCACGAATCGTCGCGAAATGTTTCCGGTCAGCAGCCAACATCGCCATATTGCCGCGGCCTTTGAATTGGACGCGCCTCTCTGACACCTGGGCAGCCTCAACCCAGGTCTGAGTCGTCAAAGACGTCAAAGTCGTCATCCAATTGGCGCTACCGCGAGTCCCACAAGTGTCGAAGCTGGACCAGGGACGTCCGTCTTTAGTCGATTGTGCAGATCATCGAGGCTGCACAGCTCCATTGAAAGTGGCGCTTGCGACACTTTTAGATGCCTAGTCTGATATCTTGGGGTCCGGGGGACCGCGACTTCTGAACGCTGTCTCCTCAATCCGAATACTTCCATTGAAACACTGCGCGACGACCCCAGAGCATCCACCCACAGCGCCACCCCGGAACAGTCCAACCAGGCATCATCCCAGAGCACCTATCAAATTGTCAATGAAGCATTTTGTGACGGAAAGCCGCCGACATCACAGAGAAATGCCGAGTGATTGCTGAGTTCACACCCGGTCTTCACAACATAGCGCCTGTGGTCACAATAAGGCTGCTGACCGGGCGCTCGGCAGTTCTTCATCGACCTACTCTGTTTCCCAACGCACCGTGGTCCCTATCGCATCGATAGATTTCACCTAATATTTACGACAACTCTTGATCAACACCCACTAAAGCCCTGAGCAACCAACTCTTAGACTACTCGTCGTCTACTGGCCCGGCCTTTGAACGTTCCCACAACCTCGGCTCTCGAGCCAACCAGTTATCCATGGCCGGAGTTCTTGAGCCTGAGGCTGGAATTTTTTACGCCGTGTGCTGGATCGTCGTCATCATCCGACTTATATCACGAAGAATACATCGTGGATCATGGAAATTATTGCAATTAGATGATTACTTAATACTTGTAGCCATGGTTTGTGACCCGCAGCATCGAGCGACTACAAGTACTGATTGGTGACACAAGGCTACCGACACAGTGCTGATTGCTATCATGCATGAAGTCACAAAGACTAGCAGTACGTCTTTCCGTGTGCAAACTGCAAGAGAGGCAAACGCTGACTCTATACCGGTATCTAGGCAACCTAATACCGCCGGGAGACGACGTCTCTAAATATTCAGATGCCGAAATCAAGATGCGTATATACGGATCCAAGCTGGTCTTGGTAGTAGAGCAGATGCAACTCCTAACCATATGGCTGGTCAAGGCATGCTTGCTCATAATGTACAACCGTATGACGATGGTCCTCCCGCAACACAAGATCGTCATCGCCACCTCTATATATGTCGCCGTCGCATTTGTGGTCATGGAAATATTGTACCTTGGGGTTTGGTGTCGACCATTCTCGCAATACTGGGCAGTACCTCCGAATTCGAGTAGGTGCCTTTGCAACATCTAATCACACAATACTGACGATATCAGAACAATGCTCGGCAGCGACCAATCATCTCATCACAAACGCCGTCTTCAATATTTCAAGTGATTTGATCATCATAAGCATACCCATGCCGTTGCTCTTCAAAGTACGCCTACCGAAGAAGAACAAAACGATCCTTTTCGTGATCTTCTGTATAGGAGCGTTCACCATCGTCGCAGCAGTCCTCAACAAATACTACTCGTTCACAAATCCCTTTGGAACTGAGTGGACGATCTGGTACCTTCGAGAGTCGTATACAGCGATACTCTGCGCGAATCTGCCCTTGACCTATCCACTTATACAACGGGTTCTCGGTCTGAGAAATTGGAGTTCCAACACGTATACTGCGGATGGTACATATGGGCCCAATACCGTCACACGAGCGCCGCAATCTGCACACACCCGCGCATATTGGCCGGAACCTAGACCGGAACCGATACCTAGAGGCTTCCGGGATATCTTCAGGCGGACGGAGAGCCAAGAAGACATGAATGGCGGTCTCGGGAAGCAAAGGGAGGATCAGGATCCACAGTTCATCACCAGTGCTATCGAAATGGAGGACGCGAGGTCACTACGAGTGTCGAGCGTGAGCAATCCTGCCAGTTGGCGAACGTCCGCAACGACGGAGGGCCATAAGGATCAGGAGATTTTCCATGCCGTATGAATGAATCCACGAATTCTTATCAACACGACAGGCTACACTTGCGACCGCACATGCGCGTACTTGCTTCTTTCAGGCAAGCCGTGATTAAAGATGTGCTTGAAACGATCTGAGCCTCTGGCATCGGTCCGTCTTGTACGTGGAGTCGTGTTCTCGTCATCGAGTGCCTTTAGCACCATGATGGATGCACCCGATTTGGAACGCTAGCCATCAGGTACTCACATGCGCACAAGACACTCGAAGTGTTTCGATGTTCCATAATACATACACTCTTCAGTAGACTCTCAAGCTTTAACACCCAGACTGCAACATAATGCACATCCATGACGTGCTCATCATCGGTGGAGGCCCGGCTGGCCTAGCAGTAGCAGCACGGCTCCGTGAACAAACACCCTCGGCAACTTTCACAGATGATGAACATCAACGTTACCACTGGATTCGGAAGCATGGCCGAAAAATGAACATCAAAAACTACCGGACGAACAGGGACTCACTCCCAACACCACCGTCAACCCCCGGCAACTCAGAGTGTGGTTGCGATCATGAGACAACGACCGAAGAAGCGATAGATATGCTGGTACTCGATGCCGATGGAGCAGACTGGATGTCAAAGTGGAAACGCCTCTTCAAGACTTTTCACATAGATTACCTTCGAAGTCCGATGTTCTTCCACGTCGATCCCGCTGACCGAGATGCGCTGCTTGGGTACACGTACGAGAAAGAGAGAGACAAAGACATCCAAGCCCTGCCTGGAGTTGCCGGGAAGGAGGTGAGCAAGCACAAAAAGAAGAAGAACCTGAAGTCGCAGGGAAGATTCCTAGGTCGCACTCCCGACGTCGATGAGAGGGATCGGAAGGACTACTTTGTACCGCGTACCGATTTGTTCGATGCTCACTGCGAAGAAGTCATCAAGAGGTATCGACTCGGCAAGGATCTATTGAGGAAAGAGAACGTCGTGAACATTGAGTACGACACTGTGTTCAAGTTCGATGAAGCAGACCTCGATAGTGTCGTCTCAGATGATGCGATGGCGGATGAGAGAAAAGTCTTCCGCGTCTCAACAGACCAAGGCGTGCGTTTCGCCCACCTGGTCGTTTTGGCTGTCGGTCCTGGGAATGCGCCCTCGATACCTCCTGTTCCTGGCCTACCAGCTCAACGTCCACACGAAGGTTTCGCGCATGCGATGCAGATTAAGCAGTTTCCACCACCGCATGTAATGGCCAAAGTCAAGGCACGCCAGTCGACTAGCATGCTCATAGTCGGTGGCGGCTTGACAAGCATTCAGCTGGCAGATTTAGCAATCAAGCGAGGCGTGAACAAAGTGTGGATGCTCATGCGTGGTCCGCTCAAGGTTAAGCACTTTGACGTAGACCTAGAGTGGGTCGGCAAGTTTCGGAATTTCAAGCAAGCTGAGTTCTGGACGGCAGATACTGACGAAGGTATGTCGACGCTTCTACTTGGTGACCGCGGCTAACAATCAATAATAGAGCGCTTTGAGATGATAGTGCAAGCCCGTAACGGAGGAAGTATGACACCGCGGTACCGGAAAATTCTCGATACGCATGTCACACACGGAAAGATTGAGCTTCGTACCTTCACTCAGCTTCAGTCCGTATCATGGGACGAAAGCTCGAAAACGTGGGCCTGCGAAGCCGCTTCCACAGATTCGGAGCCCAGACTGCCGCCCATCGACTATATGGTGTTTGCCACTGGTATTCAGTCAGACATCCGCACCATCCCCTACCTTCAAAATATCCAACAACAGTATCCTATCAAGTACGTTGGCGGTCTGCCATGCTTGAATGAAGACTTGATGTGGGACGATGCCGTTCCGCTTTTCGTGACAGGACGACTGGCCGGATTGAGACTTGGCCCTGGCGCGCCGAATCTGGTCGGCGCAAGGGTAGGCGCTGAGCGAATCGCATGGAATGTCGACGATGCCTTGAAGAAAATGGGAAAGCTGAGTAGTAGAGCACAAGATGAAAGCGATGACAATAGTGGCGACGAGAAGATGGCAGCTTATGCTGCAGCGAGGGATAACAGGTTCGATGGTTTGTTCGAATTAGACGATGCAGCAGCGTAGTCACAATAGACGTGTCGGGCTTGCAATCCTTGAAACATTGGTCTTTGAATGAGTTTCGTGCTTCTGGAGTCCAGTCATCTACGGCATCGCGTGCCTTCGAAAGGTCGGGTCTACGGGCTTCCGTCCAGGAAACTTGAGAAGGCCTGCTGACGTCATGCACTAGACGATATACTTTGGACTGTTCTTCGAGTATGGATATGCGCGAGAGGCGTCCAAGAATGCAAATTTAATTTTGAAATAGCCTTTCCCGTGCCCGTCATATCATTCGGTTCGGCGCGTCGCTTTCGTGTTCCATAGTCGATGCTGCTGAGGACACCCGGAACGGAACCGCTTCGGCTATATCTGCATCTTTTCTCGCGACCATCCCGAGGTCACTTTTCAACACACCTGCAACATCATCTTTATTCCAATTTTCCTAGGCGCAAATGGTTTCAGGCGGCGATGTGAGCTCACGCGCAATCTTTCGAGATCGAATTTAACAGTTTAAAAGGACAAGAATACACCTGCGGTAGTCTCTCTGGCCGCCGGCGGCATAGCTGGCGGTGTGGAAGGCTTTCTTTCGGTATGTCCAAAGAGGCATTCCGGCCCCGATCCCCTAACTCATACAACTTGCAGTATCCCCTGGAGTTTGCGAAAACGCGAGTGCAATTGAGAGCTGAGAAAGGCGTGCCGACACCACGAAATCCCTTCCTAATCATAACCCAAATCTATCAGAATGAGGGCATCAAAGCGCTATACAAAGGCTGCGGAGCGCTGGTCTTCGGATCAGTGGGCAAAGATGCCGTCCGTTTTCTGTTCTTCGATCAGATCAAGTCGTCCTTTGCAGACCCGGAGACGGGCACGCTCTCCCCTCTGCGCAATTTGTTGGCCGGCATGACTGCGGGAGTAGTCGCGTCGATCACCGCAGTTACGCCCACAGAACGCATCAAGACTGCCCTCATCGACGATGCTAGGAACGAGAAGCGCTTTCGGTCCGGTTTCCACGCTACCACCACCATCTGGAAGGAACACGGTATCCTCGGTTTATACCGCGGTTTCGCAGGCACCACCCTGAAACAAGCATCAGCAACAGCGTTCAGAATGGGAACCTACAATATCCTCAAGGATTACGAAAAGACCAAGAATATCGAACAGAATACATTGGTCAACTTCGCGAACGGATCGGTAGCAGGCGTTGTGACAACGCTTTCTACGCAGCCTTTTGACGTTATCAAGACGCGATCACAGAGTGCGAAAGGGACAAGTACCGCCGAGGCCGTAAAGAGTGTTTTGTTGGATTATGGTATCAAGGGTTTCTGGAAAGGCACGACGATGAGGTTGGGTCGCACAGTGTTTAGTGGAGGTATTCTATTCACGAGCTACGAGGCTGCTGTGAAGATCATTATGCCGTTATATCCTGGCACAAAGCAGGCCGAAGCATTTTAGACGCAAAAACATCTAAGATATTGCATTGTTCCTTAGCCTGTTCTGCAGAATCCTGGGTCTGGCGCTCATGCCTTTCCGTCATATTCGTCAATAACGCTAACAGGCTTTACAAACTTGCCTAAAGGCTTGTACTCCAGATGGTCCAGCCCAAATGCCTTCGGGCCACCAATCTCAATACCCTTCGGGCTAGTCCAGCGCTCGCTCGCAGTGATACCGATCACAGAGACGAGCAGTCCATAACGATACTCTGGCGTTCCGATGGCCTCGCCATTTTGCGCATCAATGACCGCGATGAGGTCGGGAACGATAGCCAGAACGTCTTCGTTCTTTTCCTCCCCGGTCGTGCTTCCTCCACTGTCCGGTATCCGGATTGCAGCAATGTTCTCATTCTTGAAGGGTATCTTGATCTTTCCTTGGTACTCACTTCCCGTGGCTTCTATGATCACCTCGCCGTACACATGGCCCATGTACAGCTTGCGCTCTACACCAACAATCTTGCCTTTGAAAAGCGCACGGCCTGTTTCAGCGCCTCCAACTGCATCGATGATTAATTGCGCGACATTGTCGATTCTGTTCTCTTTGCGTGCGCGTGCTACTTCTCGTCCTATCCTCCACGATAGCGAAATTGTGTGTTCGACAGCCCAACGTCTTGTTTCAGCGCCTGTTACCGGGGCATCAGCTGTTCCGACGGAGCTGCCCATCTGGCTCAATGCTGCTCTGATGACCTGTTCGACTTTGAGGTCACTCGTTGCTGTTGGCATGTATAGCGTGTTGCCATTGCCATCAGCAACTGCGACGGGCGCGAACACGATTTCTCGCTCGCCGAAGACGACCGGGGTTGTCTGCCATTTTGTTGGATACGCTCTGCCCATCCAGTCACCGTCTACACATGGCACATCCATGTTAGTTGATGCGCCCAACACGAGACCCTGCAAGCCGTTCGAGCCGCCAATCTCGAGAGGGATGATGTGCGTCGCGTAGCCGTCCTTGATGAGATCGTAGAGGTGATTTTGAGCATCCATCATCCTAAGCAGGCGTTAGCGAATGCGGAGTAGCATATCGACACAAGACTCACTCATCAGCGGACAGCTTCTCGATCCCAACTGTTGGGCTACCAGCACCACCACCACTTCCCACTCGCGCATCATCTTTGAGATCATCTGGACTGACGACGCGAACTTTTCCACCGGACCGTAGAATACCGCGCACTCTGAGCATGGTAGAGTAAGGAGAACCCCCGCCGCCAGTACCAAGAATGTAACAGCCGATGGTGATCCAGTCCAGATCCGTCTCAGATATCCACCACTCTCGGTTGGCCACTTTGGGGTTGTATGCAGCGATGTCAACTTCGGGTGCTGAATCGACCTCACCAAACGCCTCTTCAGTTGACGGTGCCGCGATTGTATCGCCCGTACCCTTTGATCCAGTCTCTGCACTGTCTCCGCCCTGAGTGACATTCAAATCTATGAAATCTCCTGCTCTTGAGAAGTCAAAATCTCCCGCTGCTCGGACCATAAAACGTGTTTTGTTGGCAACATATTGCAAGGGAAGGTCCTCCACTTCGACGATAGAGACCGTCTCCGCTGATGCGCCTGCTTCAATAGTCTTCCGTTTAGCCTCCTCGCATATCTCAGCTAGTAGTTCTTTCTGTGTCTGCTTCTCGGTAGACTTGACAGTATCGACTACTGCACTCACTCGCGCCATGGCAGCGCCGATAGCGTTAGCTACACCGGACCATTGAGGTTTGATGACGCGGCTTGCTCCCTTCAATTCATCTGGAGCTATGACCGCACCACCACCGACGAGCAGGACCGGAAGATCATTAGGTGATGTCTTCATCTTGTCAATGATTGTTTCAAGCATCCTTGTCGTCTCAGCTTTGAAGGCTTGTATGTCATCGTCTTGCAGCTTCCCTCGCACCTTTTCTGGCTGACCTATCGCAACATCGGATGAAGCCGCAACGGTATAGTCAGTTGCCGTCGGTACATCGCCACCAAAAACGAGGGCTTTCTCTGGTAGCTTGTATCCTACGGACTCAGGTCCAACTTGTATCTTGTCTCCAACTCTTCTCACTAAGCTACCACCTCCAAGTCCTATACTCTTCACATCGGGATATGAGAAGTTCATCCTCACACCAGAAAGTTCTGAGTATGCGGCCTGCTGCCTCGGGAAGCCGTTTGCAAGCAACAAGCCCACGTCAGTGGTAGTTCCGCCGACATCAACAACCATCATCGCTTCGCCATTCTCCTGCCTTCCAACGAGGAAAGCAGCACCACGCATACTGTTCGTTGGACCGGATGAGAACGTTCGGATCGGTAGTCGGCTTGCAGCCTCGCCACTCAGTATTGTGCCGTCATTTTGAGTAATGAAGACGGGGCAGTTTAGTCCAAGTGCCTTGATTGGCGTCTGGAATGACGCTATCGTCTTCCTGGCGAAGGACAGAATCGAGGCGTTGAGGATCGCAGCGTTCTCACGTTCGAGAAACCCAAGGTTTGCGACCGTCTTGCTAAGAACGATATCAACCCCATCTCCCAGCTCACGCCGAATGATGTCCGCAGTACGCTCTTCTTGCTTCTCCACCGTATCGATAGGACTGAAGACGCCGTTTACGACTATACTTTTGATTCCCTTCTCTTTGATGATCTTGCACTGCTCCACTATCTCATGCTCCTTGATGTCGGAGATCAGGCTTCCATCCACCTCTAGCCCTCCTTTGATGAGCGCATAGTGCCCAAGAATGATGTTACGCAGAGAAGCTGGCCAGTCGACACATGGTGGGGCATGTTTGCTGAAAGGCCCAGAAAGACGAAGAACGGCGACTTGAGAAAGACGTGTTCGGTCGCGGGTTACCACCGCGTTGACAAAGTGAGTCGTTCCGATTGTCACACTCGCAACGGAAGAGGGATCGACCGAGGCGGATTTGAACATGGTGGTGATGGCGTCGGCGATGCCATGGCTTGGGTCGGTAGTAGTGGGTGCTTTGTGCCTGAGTTATGGTATGAGCTCGCGTTCTCATCAGGGGGTGATCGACTTTCGGTAGGCATCATCATGGGTGTTCTTTGGGTGTTCTGAGGGAGTGGGCTAAGCGAGGAAGCGTGGTGTTCAATGTATGGGTATAGGACTCGTACCAAGCAACAATTCCCCGGTCATCTTCACTCGACCTTATAGGATCAATGATGACTCCGTCAGTGTTGGTTCTACGCGCGGTATTAGCCCCATGGCTCTCGAAATTCTGATGTACAGTACATGCCCACCGACGTCAACGCCTATTCGCAGATTCTTTCCTGTAGTCATGGCAGCTATAGATACTTCCAAGGTGAAAGCCTCTTCTAGTCGAATTGGAGTTGGCTGGTCACGATGCATCCAGAATCCATCTGATAAGATTTCGATTGGTGGGGCGAGCTAGGTCCGGGAATCGGACGTTCGCGCCCTAAGCCGCCTCCCTACTTTATCTTTCACCCATACCCCACTTTTGGAGTTACTTGCTACTCCAATTCTTTACCCCGTCATCAACAGCTTGCCCATTGGTAGCAGCAGAGCTTGAGATGGGATCTCTTCGGCGCCGATCACTGCGCTCGGATGATCAGATAAGATAGGCACAAATACCCCTCTTTCTAGCGGATAAGGTATTCTTCCCGCGTATGCTGCCTCGTTACCCCCGTCGGCGCATTATCATCTTCACTAAACTTGGGTCGGCGTTAGATCACCTAGATTGGGGATGACTCCGAGCGCTGTTGATAGCAAGGGTAGCAACACTAAGATGGCGGAAGAAGCTCACCACTGTCGTTCGTCTCAATTACTTTCCTCCCAGCCTCCTTGGCTAGCGACGCGTTTCTTAACTCGCTTTCATCATGGCTTTGAGACAGCGCTTAAGGAACATCGATGAGAAAGTACGCCTTCGTGGAGACGATGCGAAGCATGAGCAGACAGATGCATGGAGCAACCGCGATTTAATCCCTCTCCCGCCGGAACGTAGGACATGGGGCTGGTTCAATTTCTTCGGGTTTTGGGCGATTTCATCGCTGAACCTCGCGAACTGGCAAACACCAAGCACCTTCTTGAGTAAGCTATACCACATGATTCTCGTCGGACTCGTTCGCTAATATTACTGAAGCTATGGGTTTATCTGTCTCACAGTCTATTCTTATCATCGTTGTGAGCTGTCTATTGATCGCTTTCTTCTCCACACTTATTGCTTGGGTTGGATTGAAGTGGCATATTGGCTTCACGGTACAGAACAGGTATAGTTGGGGTATGCGCGGGAGCTTCATACCTTTGTCGCAGAGAATCCTGCTCAACTTTATCTGGAACGCCGTTCAATGTAAGTTGGAGTGCTATGAGGATGAGCCTGGTGCTATGATGCTAATCTGAACCAGGTTGGAATGGTGGCCGTCTAGTCGCTGTATGCTTGACCGCGATCTGGCCTTCGTATGCACGCATGCCAAATACTTTTAGCCCCAACTTCCCTGCTACCACCGACCAGTTTGTGGGATTCGTCGTGTTCTGGTTCATATCGACACCGTTCTTGTGGCTGCGACCGGAGAAGTTCAAGATCCCGTTTCTCATAGTCTGCCTCTGGTGCGGCATCGGAATGTTGGCATGGATGATCTGGGCAGTGACGACTGCTAAAGGTGTAGGCCCTCTATGGAATGCTGGCGAGAACATTCCTTCGGGTTCCGCTTGGGGCACCTCGTGGCTCATCATGGCTGGCATCAATCAAAGCCTTGGCGGAATTGCGGCAGGCATCACGAATGGCAGCGACTTCTCACGCTATTCACGTGGAAGAACACCCTACATGGTCGGTACTATCACTAGCTGTGTCATCACCAGCGTCATTGTCTCTCTAGTTGGTCTTGTTACGACTGCTTCGGGACAAAAGTTGTATGGAGAGATCTATTGGAACCCACCGGATCTACTCATGCGCATGATGGACAACGGCAACGGCTCATCGAAGGCACGTGCGGGGGTATTCTTCCTGGCTGCAGGTTTCGCATTTACCGCAATGTTCGAGAACATTTGCGGAAACGCTGTCTCTGGCGGAATCGACCTGGCTGGCCTTTTTCCACGTTACATCAACATACGTCGTGGTGCTATCATTACCTTTGTGGCGGCATGGGTTGTTCAACCCTGGCAGCTTATCAACCGCGCCACTACATTTATCGCCGTACTGTCTTCCTTTTCGGTCTTTTTGGCACCAATTATCGGCATAATGGCATGCGACTACTTCCTCTTGCGAAGGAGAAGGATCCGCTTGAGTCATTTATATCGAACGGAAAACTCGTCGTATTGGTTCACCAAAGGCTTCAACTGGCGAGCGATACCCTCATGGCTATGTGGCTGGATCCCGACAATTGGAGGTCTTATAGTGACAGTAAGAGGAGATGTCGATCCACCACGGGCTTTGGTACAGCTCTACAATATGGCCTTCTTCATAGGTGAGAAAACTGTCTCGCGACCTTGGAAATTGAGGGGCCACTGACACCTTGATAGGATTCTTCATCAGCGCTTTTATCTTCTACGTTCTTAACAAGATCTTCCCAGTCCCTGACATGGACCAGATCGATCCCATCGATCTATATGGTACCTTCACAGAAGCGGAGGCAAAGCGAGCTGGTGTAGCTCCGCTAGACAACAGCCCTATTTTGGGAGGGGTATCTGGGCGAAGATCGACCGAGCATGTTGTCATTCATGCAGAGAAGGATGTGTGAGTGGGGTAGACTTATAGATTAGGAACCATGTAGAATTCGTCACATGGAGGCTTGCAAAGTAGGCTCGCCCAATCATTTCGCGTTTCACAGCCTAGCGACGCCGCAATACTGCATAAACATCGCGCCAAAGAGCTATCGAGGACTTATAGGGTTTGGCCGGATGGCGGGGCTGAGCATAAGAGTGATGCACCACAAGGAGTACCTGTTACCTTGGAACCTGTCGCGTAAGTTCTTCTTTTCGTCGTTTCGCTCTTGCCTACGCTGCCAGTTCGGTATATCCATACTATTAATTTTGGTCTAAGCTCCAATACCACAGATCGCAATGGCTCATCGCCGACACGATAGCGCAATGTCTCAATCCGACTTGCCGCTGATACACGATGCAAACAATGACGACGCTGCATCTGCTTTGCAATCACTGACAGCTAATTCTAAGCACAACACTAACCTGCGAACACTTGCAAAGTCCCATTGGCTCACTCCGACAAACATGTTGGCCTCTTATATCTTCGGCATTGCTCTCGCAGTAGGACATCATCGATATTACACAATGCTGGATAGAGATGTGATAGGCTCGACGGGGCGACAGCAGTGGTCATTACGGTATGTGCCAAGACATGCGCACATGTGCATATTTCGACTCTTGTAAGGTTCGGTAACGCTTTCGCGATCAGCATTGCTCTGAGCCTCAAGAGCGCCGTCGGGATCGCATACACGCAATTTGCGTGGATGCGTCTCCGGAGGCGATCAATAAGCTTGAGATCTATCGACGACTCTTTCGACATTTCGAGAAACTTATCTGCTTTCTTCAACTTTGAGGTCATCCGGAAGCTACACCTAGGGCTCATAGTTGCACTCATATTATAGTAAATGATAGACGCGGCGTCGCATGATTGTCACTGACGGTGCTGTAGGTGTCTGCCGTTACCAACATTGTTCGCTCCCGCAACATTATCAGTCGAGACGAGAACTTCACAATCACACTCTATAGAACAAGCGCTAAGAGCGGATGTCAATAATCTCAACATGTCAGATGCGTTCATACTCAGGCAATCTGCGAACCGTCCCTGGATCTCGGGTCCTTCAGCTCGGCTTGGACGAATCGTCAGCGCAGTCATATATTCCGGTGGCCGTCTTCCATTCGAAACGCCTTATTCCCACCTAAACACGTCTTATGAGACAGAGGCCTTTTTGCCGGTACTAAACTGCACTGCAGCAAACAGCACCGTTCGTGACGACATATTGCGGTTTGCCAATGAGACAAGAGTCGCTGCAGTAAACAACTTGACCACCGACAGTCTAAAATGGATGAACTCTGACATCCCTTCCACCGGAGAGATCGGATACCTCGGACTATCATATCCAAGGACTCTGGGAGAATCTACATCAGGTCTGAACTGGAACAATACTGAGCAAACTACTAATGAGTTTGCTTTTGCTATTCAGAAACGTCCAACTGATATAGCGTATCAATCTGATACAGAGTTTTTGTTGTGTGAAGTGTGGAACGCTACCGTTTCCTACACCGTCAACACCCGCAACAGTATAGCCAGCATTGGAAATGTTCATTGGGAGTTGCTCAACAAGTTCGATCCGCAGAGCGCCATCCCCAGTAACGAACTCGGGCCAGCCACCGGCTCTCCCGCCTACTCCGGATATACTATAGGCTTAGCAAGCTATCTGCTTGGGTATATCGCCTGGCACAGAGATAATTCCCGGACTAAGCTGGATTCGACTGGTCCGCTTGATACGACATCTCTCTCTCTACGGGGTCGTAGATTTACAACATGACTCGCAACATGAACGAGGCAATTCAGGCTGTCAATACTCTCCAAAATCCGTCAAGCGTCCGGGATATTTCCTTCCGTGAGGACGTCGAAGCATTTGCGCTGAATGTGTCCTTGAGCATGATCAACGATGCTTCGCTTTGGTAAGCTACAATCTCATGATGCGTTCGAGGGCTAACGCAGCGAAACAAAGTATCAAAGTTCCTACCAATGTCACCACGTTCACCTCTGCGGTTGTCTACGCCTACAACCCGCAAAACCTCCTCTTATCGTACGGGCTTGCCATTCTTGGCAGCACTATCGCCATTTGCTTTGGATTGTTTGCGATGTGGAACAACGGTGCATGCTATGACAATCGAATGTCTACTTTTGGCACAGCGATGCAGGGCTTCGATGTAAGTGTGAACGAAGAGGAGATACTCGATCAGTAGCTCACAACAAGCCAGGTCAAAGAGGTGTTCGAGGATTCTAAAACACGGGCGGCACAACCACTAAGAGGTCAAGCTGCGAAGACGAAGCTGATGTTCGATGCGGAAGAAGGTTTTGTACTTGGCCATCGCAAGCGGCCCAGCGAAGGCTCAACTATCTCCAGGGCTGGGAGAGACTGAACCTCAGCGGTCGGTACGCAACATACACATATAGCGATTACACGATTCCGATGCTTTTGGGATAGTTATATAATTGTCGTTTCGTACAGAAAGCTCCTCTGATCAGCATGGGGAGTATCCACTAGTCCAGATCTCATACATTTAATCAATATCCGACGACTTCACAACCGTACCAAACATATCATCAATCTCCGTCAAAGCAACCTTCTTAACCTGCACAGCTGGAATATCTTTCATATCGCGCTGCCCAACACCGTCTTCCACAACAAGAGTCTCGTACCCCAAAGTAGTCGCCTCGCGAGCAGTACTCGACACACAACCATGTGCCATGTATCCCGTAAGAACAAGTTTCTTGATTCCAGTCCTCTGAACGACTTCTGCCAGATCTGTCTCTGAGAAAGATCCAGCGTGTTTCTTCCACACGACGGTCTCGCCATTGATAGCTTCGATACCCTTCATTTCCTTGGTCAGCTTGCCGTTAGGTGTAAGGGGTAGTTGTAGGCAATAGTAATTGCTTCACACTACGAGAGAATAGTAGGGGATAGCTCTATATTCCTACGTTTATTAAGGGTAGTTGTATATAGAGAAAAGAGAATAATTCTTATTCTTATCTCTATGCGTAGAGCGCAAGTTAAGAGTAAGTTTCTAGGCTAAGGCGTAAGTAAAAGAGGTAAGCATATTACGTAATTGTTTTCTTTACTCTACCTTTGCTATTTTGTGTTATAGAGCCTTCTTTCTTAGACTAGCTATCACGGCGCTAGCTAGTAATAAGCGCTAAGAGTTATACTATACTCTAATTAGCTACAAAGATTTTAGATACTTTGCTAGTGCACCTAAAATCTATAATACTAAAATTCCTACGTAAACGCGCTCTATTATAAGCTTCTTAAGCTACGTTCTTATCTTAGCCTAACTCTATACTATTATTAATACGTAGTAAATATACTAATTACGTATACTTATCTTTTCTACTTACTAACTCTATAATATTACGTAGCTTCTCTTTATAGGTACTATCTTTATAAGATTAGATAGACTACTCTAAACTATTAGCTACTCTAGACTTAGCTAAAGCTCTATTAGTAGAGGTGCGTAATAATCTTAACACCTAGCTACTATATCTACGTAATAGCTATTAGTATATATAGAATCTAGAGAGCTTCTTTTATACAGTGTCTACTATAGAGCAAGAGTACTAAACCTCTATTATAGAGCGCGATAGAATTATTTATTACTAGAAGAAGTAACTTACTACTAACTAAAAATAGATTACTAAACTTAAAATAAAAAAGCGCTATCTAGTTACTACTACTAGTATATAGAAGGGGCTACGCTTAGAGAGCTACTATATAGGTATACTAAAGTTGTATTTAATAGAGAAGAGAACTATAGACTACTTTATTCTAAAAGTTAATTAGTAGTGTACTAGTGCATAGGGTTTCTTAGTGTGAATCGGCTATTTAATTATCTAAAGATTGCTAAGAACAAGAACTTTAACAGATAAGAACATAAGAGAAGGTAATAGTATTAGAGAATTATCTTTTTTCTTAAGATAAGAATAGCTTTTTAGATACTAGACACTTGTATAGTACTTTAGACTAGAGAATCTCTCTAGAATAGAATCTCTTTCTACTAAAAACAACGCCTACATGTCTTAGTACCTATACTAACTACTTTATATACTTATAGTAGTATATCTTTATATTCTCTAATACCTATATAAATAGCAAAGCCTATAGAGATATACTCTACTACGTAGTATAGAAGGTAGTTAGCATGCGTTAATGTAATACATATAGTAAAGACAACTTCTAATAACATTATAAGTGTAGACTTATCTTTTTCTTTTAGGTTAGCTAGAACTATAGTAATAGTTGCGTTTAGGCTAACCTTTCTTTTCTCTCTAAGTAATAATAGATAAGACAATTACTTAGAGATAGTAACTAATTAGAATTAACAAAAAGAGCTATTTTAACTAATACTTAGAATAGTATATTAGAATTATAATAAAATGCTAGGCTAACTAGGTTAGTATAATACTATAATAGTATACTTAGTACGTATAATAGTGCGGAACCGCAGGTTCTATAGAACTAATAGTCTAATAGAGTATATTAGTATAGAAAGCACTAAGTAGTGCTAAAGAGAGGAAGAGCAGAGACTCTTCTAAAAAGAAAACAGAGAGATAGGTATTTAGATTTTAATTTTTTAAAAAGAGAAGTATTTAGAATTTAGAAATAGTCTATTTAAATAAAGATATATTAGCTTCTTTATAAGTTATTTAGAATTGCAATAGCTAAGAAAGAAATAAAAGAAGCGTAAAGTATTAAGAGATCTAGTAATCTCTTTACCTAAATATTTATCTGCTAATTCTTCTACTTCTTTAACACCTAAGACTCTAACACCTAAAATAATTATAGAAATAGAAAGTACGCTATTGTTAGTAATAGTAACTAATAATATAGTCTTAATAGTTTAACCTAGATACACTACTCTAGTCTTTACTAGTAAAGACGTTACTAAGTTTCTTAAAGACTATAACTAATAAGCTAATAATAGAGGCCTCTCTAACTAAATAAGAGTCTCTATTCTTCTAGACTATATTAGTAATAAGAACTATTCTCTTTCTTACATTATTAAGCAGCTAGCTAGCTACTAGAATAAGAACTAGAGTAAGCTTAAGTCTTCTATAAAAGACTACTAGACTAATAAAGACACTGCTATTAAGATAGATAAGCGCTTATACTTGCAGGTCTTTATTTAGAAGTGTGTACGCGATCTACCTAGTCTTATAGAGTATTATACTTATTTTGTAATAATATCTAATACTTGTGTTGCTAGTAAGTAAGTTTCTTGTAAGAAGCTAGGTATTCTCTTCTTCTATAGTCTTCTAAAATATAACAAAGAGTCTATTATATTTATAATACTAGATGCCTCTAAGAGAGATAACTAGACTAAGTATAATATAGATAAGATCTATTACTTCTTAAAGGTACACTATAAGAAAACTAATAGTATTAATAAGATGTATACTTAGAATTAAAGTAGTATAGACGTAGAGATAAGACGTATTATGCTTACTAATAAGTAAGCTACTTTTAACTCTAACAAAGTAAAGAATGTAATAGTAGACTTTAAGAAGTAGAAAGAGTAACTAAATGTACTACCTTCTAAGGTTAACCTAGAGGTAGAGAATCTTATTTTAATACTAAAGAATATAAAGCTTAATATAGTATTAGTAGAGTACTTTATATACTTTTCTTTAACTAGCTATATATTTAAGAAGTCTACTAATACTCTCTACTTTATTAGGCGTATAGTTAATAAGAAGCTACTAATAGAGAGAAATAATAGTTTCTTTATTGCTAAGGCCTCTAGAAACACTACTTCTAGAGAGAGAAGCGTAATATTTAGCTAAGTAGAGTATTCTAACACTTGTTATATGTATAATACAGAAGGCTATAAGATTGTAGACTATAAGCTCTATAACAATCTTTGTAACTTAGGTTAGGTTAGCTACTATTAGAATAATAATTATAAGATTAGAACTTACTACTTTAGTCTACTACACAAGCGTTTTAATCTAATTCTAGAAACTTTACTATTAATAATAAAGCTAGAGTAGCTTAAGTCTAAAATCTAAGAGTACTTTAACGTTACTAATAATATAATATAATAGCCTGCTTCTAATATAGTTCTAGAGAAGTTTAAGTAGAACTCTTACTCTAAGCGTTCTAAATAAGTAGAAATAGCTAATATAGCTACGCACTTAGGCTATCGCTAAGAGTTTAAAGATATTTACTAGTAGTTTCTCTAATTTTAAGAAGAAGTAGAGTACTCTAAGAATATTAAGACTCTTAATAATATTAATATAAATAGTATTATTCTTAGAAGAGAGAATAGTGCCTTTCTCTATAGCGCTAAGAGTAATGCTGTTAGTAGGCGCTTAGAGAGAAGTATTCTCTAGAATCTAGATTGTGTTCGTAACAGCTATATAAGAAAGAGAGAGTAACTATCTAAGTAATCTTAGAGCTTTTAGCTATTACTAAGAGATAATATTAACAACTAAGTTTCTAATTCTTAGGTTTTAGACACTACTATACGCTAGGAAGATAGCTAGGTTAGAGAGCTATTCTATCTATAAGCTTCTAACACGCTATTTGTAGTTATATATCTACCTAAGAATATGCGTATAGACAATAGTATATTAGCTAATTCTAAGCATCTAATATAAGGCTATAAGAAGAAGGTAGTTAAGTTTACTAATACACTTTCTAATCTAGAGCTTAGAGAGCTTATTAAGAGCTAGCCTAACCGTATTATAATAGCGCTTCTAAGCTAGAAAGTACGTAGAATAATAGTATCTAACTTAATAGAATAAGGTAGTATTTATAATTAATTACGCGATCTTTTAAAAGAGAATAATGTTAGTATTAATAGTATTAGAATAGTAAATAGCTATAGAGCTAGCTATTATATAGATTTTAGGTTAACTACTAAGCTATCTAAAATCTAAGCGCTTCTCTATACCTTAGCGCTCTACTATTTTGTTACCTACGCGTAATAATTATAACTCTCTACAACAATATAATTATAATAATGCAACACTAAGGTATTCTATAGTACTATTAATATATACTATTTAAATACGTAAACAAGATATAAGGTTACTAGCTATAGGAATTTATAGGCTAAAGGCCTTAACTATATACCTACTAAAGTAGTATAAGAAGTATATAGACGCGTAGAGAGAGCGTTTATATAGATAGACCTACTAGAGGTATAGATATATATCTATAGAGACTTAATTAAATGCCTTATTAATATAGGCGCTTAGATAAATATTCTTTACCTTAGCGCCGCGAGAGCATTAAAGATACTATATAAGCTTTAGTAATAAAGACTTAGAGATCTACTATAAGAAGTTACCTCTACTAACAGAGAGTATAAGCTGTTTATTAGCATAGTATTTAATATTCTCTTACGTATAGGCACTAACGTACTTTATAAGTATATAGACTACCTAAGCATATAGACTACTTTTGCTAAGACTCTACTAAAACTAAGACTATATACAATAGTACAGAACTATATAGAACTATAATTAGAAATTGTAATAGACTATTCTACTTAGAATCTACTACTACATCTTGCTTATAAGTGCGTATATTATGTTCTATCTTGCTGTAGCGTCTATAGCGTCTTTACAACAACTTACCTACTTTAACGCGCGCTCTCTTTTTTACCTTCTTTCTATTACTACGCGCTCTAAACTTCTTAAGAGTAGTTAGTTAAAGACCTTTCTTAACTATAAGAGCTCTTTTCTTATGTACTTGCTTTCTTTTATATAATTTATATTGCGTAGCTACTTTATTAGCTACTTAAAGCGTAGTATTCTTCTATTACACTAATATAAGCTTATACGTAATTACTACTACGCCTTTTGCTATCTTTTTAAA